TATAACTGAGTTGAGACAAGGCTAGAACTGAGTTGAGACAAGGCTAGAACTGAGTTGAGACAAGGCTAGAACTGAGTTGAGACAAGGCTATATAACTGAGTTGCGACAAGGCTAGAACTGAGTTGAGACAAGGCTAGAACTGAGTTGAGACAAGGCTATATAACTGAGTTGAGACAAGGATAGAACTAAGTTGAGACAAGGCTATAAAACAGAGTTGAGACAAGGCTATATAACTGAGTTGAGACAAGGCTATATAACTGAGTTGAGACAAGGATAGAACTGAGTTGAGACAAGGCTATATAACTGAGTTGAGACAAAGCTATATAACTGAGTTGAGACAAGGCTATATAACTGAGTTGAGACAAAGCTATAGAACTGAGTTGAGACAAGGCTATATACCTGAGTTGAGACAAGGCTATACCTGAGTTCAGACAAGGATATATAACTGAGTTGAGACAAGGATAGAACTGAGTTGAGACAAGGCTATATAACTGAGTTGAGACAAGGCTATATACCTGAGTTGAGACAAGGCTATACCTGAGTTCAGACAAGGATATATAACTGAGTTGAGACAAGGATCGAACTGAGTTGAGACAAGGCTATATAACTGAGTAGAGACAAGGCTAGAACTGAGTTGAGACAAGGCTATATAACAGAGCTGAGACAAGGCTATATAACTGAGTTGAGACAAGGATCGAACTGAGTTGAGACAAGGCTAGAACTGAGTTGAGACAAGGAGATAGAACTAAGTTGAGACAAGGCTATATAACAGAGTTGAGACAAGGATATATAACTGAGTTGAGACAAGGCTATATACCTGAGTTGAGACAAGGCTATATAACTGACTTGAGACAAGGCTATATAACAGAGTTGAGACAAGGCTATATAACTGAGTTGAGACAAGGCTATATAACTGAGTTGAGACAAGGATAGAACTGAGTTGAGACAAGGCTATATAACAGAGTTGAAACCAGGATAGAACTGAGTTGAGACACGGATATAACTGAGTTGAGACAAGGATATATAACTGAGTTGAGACAAGGCTATATAACTGAGTTGAGACAAGGCTAGAACTGAGTTCAGACAAGGATATATAACTGAGTTGAGACAAGGCTATACCTGAGTTGAGACAAGGCTATATACCTGAGTTGAGACAAGGCTAGAACTGAGTTGAGACAAGGCTAGAACTGAGTTGAGACAAGGCTAGAACTGAGTTGAGACAAAGCTATATAACTGAGTTGAGACAAGGCTAGAACTGAGTTGAGACAAGGCTAGAACTGAGTTGAGACAAGGCTAGAACTGAGTTGAGACAAGGCTATATAACTGAGTTGAGACAAGGCTAGAACTGAGTTGAGACAAGGCTAGAACTGAGTTGAGACAAGGCTATATAACTGAGTTGAGACAAGGATAGAACTAAGTTGAGACAAGGCTATATAACAGAGTTGAGACAAGGCTATATAACTGAGTTGAGACAAGGCTATATAACTGAGTTGAGACAAAGCTATATAACTGAGTTGAGACAAGGCTAGAACTGAGTTGAGACAAGGCTATATAACTGAGTTGAGACAAGGATAGAACTAAGTTGAGACAAGGCTATATAACAGAGTTGAGACAAGGCTATATAACTGAGTTGAGACAAGGCTATATAACTGAGTTGAGACAAGGATAGAACTGAGTTGAGACAAGGCTATATAACTGAGTTGAGACAAAGCTATATAACTGAGTTGAGACAAGGCTATATAACTGAGTTGAGACAAAGCTATAGAACTGAGTTGAGACAAGGCTATATACCTGAGTTGAGACAAGGCTATACCTGAGTTCAGACAAGGATATATAACTGAGTTGAGACAAGGATAGAACTGAGTTGAGACAAGGCTATATAACTGAGTAGAGACAAGGCTAGAACTGAGTTGAGACAAGGCTATATAACAGAGCTGAGACAAGGCTATATAACTGAGTTGAGACAAGGCTATGTAACTGACTTGAGACAAGGCTATATAACAGAGTTGAGACAAGGCTAGAACTGAGTTGAGACAAGGCTAGAACTGAGTTGAGACAAATCTATATAACTGAGTTGAGACAAGGCTAGAACTGAGTTGAGACAAGGCTAGAACTGAGTTGAGACAAGGCTATATAACTGAGTTGCGACAAGGCTAGAACTGAGTTGAGACAAGGCTATATAACTGAGTTGAGACAAGGATAGAACTGAGTTGAGACAAGGCTATATAACTGAGTTGAGACAAAGCTATATAACTGAGTTGAGACAAGGCTATATAACTGAGTTGAGACAAAGCTATAGAACTGAGTTGAGACAAGGCTATATACCTGAGTTGAGACAAGGCTATACCTGAGTTCAGACAAGGATATATAACTGAGTTGAGACAAGGATAGAACTGAGTTGAGACAAGGCTATATAACTGAGTTGAGACAAGGCTATATACCTGAGTTGAGACAAGGCTATACCTGAGTTCAGACAAGGATATATAACTGAGTTGAGACAAGGATCGAACTGAGTTGAGACAAGGCTATATAACTGAGTAGAGACAAGGCTAGAACTGAGTTGAGACAAGGCTATATAACAGAGCTGAGACAAGGCTATATAACTGAGTTGAGACAAGGATCGAACTGAGTTGAGACAAGGCTAGAACTGAGTTGAGACAAGGATAGAACTAAGTTGAGACAAGGCTATATAACAGAGTTGAGAGACAAGGATATATAACTGAGTTGAGACAAGGCTATATACCTGAGTTGAGAGACAAGGCTATATAACTGACTTGAGACAAGGCTATATAACAGAGTTGAGACAAGGCTATATAACTGAGTTGAGACAAGGCTATATAACTGAGTTGAGACAAGGATAGAACTGAGTTGAGACAAGGCTATATAACAGAGTTGAAACCAGGATAGAACTGAGTTGAGACACGGATATAACTGAGTTGAGACAAGTTGGAGACAAGGCTAGAACTGAGTTGAGGATATATAACTGAGTTGAGACAAAGAGCTATATAACTGAGTTGAGTTGAGACAAGGCTAGAACTGAGTTGAGACAAGGCTATATATATAACTGAGTTGAGACAAGGCTATACCTGAGTTGAGACAAGGCTATATACCTGAGTTGAGACAAGGCTAGAACTGAGTTGAGACAAGGCTAGAACTGAACTGAGTTGAGACAAGGCTAGAACTGAGTTGAGACAAAGCTATATAACTGAGTTGAGACAAGGCTAGAACTGAGTTGAGACAAGGCTAGAACTGAGTTGAGACAAGGCTAGAACTGAGTTGAGACAAGGCTATATAACTGAGTTGAGCCAAGGCTAGAACTGAGTTGAGACAAGGCTAGAACTGAGTTGAGACAAGGCTATATAACTGAGTTGAGATAAGGATAGAACTAAGTTGAGACAAGGCTATATAACTGAGTTGAGACAAGGCTATATAACTGAGTTGAGACAAGGCTATATAACTGAGTTGAGACAAAGCTATATAACTGAGTTGAGACAAGGCTATATAACTGAGTTGAGACAAAGCTATAGAACTGAGTTGAGACAAGGCTATATACCTGAGTTGAGACAAGGCTATACCTGAGTTGAGACAAGGATATATAACTGAGTTGAGACAAGGATAGAACTGAGTTGAGACAAGGCTATATAACTGAGTTGAGACAAAGCTATATAACTGAGTTGAGACAAGGCTATATAACTGAGTAGAGACAAGGCTAGAACTGAGTTGAGACAAGGCTATATAACGGAGCTGAGACAAGGCTATATAACTGAGTTGAGACAAGGATCGAACTGAGTTGAGACAAGGCTAGAACTGAGTTGAGACAAGGATAGAACTGAGTTGAGACAAAGCTATATAACAGAGTTGAGACAAGGATATATAACTGAGTTGAGACAAGGCTATATACCTGAGTTGAGACAAGGCTATATACCTGAGTTGAGACAAGGCTATATAACTGACTTGAGACAAGGCTATATAACAGAGTTGAGACAAGGCTATATAACTCAGTTGAGACAAGGCTATATAACTGAGTTGAGACAAGGATAGAACTGAGTTGAGACAAGGCTATATAACAGAGTTGAAACCAGGATAGAACTGAGTTGAGACACGGATATAACTGAGTTGAGACAAGGATATATAACTGAGTTGAGACAAGGCTATATAACTGAGTTGAGACAAGGCTAGAACTGAGTTCAGACAAGGATATATAACTGAGTTGAGACAAGGCTATACCTGAGTTGAGACAAGGCTATATACCTGAGTTGAGACAAGGCTAGAACTGAGTTGAGACAAGGCTATATAACTGACTTGAGACAAGGCTATATAACAGAGTTGAGACAAGGCTATATAACTGAGTTGAGACAAGGCTATATAACTGAGTTGAGACAAGGATAGAACTGAGTTGAGACAAGGCTATATAACAGAGTTGAAACCAGGATAGAACTGAGTTGAGACACGGATATAACTGAGTTGGGACAAGGATAGAACTGAGTTGAGAGAAGGATATATAACTGAGTTGAGACAAGGCTAGAACTGAGTTCAGACAAGGATATATAACTGAGTTGAGACAAGGCTATACCTGAGTTGAGACAAGGCTATATAACTGAGTTGAGACAAGGCTAGAACTGAGTTGAGACAAGGCTAGAACTGAGTTGAGACAAGGCTAGAACTGAGTTGAGACAAGGATAGAACTAAGTTGAGACAAGGCTATATAACAGAGTTGAGACAAGGCTATATAACTGAGTTGAGACAAGGCTATATAACTGAGTTGAGACAAGGATAGAACTGAGTTGAGACAAGGCTATATAACAGAGTTGAAACCAGGATAGAACTGAGTTGAGACAAGGATAGAACTGAGTTCAGACAAGGATATATAACTGAGTTCAGACAAAGATACAACTGAGTTCAGACAAAGATACAACTGAGTTCAGACAAAGATACAACTGAGTTCAGACAAAGATACAACTGAGTTCAGACAAAGGAAGAGGTAACAAGGTTTTACTTACGGTAGGCCGTGGCGGAGTCCCTCTCCTTCTGTTTGTTGCTGATGTACATAGTGAGGGCGGTGTAAGGCACGTGCAGACCCTACAACGAGGCATTCGTGGTTAGAAAAAAGAAATTGCTGATACAAAGAATTAAACGGTAAATTCATTCAGCTGTTCCAGTCGCTTTGGACAGGCGTCCCTCAGTTTTGTCAGAAAATTGGGTTCGAATCCCGGTTTGCTATTACTATGTTTCTTGGTTCGTTATAATGGTAAAGTGAGTATTCACTTTCAGGGTTACCCAGAATCCTAAGAATGTCTTACGAGGCGACAAACGAGATCAGGATGTCAGGTTCGCTGAGTTAGCTGGACGCATGCCTTCTTATCACGATTGCGTGGATCGATGCTCATAATATCAATCACTAGCTTGTCTGGTCGAGATTCGATTATTTGCAGAAGGCCGCCAAAAATTTGGAGTAGGTCTCAGTGCGGCGTTAAACAGCAAAAACGATCAAAGACATATTGAAACAATCTCAGCGTCCAGAAACATCTGGTGCCTGGAAACAACGGTTGAAATAGTTCTACACAGGATTCGTTTATCCGGACATTTGTTATTCCGGATGATTTTAAAAAGAACTCTAGCGTCAGGATTAAGCGAGTGAGTGAATCTTGCTTTACGCCGCTTTTAGCAATATTCCAGTAATATCACGGCGGGGGACACCAGAAATGGGCTTCACATAATGTACCAGGATTAAGAGGTTACGTTGTACATTTACACGTACCGAGAGCAGGCCTTCAAAGGCGCAGAACATAACGAAGTAGTAAGCCAGCTTGCCCTCATCTGACAGATCCGGTACGTACCACAGGAAGAAGTAGCTGACACAGGCGAAAGGGGCAGACAGAATGATCCTGAAGAAGAACCACAGTGTCAGGTAACAGGATGATGAACCAGAACAGTTTTTAATGTGATGAAATTAACATTTCAGATGACTCTTTTATTGTGTTTTCGAAAAGTCGCCTAAAACTCCCTTATAAAAAAGATGTTAACAGTGCATAGTTGTCTCCCTTGGATCCTATGACTTTGGGTTCGAATCACAGGATCACAATGATCATGGTTATTATTTTTCATTAACCGTGCTCATGGATTTTCACTAAGAGGGGAAAACGTGTAAGACCTCCACCACTTCTGTGCTTTCGTGAACATCCGGGTTACAACTGGTCTTCAGCAACCCATGCTTGTCGAATATTTGACTTAATGGATCATCGGAGGCTTGACTTGGTTGACACATGTCACCGTACCCCGACTAGGTAACTCGATGTTCATGATGTTAATCACTGGATTATTTAACCAAGATTGGATTACTTAGAGGATACAGTCATACAGCTGGGATAATGCCAAGTGTGGCATTAAAAACATCGTTTTGGGGGCTTTCTCCCATACCAAGGTGACGCACTGTGATACGTCTGTTTCCGTGAAGAGCTGGAAGATTAATAGTCACATGACTTATCCCACCGGGTTCCCATTTTCTGATTTGTGATCTGGACTCTATGCACAAGACCACACGCAACCACTAGGGCGAATACTCAGGTATTAAAACACAGAGGCCTAAAATGTACTACTGGTTCAGACACTGACGTCGTTTATGGAACCGCACCATGGTCGCATCTTCCCGAATCGGGTCTCGGTTCTGTTGACCAGATAGCCGCACATGGGGTCAGTGATGGCGTCCCAGGCCTTGCCTCCGAACAGGACGATGGAAATGTACTTGGGCGGGATCTGTCGACAAAATTGTGAATGAGTGAGTATGGTTTTACGCCGCTTTTGGCAATATTCCAGCAATATCACGGCGGGGGACACCAGAAATTGGCGTCACACATTGTACCCGTGTGGAGAATCGAACCCGGGTCTTCGGCGTGACGAGCGAACGCTTTAACCACTAGGCTACCCCACCGCCCCGGGGCCTCAGAAACGAGGTTTTATAGAGACTGCAATGTCATATCAACCTTACAGTGTAGCGAGGTGTCATTGCTAGCTCTGAATGAGTATACTTGGCGTTGAGGATATTCAGTACACCTGAAAGACCTTTTGATTTTATATCGTTAAATCTGAGTGGGGTCTTCATGTTAAATGGCGGCATGGTATTTCGGTGGGTGGGTGTGTGAGAAAGTGAGTGAGTGATCTTTTACACGGCTTTTAGCAATATTCCAGCAATATCACGGGTGGGGACACCAGAAATGGGCTTCACACATTGTACCTAGTGGGGAATCGAACCATAGCCTTAGGCATGACGAGCGGACGCTTTACCCACTAAACTACCCCACCGCCCCCTCTCACTATCAAACCAGCATTTGTCCGTACTTGAGCGAGCAACCAACTATCCATAGAATATCATACATTTCTTAGCCATGTTGCCTCATGAATGCACTGATCTAAAATACGACATTCGCCAAGTTAATGCTCAATACGGCTCATTTTTATCACCCCTGTCTGTGAAATGTAATTTATTTCTCAGCTCCCTGGGGAGTAAACAATTGTGTATTTTAGAAATGTAAACACACATAACCTGAACCGACCTGTGCGACTTCCAAGAGGAAGATATTGAGGTAGAAGCCGATGATGGTGGAGCAGATCTGGTATGGGGCGCCACCAACGGCGAAGCAGATCTTGCGTAAAATCGACAACGGCTCTTCCTCATCGTCATCTTCTCGGATCTTCAAGTACTGCAAAATAAGAGAGAGTGTGTTGATAATGTTTTACGCCACAATCAGCACTACTCAAGCAACATCACAGCTGCCAGTACATTGTCTATAATATGCTTGGCCATTTAAACCAGTGGTTGAAACAATGAGCAAAGTTCCAACTTAGAAAACGATGAAACACAATCAGCCAATACGTCTCAGTCACACGGAGCATGAAGTAACAGGGAGTCATTCTGACCCAGAATCCCACTGGTGTTATCAGGACAACATGCCAATTTGAAGTGGGTATTATGATCTATATCACTCGCTTGATAACGGCACTGGTGTCTACACCGAAACCTTGTATCCATTGTAGAAAGAAAACTGCACATCCATTAAAATTATTCCGCTTGCTTAAAACGTAATGATTATATTGTCTTAATTATATAATTATAGGTATGTAGAAAATAAATTAAAATTTTAGTGAAACGAAAGGTCGTTGATCGATCCTCTGGATTTCATACCAAATGACGTTAAATGAAGGTATATGTTGTTACCCTGCCTGGCGATTGGCAATAAAGCGATAAATGTGGACCGGCATGCTCGGAGTCGGCATGCTGTTTAGCGGCGACAGCGACCAAGCGATGTTAAACGTAAATTTACATTCCTCACGGACCGAGACCAAGTGTAGTATGGTTAATCATGCAAGTGAGACAATTTCAACCATGAGGTACCAGGGTTTGTCTGCTCTAACGTATTTAAACCATGTCTGAGAGTTGTAAGCACCTGTTGCTCTAACACCATTGTTTTGAAGACATTATTGCAATGTGTGAGTCGGCCCGTGATGCACGAGGAATATGTCCCGCGAAGCTTTTGCACGTGCACCTCGTGCTTTTCCGACTTTGGTATATTGCATACACATGACAGGCAGGTATATGGCTTCAGGCCCTCCCTCCAGACACCCGTCACGCCACTTTTACCTTGCCAATTGAACATTTAAATCTCAGAATTTTATTCAACTTAGGATAAAAGTTGTTTAACAAACGATCATAGATTCAAATCGCTATTATTGGTTTGTATTACAAGGGGGTAAGTGCAGTAGATGGAACAGTGACACAAATGCACGTGCGGTACGTGATGAGCGTTAACTTAGACCAGCCCTACTTGTTCTCGGTGTTTCATCCAATGTGCATACCCCCTTGTAATACAAACCAATAATAGCGATTTGAAACTATGATCGTTTGTTAAACAACTTTTATCCTAAGTTGAATAAAATTCTGAGATTTGAATGTTCAATTGGCAAGGTAAAATTATGAGGATTCGCAATCTTAATTTCGCTTTAATCGCTTTAATCGATTTACGTTTTTGTTTAGAGTGAAATTCATCTGTACGTTTTCACTGCAAACAGACTATACACTGTCACTGTACCTAAGGTGATGCTGGTACCGCACGTGTATACAATCAACATTACTTAGCACACAGATAAACTTTGATGGTGGAAATACATTCAATGCACAGAATTTGCTTATTAATGCCTATGTGTTGAAGAATGAGCATTTTTAAAATCGCGCGAGGATGTCGGTAACTCAAAGTCTGGATGTCGGTAACGTGCAATGAATGATGCTGGTAACACATACTGTCTTGCTTTAGTCGGTAAACAGAAATTGTCGAGTTATGTTTAAACACAAAGGAGACACAAACATCAGTTCTTATGTTTTACACAGATGTGTACTGCTGCTACATTAACAGCGTGAGCGACTGTTCTGTACGAAACCCCCTGTTCCTACGCCCCTGTGGGTAAAGCAAGGACTGGTCGGCTCGGAGTCAGTATAATGTATCTGAGTGGGGTATTCATGCTTAACTACGGCATGGTATCTCAGTGGGCTAGCACTATAAAACCAGCTTAAGTCTGGGCTAGTACAAGTAGCCACCCATACACACGCATGCACGTCGTCATATGAGCAAAATATTCTAGTATGACGTTAACCCCATTTCACCTCACATCTTTTGACGAATACTGTCCACTATGTGAATTATATTTATATAAAGACAGATAAAATAAAACAGATTAACAAGTATTCTTTTTAGAAAATACTTAACTATTATTTCCACAGAATTTCGATCCATACGACCACATAGTCACCTGATCTTGTTCCCGACGTCTGTTTACGTCATCAGCTGGTGTGGCCCCATTCGGGACTCCGCCTCTCTTTCTCATAGTGACGACATTGTCGTCCGCTACATCCACAGATTCAGCAGGTGGTTCACCCTGTCTGACGACGTCGACATTAGCACGGGCAATATGCGTTATTTCAAGACTTGGGCCGCGAGACCCAAGTTCAAGGTCACCGTCAACGTGAGACATTCCGCCATTTTCTATCCCGACTTCGGTATCCGAAAAAACAGCAAGTGTTTTTTTAACAGTCAATATCACCATGGTATCTGAATCTAAATGGTTTACTTGCCCTTCTGTTTTTAAACTCCTGTGTCCATTTTGACCGGTCGCGCTTGTAATTGAAGGAGCATTATTTGGTGGTTCACCGAGGGCAGCATGAGACATATCGCCCATCTTGATCGTACCGTTGTTTGTTTGTGGGACGTCAGCTGTCCTGAATGTAATCCAAAAGTACAGAAGCACGTGTCTGTCGGCTCTATCTGTCTGGCGGTTGAACCACAGTTAAAGATAAAGAGATGACGATGTTCTCAAGTTGAAACACATCTCTTTCTTATCGACTTGATATGTGTTGACTGTCACTGTTTGATGTGAATCACAGGCGTGTCGTCGGATGTGTATATTGTACCCATGGTTGCGTGCGTGTGTGTGTGGGCAAGAAGACTTCGTATACTGCATATAAATTGCACATGTGTTCCAATGAGGTGTGTATGTCTGTGTGAGTGAGTAAGGTTTTACGCCGCTTTTAGCAACATTCCAGCAATATCATGGCGGGGGACACAAGAAATGGGCTTCACACATTGTACCTATGTGGGGAATCGAACCCGGGTCTTTGGCGTGACGAGTGGACGCTTCTATGTTTGCGTGCGTGCGTGCGTGCGTGCGTAGGTGAGAAGACAAAAGCTTGTCTCCCCACGAGAAGCCTATCTGTTCCTAGTTTGAGTGAAGGCATGTGTGTCAGCGAGCAGACTTCCTATACTGTTGTGTGTTCGTTTATTTGTTGAACGCCACACTCAGCAATATTCCAGCTCTATGGCGGCGGTCTGTAAACAATCGAGTCTGTACCAGACAATCGAGTAATCAACATCATGAGCATCGATCTGCAAATTTGGGATTCGATAACATGTGTCAACCAAGTCAGAAAGCTGACCACTCGATCACGTTAGTCGCCTCTTACGATAAGCACGGGTTACTGAAGATCAATTCTAACCCGGATGTTCACGGGTAACGTCACATTCACGTCTTCCCGCAAAGTGTACGTGACAACAAAGTATCAGTGTGGGTGCGAAATAACCACTGGCCCGCTAGCCCGTGGCTAGTAAAAAATCCAGTCGGGCCAGTAAATCTCCACTGTCACTGGCCCGACTGGCTAGAGAATTTTCATGGGGTCATTTTTTATATATATCAAGCTCTCCGACTTGTTAAGTTATAGTACACTTGTAAATTATGCAAGAATATGGCCTGATAAATGATGGTATTTTACTTTTTGTAATCTTTTGCTTAGTTTAAACATTCAAATATTGGGCTAATGAATTATTTTTGGGGCTTGCCACTTTTAGGCATAGCTACTAGCTAGCCCGACTAGCAGCAAAATTTGGAAACTATTTCGCACACTGAATTTTATATGACATGATGTAACAGAGTGGGACTGGAAACACGTGGAAACGGAACGCGTTTCGTTTAAAACCAACGAGAAACATAACGTAATTATTTGACCTTGGGTCCACAGTACACAATGTTACATCAGTCTGTCTAATTTTCATATTGATAACGGTCACGCCAGCGAAAAGGTCAAGTGGTTATTTATGTGTCATGCTGTTTGTTTTGATGTAACGCCGCCCTCAGCAACATTTCAGCTGAGAGACAGCAGTTTGTAAAGAATCGAATCTGAACCAGATGATCCAGTGATTGAGATCATCAGCATCGATCTACGTAATTGGGATACGATGACATGTGTCAACCAAGTCAGTCAGCCTGTACACCCGATCCCGTTAGTCGCCTCTTACGACAAGCATGGGTTGCTGAAAAACAAATCTAACCTGCACCTTCACAGCTTGTCATGTCAAGTAGTGACACATGTGTGTATTTTGTCTGGGTGTATTCAAACTGTCATGTGCCAGTCTTTCGAGTACCACGTTATCCACACAACACAAAGTAAAACAACAGCGTACAGGATGCAGCAGTTTGTGGACGACTTCTAGTAAAAAATAAGAAAAATTCCATAAAATACAAGCGACAAAAAGAGATTCATAAACATTGGAACTGTTCCTTAACGCCAAGTCCAGTGTACGATCTCGATCCTATCATAAGCATGCGTGTATGAATTACCATCAAATGGTGATGACACACAGTTTTCATCACAAACACATGCAGGTGCAAGGCAAATACGGGTATTTGTCGCTGATACTTAAAATTTGAGATTTTAATGTTAGTTAGTGAGTATGGTTTTACACCGCTATTAGCAATATTCCAGCAATATCGCGGCGGGGGAATCCAGAAATGAGCTTCACACATTGTACCCATGTGGATTCTAATGTTAATTGTCAATGGTTTCGGGCGAATTTCTCAGTTCACATACTGACCATGTTTGTGGTATAATTCAGTTATAAGTCACTCATATCAAGTCGTTTGATACACAATATCGTGTGTGATACTGACATACCATTGTTTATGTAATTTTTTCAGGCCTTTCAATGGGAAAGAACTACGCAACATCAGTTGTGCATTCTGTGAAGGATGACTTCACTAACTGACTTAACCCTCTCTGAAAGGCATTCAACAGTCAACATTTCAGTGTTATTGAGTCTGTTTGTAAAATGTTTTCTGAAAGGTCACATGGATGTATGGGTTATCAAAGAGAAATTGTATGCACTTCTGTCAGTTTTAAACATATTGTACATAACGTGACATATTTAGTATCTTACATTTGAAAATTCCCGGGAGGTTTTAGTAGGCCAGAATTATTTACATATAAACTTTATATGCATGAAATTTGTCAGAACGTTTACGGCACCGATGACAATGGGAGTGAAAAAGTATTTTTGAGCAGGAAGTATTTCTGAACGGGATCAGATCAAAACGGCCATACACCAAAACGCCAGTAATCAGAGCCTTGAGTCTATGAAATAAGGGACGTGTTATAAAGACCTAAAACTGGAATCTGTGATTGGAGATATTTGACACATGACCTGACACTTGGTCTGTGAGACGGCCAATGTGTGATATGGGAGGGACATGTGTCAAGAGTCTGTGAAATGGTTGATGTATTTTAGGATTTGAGACAGGGACTGCGAGATGGTCGATATGTGGTATTGGACCTCAGACGGGGGCTCAGATATGGCCGAGGTGTCATGGGTCAGGAGACTCGTGTTTGTGAGATCATCATATGCATGTGATTATGGCCAACGAAATCTGACGATGGTGACATTAAGATGACATTGATTCAGCCACACAGTTATCAAGAAGCCTACCGATGCTATTATATTTCACTATTTCAACACTCCATTCGTCACGTTGTACAAATCCCAGGTACCATATTTCCTCTATAAATACCAGATTTGGCAAGGTTTTGAAACAAGACATTATATTTTACAATTAATGGATTCTCCTCGTTACAATTGAATAAATACATGTTTATGACATTACACTGACCCTTACGTCACAAATACAAAAGAAATAAAGAACGTAATAACCAGATCATTCCTGTATTATAACAGTAAACTGTAACTATAACACCCAGACCTACGTTCCTCGGAGCAACCGATCGTAATGCTAAGCACGACTAAAGAAAATATTTCAATATTGTAGAAAATCTGCAGGTTCACGCTAAGAGGGCTTTGGGCAACATGGCCCATAGGTTTGTTAGACTGACTGACTGAGTTTGGATTTACGCCGCTTTTAGCAATATTCCAGCAACATCACGGCGGGGGGACACCAGAAATGGGTTTGTTAGAAATGTTTCTTAATTGTTTAACACCGAAATATTCTGTAACAAATATTCTGGCGGTTTATGATAATCGAACCTGAACCAGACAATCCAGTGATTGACATTATAAGCATAGATCCACGCAATCAGGATGCAAAGACATGTTATCTACCAAATCACTAAGACTGACAATCCGGCACATTCAGTCTCCCCTTACGACAAACATGCATAGCATGGATTTCTATAGACTAATGCTTAGTCTTTGAATATTTATATAATTTTGATAGTATTATTAGTAACAAACAAGCCCATTTAAATTGAAAAGGAGCCCCAGGGAGACCAGAGATTCAGAACCTGAGGAAATCTAGACTTGCTTTATTTAGGGCTTTAGCACTGCAGAGAGGGCTTGGCAGTGGTACAGACTAGGATTTCTAAAGCCTTACCCGGAATCCCAACACGAGGAACTCCCAATGGAGAAACTACGATAGCGTGTACCGCGTCTCCATTACACAACTGTCACAGACAGACAGACAGACAGATTACTTATTAAAGTCTCACCCCTGTTATACATATATAAAAACTAATTAAACATATAATTACATAATGGCCATTCCATACGGAATTATGAGAGACTAAATTTCTTAAAAGATTGCTTGTACATATGTTATGAGTAACAATAATTAAAAATTATATAATACGGATTTTCTCCTTTTTAAAATAACATGGCAGGTTTTGGCAGCTATAAAACAGATATTGCTATTAGACAGGATAAAAGCAGTTTTTTGTATATCAGTAAGATTACTATAATTCTGACATAGGCTATCACAAGTATTTAAAAGACTAAAACGTCCATCACTATAAACCGGACAATTAATTAAAACATGAACTTCGTCTTCAACACAGTGTTTACAATAAAAACATTTTCTGTCGTTAAGTGGGATATTGTTATATCTACCCAGCTCAATATTAATTGGTGCAGTGCCGCATCTGAACTTAGCATATGCACTTCTGTATGGGCGGGGCATGGGATGAGTTACGTCACATGTACCCATACTCCATGCATCAATATACCGGTAATTTTTAATTAATCAATTCACCCGTAAACATATTGTGTAATGAAATGCCCATTCAGTTCTAACAAATACATGACATTGTCGATACACACACAAAAAAGTCCAATACAGTCGATACATATTACTTTCGTCAATATGCTGATAGCAAATGATTGACATACCACTATCAGACGAACAAACAATTATGTTTTTTCAAAAACGGGCGAGCTAATATCAGAACCCTTAATCCAGTAACCTGAAAAATGAGACCAGTATCTCGTCGTGATAGCCCATTATGGAGGGGTGTTTGAACTTCACAGGTTTGGTTCCTAATAGTTGTTAATGAATTATTTGAGTCTTGACACACACCACATGATCAATGGAATAAACAACAGGAAGGATTTTCACATGATCAACTAGAACGTCCGTCTCGATAATGACTGGTGTATCGCTTGTGTGTTGAGATCGTTGGCTGGCGTTAGATGTTTAAGAATCATAGCTAAATAACGTAGCTCATATGAAATACGTTGTAAACTCTACGTATATGTCGTACCAACATTGGCACCGCCACAGCCGTTACCACTAGACAATATCACTCATATAATTTACATATTTACCTTCCTCATCGTGCCTGCCCTGTGCCCTTTGACCTCCGTCAGCACGTGACCTGGTTATCGTATCACTAAGCAAACAATGACGCGCGCTGTCGACAATTTGAATTTGATCTACTGTATTTCGGAATATTTGCTTGGAGAAACAATTTGGCCACGTTTTCAGTGACACAGTGTAATTTTTGTGCCTAGATTAAACTGAAATTTTATTGAAGCGTATTATTGCCGCAGTCTAAAAGGTGTTTAACATCTTCATGGACGATCGTTACTCCACCACTTCGTCGATGACACTAACATCAGCGTAGACGATACTTACATCTACGTGTATATCATAACCTTCTTAGAAGATATCGCTAAGTATTAGGTATCATCTCAGTGACTTTCAACCTTGATGTGTCTTTATTCACGTACTATCAGAACATTCAGTAAAGTAAATCTTCATTTAAATGTTTAGAAGTTTTGTTAAATGAATATATTCAATTTTAACGCCAATATTTTGATATGAGTTCCGTTCTTTGAACACGTCTGATTAGCACATTACATATTTTATTTACCGCAATATGCAAAAGATATTCGGAAAAATATAAGGGCATTTCCAGCATGGTTATCGGTTGAGGTTTTCAGTGTCGTAATTGGCCCAAGAAACCGAGATTAAAGTTTCGTCAGCTGTTGAAACAAAACAGCTAAGCCGCCCTAAGTACAAAGGGACACTAAATGTCACTAATGATTACTATTTGTGTCGTAACATTCTATTTCCAGTCCTCCGGAAACACATATTAGCACGTTATGGCACAACATGAACAGCGCCCAACTTGACCTGCTTGAATCGTCACACTTTGCACGATTGTCCTTTACGGAAAGTGGCGAGGCTGACCGAAAGACAATACGGCTGCTATTTCAAGGGAGATAACTCTTACAAACGCCATGGCACCGACCAAAATCACTGCTTGCGTTGTCAAAGATCTTCGTTTTCCAACCTCACTTGAGAAGGACGGATCAGATGCAGTGGTATCGTTATAATTTAACATTTTTATGAAAGAATCTACGATTATTTGACAAGTATGATGTGGAAATTACTTCTACATATTTCACAAAGGGAGATCGAACTGCCGTCACCTGCATTTCTCAATATCACATTTTTTAAAAAGAAGGAATGTTTTTGGTGTTGTGTTCACCGACATATGTATTAAACGGCATAACATCGTCTGTTATCATATTATCTTATTTAATATCTATCTAGGGCAAGGCTGCGTCTGGATAGCGAAGTATGACAGGGCATACCTCACGCTGATTAGCCAAAATGAATATAAGTACAGGCTTGGTCCGAAGCAAACACGAAAATTCCATAAGTCATCGCGATATACAGTTCGCAAGCATTTGGAAAAGAATAATATTTCAGTCACATAAACAATTTTTTGGCTGTAAGACAAAATATTATGGATGTCAGCTTCTACTTTATTCTATACACAACGTTTCTGGGCTTTTTTTTATTGATAATGCGATTTTCATTAACATATTAATTAACATATTGTTAAGAATTCTTAGGGCCACGAGCGTATTGACAATAAGGGTGTGTAGTTTCTTTTGTACGTCAGTCTATATTATATTTGCACCAGAACAAGGAGCCTGATTACAGTGCCGGGTACTGCATTCTGAAGACTGACTCGAGTCTTGAGGGACATGGGTTCACCTTCACCTGTGGGAGGGGCACTGAAATAGGTAACGTAGCAAGATACCCCGGGACATTATCGGGTAAAGGTTAATTGTGTGTTATGTGGAGTTTAAGAAAGTGAGTTTGGTTTAACTCCACTTTGAAAATTATTATGTCGGCAAGAAAAGTTGGAAATGGCCTGAGACGTGTTCCGTTTTTGGTGAACCCTCTGTTTGTTTGTTTGTTTGCTGTTTAACGCCAATATTCCAATCTAGTGATCAATAGCATGAGCATCGATCGACGCAATTGTGATACGATGACATGAGTCAACCAAGTCAGCCGCCCGGTTCAGTTACTCTTCTGTTACAATCATGGGTTAGGGAAGACCAATTCTAACCTTGACTTTCACGGGCCTGTGAACCTAACGAGTGGTGCTGGCAAACCAAGAATAATGTTCAGTACGAATCTGGGGTTCTTTCCCACGCTCCTTGGATCCTGCCACGCCTAGGGTACTCAACTCATGTATTTAGTAACTGACTGGAGTGGTTTAGTCGTTAGGGTGTTATCATTGTGTTTGTTCCTCTTGTCTGTTATTTCATTTGCAGGAATGGGCTTTTGGGGTTTGAAGTTAAATCTGTGTGGAAATCTTTAAATTAGAAGGGAGCGATACATATCTAATATGAATTTGAAGGGCTAAATGTACACATCCCACCATGCACCTGTTCCAGTCTGCACGGCCATCACAGCATTGGGCAAACTGGTTGTTGGTCAAAACCTGTCCGCCATCTTTGCCGACTTCGCCAGTTTCTGGAGGTCTTTGACAAGCGAGGACCAAATGAGATGGGTGAGAGTAGTGATACTGTGCGACTTAATTTGGATTCACTTTTAAAACGGCACTACCGTTCAGATGACCGTAACCCTATGTGCAAGTACTGGTGTTGTAATCACCTCAACGCTATGGTCGCTACCTGGAACCGGACCACATGATGATGATGATGATGATGATGATGATGATGATGGCGATGTCTCGACCCTTCCAGTTTGAAATCAAATATGGAATCTTATGGCATGAAAGGACCCTCTTTCGTTTCATTGTTTGTTGTATAACGCCGCATTCACGCACTCAGGTTTATTACATATCGATGAAATATGGGTCGTAGGATAATTCTGACTATATATTCAGAAAATTGACTGTCTATTGGCTCATCGTGTTTGTCTATGTTTATTGCAGACAAACCTCGATTATTCAGTGTTATAACTAACATATTATGATAAATACCCTTGACCCATAGTTAAATTTCGGAAGTGACGTCACAGTCTTCTTCGCTCCTACAGTTAACTTACATATTTTCTAGAGTTACATGTATATTACTTCAGATGACTATCGTGCTTTTCGAAAGGGTCTTGAAATGAAGCTGTGGAGGCGATTAGGTATTCTAAGATGCCTAGCGGTTAGAACAATCGAAAAAAACAAACATTATCAGACAATAAAGGTATAGTTTTTTGATGACGTAACAATTGAATGACGTTATCCCGTCACTGCGCCATTCTAGTGTGCCCCCTCGTAATCGAACCATTTTACATTACGTCACAATGTCAGCGACGTCACGATGCATGTCAGTTGTCATCGCCTCGTACGACATCCTACAGTAAACTACACCGTTGCATCCAGTTTCTTGGTTTGCTGTTGCTTCACGCAGCTAACATCACTGGTGGAAACATTACGTTTATGTTTTACGACGGTTAAAATGTGTCATTTCGACTCACAAGTTTTCAGCGACACGGTAACGTTCGTAATGTTTACATTCCCACAATGCAATTGTGGAATGTCGCTTGACTACTCAACTTCCTCTGGATGTACTGATCTAAACTTACGCTGGTAGTAGAAATGCAACGTTCATATTGCCCCATATGGTTTACGTTAATGACAGATGTAATTAAAATTATTCAGAGAAGATATTTAATCCGAACGTAAACCGTCATCAAACTGTTATCATTTGTTTTTTTCTGGTAACGTTCGTCTTAACGTAGGGGGCAGACACATCAATAGAACAGCGCACCAGTTAGCCCTGTTCGAGGATTCTTAATTTAGGTCACCGACACCGTCGTTTGTTTTCTGCCTTAAATTAATCGTAATTATCTTTAGAAAGTATTAAATTTGGCATCTTAGAAAAGAAATACACTTCGCCCTACCACCATGTATAGTGTAATAAAACACACTTTCGCCCAGAACTATTATAACGTTAAAGCACTCGGACGCAAGCGTCCTCGTGCTTTAACTATAATAGTTCAGGGCAAAAGTGTGTTTTATTACACTATACATGGTGGTAGAGCGAAGTGTATTTCTTAAATTTATCATCCAAAACTGTGTTCCACAGGAGATATCGCTTGTGTGAGATCAAACGATATCTCCTAGGAGATATCGTTTTGACAGTAGATTTTGTACAATACCCTGACAATGTTATGACGTCATGAGCATGATGACGTCACAATGCTTTGACATCGCTGCACTGCAAGGCTAATGACAGAACGGTGGTCAGAGATGTACTTTTTTCAATGAAAACTAATGAAGAGTGATTTTGGATGATAAAAAGAATCTCACCCTCGTGTCTTCTGATATCAAATATATCAACCACTCGTTGATAAAAGTAAGCCTCGGATATTTGTAACTTTATCAACTCGTGGTGATATATTTGATATCAGAAGACACTCGGGTGAGATTCTCTATTTATCGTTATGAAGAGGAGATATAAATAATGTAATACATAATATAATGCACAGTCTTGGGTGATTGAAGTGTTTCATCTGCTACAGCTCGGCCCTGAGAAGGGGATTATGCACCTTGCCGTGGCTGCCATTACGAACGCTGTGTGGGATCTCTGGGGCAAGGTTGAAGGCAAGGTAAGGGCAAAACTGGTTCCACTGTTGGTTGCGTATCAGGCGCTGCTCTTAAAGCTAACAAGCGGCAGGCAGATAATGTTGTGAAAATCTAAACTATAAATGCGTGCATAGCGTCCTCAACAGAGATCGTAAATACTAAATATACACGAAGACTACTGCGACCAAACAGTTTGTGTTGGGCTAACATTATAACATATTACTCTTCTGGCCATTGCATTTTTACAGTACAAAGAATACGGCACCATTGATATTATGCCTTAGCGTGTGTGTGTGAGTGAGTTTAGTTTTACGCCGCACTCAGCAATATTCCAGCTATATGGCGGCGGTCTGTAAATAATCGAGTCTGGACCAGACAATCCAGTGATCAACAGCATGAACATCGATCTACGCAACTGGGATACGATGACATGTGTCACCCACTCAGCGAGCCTGACCACTCGATCCTGTTAATCGCCTCTTACGACAAGCATGGGTTACTGAAGATCAATTCTAACCCGAACCTTCACGGGTTTTATGCCTTAGCACTGATAGAAGATCATTATGCCGAAATATAAATAAGGATCCTACATTAGACCTATTTTCACCGATATTATACCACATCGGTGATATAAAACCATATAGCCGAAGTTAGACCATAGCGACAATATTAGGCCATATTGCCAATTAGACCATATGGTACATATATACCACAAAGCCGATATTAGACAATCACACCAATATTAGATCATAACGCTGATACTAGACCATAGCGCCGATATTAGACCAGACCTGCGATATAAGACCATAGTTCCGATATTAGTGTCCAAGGCAATACATGTACTAGGGTAGACTAACAACTAGTCTCTGAAATGAACATATTTCACTGCAAAAAAAGTTCATAGTAACAAAAATATATATAATGAAAAGGAGCCCTGAGACTTTCTTCATTTTCAGAAGCTGAGGAAATCTAGACTTGCCACATTTTCTAGACTTGCGTGGGCTTTCTTGGATAAATTTGCTTCAGGGTCTGTACGAGAGACTAGTACTCGGGCACAACAAGAATGATTCACCCATTTCACTGTAATGTATTTCTTTACCTTTGCTTTCCTCACAGTTGTGATTTATATTCGTTATGTCATTTCTGTCTTCAGCCAGTTTGGAAGCTGCTTGTTGACATGGTATGTATTGTAATATTAAGATCCTGGTCACAGTAGTAGCTCATCCCAACGATGACTTCAAGTGAGCGTATGCCCAAGGGCACTGTCCGTTGTTTGGAAATCTTAAACCTTTTCATAATGAACATTTTCACAATGCTTAATAAACTGATTCCGTGGTCTAGTAGACAGAGTGTTAACCCGGAGAGCTTCAGGTCGAAGGTTTGATCCTCGGTCGCGTCATGCCAAAAGGCGAGGTAATTGTTGTTTCCCTGCCTGGCGCTCGGCACAAATAGAATAGAACAAGGGCTGGAACTAGGAGTCAGTACAATGTGTCTGTGTGTAGAATGTTCCTGTTTTGTTGTTTTGTTTCTTCAGACCCCAGAAGAGCTGGTGAACACCATTGACTTCCGCTACATGTGAGTTGTTGCATGACATTCAGGGCTAACTGTGGTCATGTTAACGTAACATCGTCCCCACCGACGTTTAAACGAACGTCTTCTTGTTAAACATCATGTTATATCCATCGACGTTAAAGAGATGTCGTCACGTTAAAAATTACATCACATACGACGACATCTCAGTAACATCTTCACGTTACGTATCACATCTACAACGTACAAGACGTCTTCATTTAAACCACGTCAACTACACCGACGTTTAAGCAACGTTGTCACGTTAAACATCACGTAATTTAGGCCGACGTTTAAGCAGCATCTTAACTTAAACATCACATTTACCAACGTACAAGGACGACTTGATGTCAATCACTTCATGTAGGTAACGTCACCTTGTTACACATCACTCCATCTACTACAACATTCAGGCAACGTCACCTAGCTAGTTTGGACATGCCTGGGTCAGCAAGTACATGTCCCAAGGCCTGGAACACTGACTACAACACAATGGACATCCAACATCTGATGATGATTACGTTATCTATATCTACATGATAATCTGTCACAATGCTCAACGATAAGTGACTGTGTACTAATATCACCCTTCAGAACTATAGTATCTGAAAACCGAAAATTGATTTTGTGAATGATTACAGTTTTACGCCGTTTTCAGCACTAAACAAAATTTCATGTCAAAAGGGGCAAGCAATTGGCTTCACACTTCGTACCCGCGCGACTCGGGATCCGGGCTTTCGGATAACGAGCAAACGAATAACATTTCAAGCTGAACATTACCCAAATCGTTCTTCATAAAACTGTTTATTTTTCCTGAAATGTGGTTTTCGGTGACGTTGGTGATTGCTTGCAGCCAAAAAGTCTGACATAATATACAGGATTGTGACTTGCTGCTGTTTCAGGTCGGATGGCTTGTCCAAAGAAGAAGCCCTGGGTGAGTGACTGTGTATGTCAGTGAGTGATGCGGTGCATGGATGTGTGGAATGGAAGATCTTTCACGCCGGAACACCATCCCCGTATACCGGAACACCATCCCCGTATACCGGAACACCATCCCCGTATACCGGAACACCATCCCCGTATACCGGAACACCATCCCCGTATACTAATTTGTTCTGTGGTGTTTTTCTTTCTCTAAGACTGAAAAAGGGTGGTAAAAAAGTAAATCGTACATCGTTCAAAAAGTTGGCATCTGACTTGAGGCACATGAATCCTTCATTTTGCTAGCGCGGTCAGAGTTCTTTCAGTGTTTAACTGAAGTGACTTTATATATATCATTTATATTCAAATACATTTATTATTGATTATATATTCATTCATTTTACTTTCAAAACTACCCGCGATTACTATGATGTCGCTTTTGGAGATACGTAAAAGCTAAACGAAATGATAAATGATGATTATTATTATGATTGATAATGGATGATTGATGATGATGATGATGGCGATGATGATGGTGATGATGATGATAATGGCGATGATGATGGCGATGATGATGATCGCGATGGTGATGATGGCGATGATGATGATGATGATGGCGATGATGATGATGATGATGATGATGATGATGATGATGATGATGATGATGATGATGGCGATGATGATAATGATGATGATGATGATGGCGATGGTGATGATGATGACGATGATGATGATGGCGATGATGATAATGATGATGATGATGATGGCGATGATGATCGCGATGGTGATGATGGCGATGATGATGATGATGATGGCGATGATGATAATGATGATGATGATGATGATGATGGCGATGATGATGATAATGGTGATCATGATGGCGATGATGATGATGGCGATGGTGATGATGATGACGATGATGATGATGATGATGGATAATTTATTATTGATGATGGCGATGATGATGTCTTCGACCATATAAAGCTTTATATCCTGCATGGTTCCTTCTTTGTCACAGCACTTCTGCGGCGCATGGAGCCGGGAAAACAAGAAAGAGGTATGACCACAGGGGCTTGTAACGCAAAAACACCATCAAGGGATAGGTCTGTATTGTCACTGCCATGGTCTTAGTCCTTTACGAAAAGAGTCCCTTTAAGACTATGTATTAAAATCATAAAACTAGTGCGTCTAGAATTATAAAAAGTGCGCGGTACTATACTTGCTGTAGTATGTAAGCCCACACATAGAAATACCATGCAGCAAAGCAGCCTTGGGCACCCTGGGTTAGAATGGGAACATGAAGTAAGAAACGGATTGGGGATTGGGGATTTGAATCCCGAATGTGAATATTTTTTTCATATTCAGGATTTGAATCCCGAATCTGAATATTTTTTTCACATTCGGTATTCGAATCCCGAATATGGAAACAATATTCAGATTCGGAATTCGAATCCCGAATGTGAATAAAATATTCAGATTCGGGATTCGAATCCCCAATCCCCAATCCCCAATCCGTTTCTAATTTCATGTTGCTCTCTAGAATAGGGGCCCAGCACCTGGTCGTAACAGGCGATCTAAATGTATCTGGTAGTCGGGTTTGATGTTCGTTGTTCACAATATCGACCACTGGATTCCGTTATTTACAGACCGCCGCCATATAGCTGGAATACTTTTGAATGTGGCATAAACAACAAAGTAGCAAGTTACATCAAGCATCGATTCTTCAGTCTAGAGTTAAATGTTGCACTACTTGTCATTTGAAAAATTTAAACGTCTCTGCATCATCAGATTAAATGTGGACCGTCAGATGGATTAACATTATATACAGCGTGGGGTTGGGGTGTACACAAATATATGGGTTTGATTCAAATTTGCCATGACTGCCGTTTTCCCTAGGTCTTGCGCAAGATTCTACGCAAAATCTTAAGCATCTGCGCAATGTAATTCGTTTTCACGTGTAAATTAACAATATACAACTTCCGATGTTTTAGACTGATGTATCATATTTCAGGAGGTGATAATTTCACTCAGATAACATAAACACGTTCTTCGTGTTAGCAGAAATATTCAGCTGCCTCAAAATAATAGATAATCTTCCCGAGGCAATTTTGTTTCCACCCTTTCCGAAAAAAGTCTTCCATTGTGTCCTCGTGCATGTGAAGTACGAGTACCCTTTGTGATGAAAACGTGATATTTGATCAGCTCGCTTTTATTATTTCAAATGACTTCAAAAAGACTCGGGCATGGAAGACGACCTGGTGGATCCAACAATATGTTGTGAAAAGGAATGAATTTGTTTGAAACATGTTTTGAAGCATTATCAATTCTATCTGAAACAACAATCCCAATCCCAATCCCAAACTCGCCTCACGAATATATACAGTATATAATGGCCGGCCCATTACAGGAGTGATGCTAGGGCCTGTTCGATTATTGCGAAACCGTTTTTAAACGAGTGTCTAGTTTCGGATACATGGTTTCAAAGTGAAACTAGTTTCTAGTTTTATAAAGGAGTGGATGGTTTCACCATCCAGTTTCAAAATGGATAGAAAATAGATATCTCAGCTACTATATATGTGGAACGAAATGGATGACAGCATTGCCGTAGGTAATATTTTTTGTCATTTTATCAGGAACTTAACAAATAATAAAGAGATGAGATGCTTTTGGAGGTAAATATTTGCGTATATGTAATTATACTGTTACAAGTAATTATATGTATACAAATTACATAAAATAGACATGCTCAATAGACTTGGGTTTTAAATAATATTTTCCTAGTTCTCAGTTGATTTTTATCATTATTTTGGTTACAGAAACTGCTGCTCTATTTTGCCACCAAGATGAGCTGAACTTTGTTTCCGCCATGTTTGTTGTGAGAGACCGCAAAACCGAAACTGCGAAACCTGCCTCGGAGATGGTTTCGATGTTTCAGAAACCAGTTTTAGGTTTCGACACAATCGAGTGCATGGTTTTCCAGAAACCAAAACCGGTTTAGCATAATCGAATAGGCCCTTAGACGTGTCAGTGATGAGATTGGGGAACACATTGGGATCCGGTTGTGTTGACTATTACAGAACGCAACATCCTCCGGAACGGCTTACCGTGCTACATCACCTCCTTCGGCTGGCTCGGCTACGACGACGACAAGATCAGGAGAGTGAGTGTGCATCCACCGTTGCAGATAACGTTATTGAAATAATAAAAGTAAGGAAAACTATAAAGCCGACCCATGTTGAAATACACATTGCATCTGTATAACATGAGGATTCCTAAAGCGAGGAAGAGGCGACTAACGGGATCGGGTGGTCTGGCTCGCTGACTTGGTTGACACATGTCATCGTTTCCCAATTGCGTCTATCGATGCTCATGCTATTGATCACTAGATTGTCTGGTCCGAGTATTTGCAGATTACCGTCATATATCTGGAAGGTTCATTCGCAGGACGACGACTCCTCGAGTCGTATAAAAACAAACAACTGGTCCCTTCCTGCGAATGCTACAATTGACAGTCAGTGTGAGTTTGATTATTTAATTCCCTGTGTTGGGGGGCCGTATAAGAAATAAACCAACTACATTGTAAGATATATGTTAATGGGCATTTTGTTATGGGCATATAAATGTACAGTTCAGCATAAGATTCATTGAACATTACTGGAGTGTACTGTAGTTTTACAATATGGGAGGCAGCATCAGCGAAGTGTATAACGTCGATATCCCCCCTCCGTTGCCTGTCTTTCAAGCTGCCGAGTCTTATCTGGACGTCCTGGTACATCTTTTTCTTGGGAGGGAGGCGTTGACCAGCGGCATACTGGACCAGATCCACCTCGTTCTTCTTTTGTTCAGATGCCAGGAACCAGATGAGCTCGAAGACGTGGTTGTTGGTACGGGGCCCCTCGGTGTCGTGGTGGTTGTTGGTACGGGGCCCCTCGGTGTCCTGGTGGTTGTTGGTACGGGGCCCCTCGGTGTCGTGGTGGTTGTTGGTACGGGGCGCCTCGGTGTCGTGGTGGTTGTTGGTACGGGGCCCCTCGGTGTCATGGTGGTACCAGACTGCTGGTGCCAGGTCTCCTTCAATCCGCTGGGTGGTAACATAGTCCCCTAATTGTTCACACCTTCTATCTTGAGGCATATCTGCGAGTGTCTACAGCCATACGTCGTCCATCTGATAAATAAAAGACGTATTTATTATTCACATATTATTTACAACGATGTCGAATTAAGCACGAATTAACATAGATACGAAATAAGTGAATTCAAATATAAAAATTCACATATACCTAAACGTGGAATATAAATGTATATTGAAATGTATGCAAAGGTCTATATATGAGAATTACCAGCAAGTAATAGTAGCGTCGGCAGAGCTTCTACCAGGGATCGTGTCTCCTCTGTCCAGTCTCCATCTCTAAGGGTTGACACTTCTTCTTCATACAAGGCAGACATCGGTGTGAGGGTCGTTGCAGCCTTGGTTTTGAGATTTTGAAGAGTCTCTTGCACCTAAATAGTAAAAGAATAGACTATTACAATGCTACAATGCTTTTGGCAATATTCCAGCGATATCACGGAGGGGGACACCAGAAATGGGCTTCACACATTGTACCCATGTGGGGAGTCGAACCCGGGTTTTTAGCGTGGGATCTCTGTTGTGAGCATCATCGAAGGGGTTGTCCGTCCAGACAAGTAGAATCATCCCCACTCCCAACGCTCTTTTCCCTCCAACGTATACATATGCATTAGAGATTAGAGAACTTGATACAGCTATGTTGATTTTTGTTTGCAGCGCTGTAGAGAAGTCATGGCGAAAGGATTTACAAGGTAAAACGATCTGACTAAAAAGTCGATAAAACCCGATACAGTACCTTTGATGTGGGTGCATGCATAATGGAGGAAATGACATTTTGGCAGGAGTGAATGAGTGAGTTGAGTTTAAGGCCTCTTTAAACACTAATTTATATTTTCTTCTGCTTCTTCTATTTTTCCTCATTTTGATAGGGAGGAAAGCCAAGCCTGATGCTGGACAAGTCAGTGAGCGAGTGAGTTAGTGACAGGGTTTTGTTACTACCACTTTTAAGAGTATTGCATGTCAGTTCGTCAACTTGGAGTGTGATGAAAAGTGAGTGAGTGAGTTTAACGCCACCTTGAACAGTATCTCAGGTAAAACTCAATGTCTTAGCTCGCTTGGGAGGATGTCACTTTCACCAATGTAGTTAAACACATAAGAACGTTAACAGTTACGGGTTAGGATCCCACTGAATCCTGGATACAATCATAGGATTCTAATACGCCTAAGGGGCGCAACTCTGCACAATGATTTGATGTGCCTCTTTTAAAAATGACCAGGACACCCCTACCCTCTTTTCGAAGATTCGAAAACGAATAAGATGCCCACTCGTTATAACCTTTAAAGGGGCCAAAGTATCGGGTATTTCTTTATATGAAAAGTGAGTAAAGAGTTGTCTCCCCTGTTTGTTCCCAGGTTCAAGGCCAAGGTGGGAGGGACGTTGGAGGACGACATTCGACGTCTCGCCATCATCAGGGAGGAGATCGGCCCAGACGCCCTGCTGGTGAGATTCAAACAGATTTCTTCACATGCTGAGTCTTGCAAGTGTCTCTTACACATCAGCCATGCAGCAAACAAATATTAAAGTTTACAAATATTTTCTTTTCTGTTCCCTTGTCACCTCAGAATAATTAATAGTATAATATATTTTTTAATTGATAATAACTTACCTCCATTGTACTTGAACTGTATCAAAATTTAGCTATGAGCATCGATTCCAGACAGGAAACGAAAAACGGTTCTCAGTTGGAATTGTGGAAACCAATATGGCGACCACATTGTTCTTGTAGCCAGAAGCGGTTCTCTGTTTCAGTATTGAGTCCTTATACGGTCCCTTCCGCCTATATTTAGCACGCCTGTGTATATTCTTCAGTACGTTGATGCCAACCAGAAATGGGATGTGGAGGAGGCCATTGACTGGATGAAGAAGCTGGCTCAGTTCAAGCTCACCTGGATTGAGGAACCCACCAGCCCTGACGATATCCTGGGCCATGCTGAGATTGCCCGGGTCAGTTTCACAATTCAAACATGAACATATACACAAATAACTTAATCAAGCACCCCTTGTATTTTAGCAATGATAGGTTTTCAACATGGACATAAAACTTCTTGTGGTGACCACAATGGAAAAACATGAGTTTTTCCGACCCGTATGATCCTTTGACTCATAAAAAATGACAAAATGATTGGAATCTATGTTGATTTTATGAAGATAATTGCACATTAAAATAACACACTGATTTTCATCCAAAACCATGTCTGTACCAGTATGGCCGTGGAATGTTTAATGTTGAATTTATTGGTGAATGTGAACATTCAAAATGTCATTTTGCGTGTTTTACACGATTCAAGGTCAATGTCGAGTGTAACCACCATGTGACTGTATGACAGCTAGCACTCTCCTCCTCATACCCCCTGTTAGCCTCCTGATCCACTGAAGGGGCAGTCTACGCCATTCCCCGTGTAAAGCAGCTTCCAATTGGGCTAGGTTCTGTACAGGAGGGTCTCTTTGTTGCACACAGCGACCAGTCATGTCCCAAATATGCTCCAAGTGGTTAGGATCGGGGCTCATTCAATCGTGAGAAATGTCAGGGAGTGCTTAACTAAGTTCTTTGTGTATAGATACAAAGATTTCAGGATCCGAGTCCCATGGCCAGTTGCGTAGATCGATGCTCATGCTGTTGATCACTGGTTTGTCTGGTCAATACTCGATCGGTTACCGACCGCCACCATATAGCTGAACCATTCCTGAGTGAGGTGTTAAACAACAAACAAATAATTCATCCCCATTCGCTTTGTCCCCATCCAGGCGCTGAATCCCCTCGGCATCGGCGTGGCAACCGGGGAGCACTGCCAGAACAGGGTCATGTTCAAACAGTTCCTCAAGGCCAAGGCTCTCCAGTTCTGTCAGATAGACGCATGTCGTCTAGGAGGAGTCAGCGAGAACGTGGCCGTCATCCTAATGGCTAAATCGTTTGGAGGCACGTCATTTATACTTCCGCGGAATATTAAGATTATTATTTAACCAAGATAACCATAGATGCCAACTGTAAAAAAAAGTGAAAATGAGGCATTCAAGTAAAGACCTTTCAATTACAGTAGCGACAAAAAATACGAAATGCGTTTTTCGAGAGATATTATTTCGCTCGACATGAACATGACTGAGTTTTGATCACGTGGAACAGTCCGAGTACGTTTTGCAGTCACGTGACAACGAGCAGCCATCTTTAACGGTATGTGCACGTCGATATTGACACTACAAGTGCAATGGTTTTTCTTTCAGTTCGTGAACGTAAACGCTGCACACACCGCTAAAATGTTCAAGTTATGTTCGATTCAGTGCGCGTGTTGAAAACATTGGTTGAGAGATTGTCGGTTATTTGTCACCTATCCAAAATTGGACTATATCGACGCCTTGTCAATTTCGCACGTGCATTTTGTACTTTATCGTGGCAACTAAGCCCTCTAAGCTGTTGCTCTCGAAAACATACATTGTATTTGTATCATTCAGATGCAATGGACATATCGACATATTTCATCCTTCACAGGGGCCGTGGGGTAACCTAGACCCGGGTTCGATTCCCCACATGGGTACAATGTGTGAAGCCAATTTCTGGCGTCACCCGCCGTGATATTGCTGGAATATTGCTAAAAGCTCCGTAAAACCATACTCACTCATTGAGAAAAATATCCCTAACATAGAACAATAAATAATGATCCAAGGAAGATCTCAATATACTAGTATACTGGACAAAAATAGTTAGGGATATATGTACATTTTGAAATTATGAATAATGATATTGACACTGATAAAATATCAATCATAAAAATACCAATATCCCTAACTTATTTTGTCCAGTATAGTTTTCGGCTGTACAACTGAGGCCTTACTGGCCACGGTGATAGTAGAGAGAATAACTGCTGAATTATCATGGGTATATAAGGGCGCGACTTCCAGCCCTTGGAAATATTTTAAGAAAAAGTTAACGAAAAGATAACATCCCGAGACGTTGAAAAGAAACCAACTGATAGAACACAAAATAGGTAAATAAAACACTGTCATATATATAATTTCAATTCCAACAAATGAATTTGATGCCATAAACAGTGTCAAACGGATACAGTATTACTCCGTTGACAGACCGTCTTGTGATGGGTGTGACTACCAGCCGGGTGTGTGTAAGTTAATGCCTATTGTTCTGTCCCCCAGATATCCCGGTCTGTCCACACGCCGGTGGGGTGGGGATGTGTGAGCTGGTACAACGCCTGTCTGTGTTCGACTACATCTGTGTCTCAGGCACGTTCGAATCCAGGTAACGACAAACCCAGACAAGATTCCAAACGTTTGATCACCTTGCCAACTATACATTACATAACAGTTCTTTTGAAATGCAGATAGACGACCTCTGCATAGTTTGGGTGACACTGAAATTCATCTGTTATCTCAAATGTGACGCTGTTCATGGTGTGTGTTTTTGTGTGTGTGTGTGTGTGTGTTTTTTTGTGTGTGTGTGTGTGTGTTTGTGTGTGGTAGGGTAAGCTACTGGTTAAAGCGTACAGTACATAATATGACTATATCAGTGACGCAGTGGAAGATTAACTACACTAATATAAAAGAATCGGGTCGCCCTTAACTTCGTCTTAGAAATTCATATTTAATATGGCATATGTCGTATATCACTCAGCGGCGGTTTAAAACCATATTCACTCACTCACTCTGAAGACTTGGATTCATCCACAATAAACTGATAAAACTGATATCCCATCCACCTCCCATCCATCGTGTATATTGTAGCTCGATTTTATGATAAAAATACCCAGGGCTAATCCCCACAAATAGAGTAAGCGTCCTTAATCCATACCTTTTTTAGTATGCATGGTTTGTTGTTTAATAAGTGCCAGCTATGTATACAAAATCAAGACATGACAACACAAACTAGTGATTGATGTTATGAGCGACATCGTGGTTGTATGGCTCTTCGAGCCAGGCTACCTGATCCTTTTAAGGACAATCATAGATAGCTTGGGGTCTTTTCTAGCACAGACTCCTGATGTGTTAAACATTGTATGAGGAGACAAGGAAAAACAAAACTATACATTTGTTATGGCTTAATATGTACGTCTGTATACGCGGGTTTCTATGCCCCTGTATGTTGGTGAATGACTCTGTATGTTAGTGAAAGTCTCTGTATGTTGGTGAATGACTCTGTATGTTAGTGAAAGTCTCTGTATGTTGGTGAATGTCTCTGTATGTTGGTGAATGTCTCTGTATGTTGGTGAATGTCTCTGTATGTTGGTGAATGTCCCTGTATGTTGGTGAATGTCTATGCATGTTGGTGAATGTCCCTGTATGTTGGTGAATGTCCCCGTATGTTGGTGAATGTCCCTGTATGTTGGTGAATGTCCCTGTATGTTGGTGAATGTCTCTGTATGTTGGTGAATGTCCATGTATAATGGTGAATGTCTTTATATGTTGGTGAATGTCCCTGTATGTTGGTGTCTCTGTATGTTGGTGAATGTCCATGTATAATGGTGAATGTCTTTATATGTTGGTGAATGTCCCTGTATGTTGGTGAATGTCACTGCATGTTGGTGAATGTCCCTGTATATTGGTGAATGACTCTGTATGTTGGTGAATGTCCCTGTATGTTGGTGAATGTCCCTGTATGTTGGTGAATGTCCCTGTATGTTGGTGAATGTCCCTGTATGTTGGTGAATGTCCCTGTATGTTGGTGAATGTCTCTGTATGTTGGTGAATGTCCTATATGTTGGTGAATGTTTCTGTATATGTCCTGTTGGTGAATGTCCCTATATGTTGGTGAATGTCCCTGTATGTTGGTGAATGTCCCTGTATGTTGGTGAATGTCCTGTATATTGGTGAATGACTCTGTATGTTGGTGAATGTCCTGTATGTTGGTATGTCTGTATGTTGGTGAATGTCCCTGTATGTTGGTGAATGTCCCTGTATGTTGGTGAATGTCCCTGTATGTTGGTGAATGTCCCTGTATGTTGGTCTGTATGTTGGTGAATGTCCATGTATAATGGTGAATGTCCCCGTATGTTGGTGAATGTCCCTGTATGTTGGTGAATGTCACTGCATGTTGGTGAATGTCCCTGTATATTGTTGAATGTTTCTGTATGTTGGTAAATGTCTTTATATGTTGGTGAATGTCCCTGTACGTTGGTGAATGTCTCTATATGTTGGTGAATGTTTCTGTATGTTGGGTGAATGTCCCTGTATATTGGTGAATGTCCCTGTATGTTGGTGAATGTTTCTGTATGTTGGGCGAATGTCCCTGCATGTTGGTGAATGTCCCTGAATGTCCCTGTATGTTGGTGAATGTCTCTGTATGTTGGTGAATGACTCTGTATGTTAGTGAAAGTCTCTGTATGTTGGTGAATGTCTCTGTATGTTGGTGAATGTCTCTGTATGTTGGTGAATGTCTCTGTATGTTGGTGAATGTCCCTGTATGTTGGTGAATGTCTATGCATGTTGGTGAATGTCCCTGTATGTTGGTGAATGTCCCCGTATGTTGGTGAATGTCCCTGTATGTTGGTGAATGTCCCTGTATGTTGGTGAATGTCTCTGTATGTTGGTGAATGTCCATGTATAATGGTGAATGTCCCTGTATGTTGGTGAATGTCCCTGTATGTTGGTGAATGTCACTGCATGTTGGTGAATGTCCCTGTATATTGGTGAATGACTCTGTATGTTGGTGAATGTCCCTGTATGTTGGGTGAATGTCCCTGCATGTTGGTGAATGTCCCTGTATGTTGGTGAATGTCACTGTATGTTGGTGAATGTCCCTGTATGTTGGTGAATGTCCCTGTATGTTGGTGAATGTCTCTGTATGTTGGTGAATGTCCATGTATAATGGTGAATGTCCCCGTATGTTGGTGAATGTCTCTGTATGTTGGCGAATGTCACTGCATGTTGGTGAATGTCTCTGTATATTGTTGAATGTTTCTGTATGTTGGTGAATGTCTTTATATGTTGGTGAATGTCCCTGTATGTTGGTGAATGTCTCTATGTCTCCAACATACAGGGACATCCAACATATAAGGACATTCACCAACATCTATAGACATTCACCAACATATAGGGACATTCACCAACAGAGACATTCACCAACATATAATTGTCACCAACATATGGGGACATTCACCATTATATATGGACATTCACCAACATACAGAACTCACAACATATATTCACCACCAACATAGGGACATTCATCTGAGACATCCTCATTCTCTCAACATGATCCTCTGAGAGATAGATGTATCACGGCTCACCAACATCAGGGACATTATACGTTGGTGAATGTCCCTGTATGTTGGTGAATGTCACTGTATGTTGGTGAATGTCCCTGTATGTTGGTGAATGTCCCTGTATGTTGGCGAATGTCTCTGTATGTTGGTGAATGTCCCTGTATGTTGTTGAAAGTTTCTGTATGTTGGTGAATGTCTTTATATGTTGGTGAATGTCCCTGTATGTTGGTGAATGTCTCTATATGTTGGTGAATGTTTCTGTATGTTGGGTGAATGTCCCTGTATGTTGGGTGAATGTCCCTGCATGTTGGTGAATATCCCTGCATGTTGGTGAATGTCTTTATATGTTGGTGAATGATTCTGTATGTTGGTGAACGCCTCTGTATGTCGCTGTATGCTATTGTATGTTCCAGGTGGACGGAGTATTCCGAGCACCTGCACGACCATATGGTGCACCCCGTGCTGGTGCGAGACTGCAAGTACATCGTTCCACAGGTCAGTCCATACGACCGTCACGCGAGAATAAGGTTAATGATTGATCGGAACCATGTGGCCTCTTAAGAAGACCCCCTGAACAAACCAAATAGATACCAAATACAGATCGATAAAGTTATTGCTACTGAAGATGTTCGTGGATTTCCCCTAATACTTACAAATCGGAGTTTCTGGGAGAGTTATATATAGGGACTAGTAAATCGAGAAGACTAATTTCAAAACCAGAACCAAAGTTTCTAAAAATATATATGTGTTAAATATAAAATTCAATTTGAAAGGAGTAAAAAATGCTGTTCTTAAGCTAAATCGTTTTTTTAATGTATTAATTCCCATGTGTCTCGGACCGCTCGTAAACCGGTATAATCTGCTCCAAACTTTATTAACTGAACCCCGTGTACATAGCTCTAATTGCTGAATGCGGCGTTCAACGACACTCACTTACTCTCTTCCGTAAACTGAGTGAGCAGGGTTTTACTCCATATCCAGTATAGCAATGTCACGTGTCACGCCTGAATGACTTTCCATCCCACAATTCAGAGTCCCGGATATAGCTCTGAGGTCAAGGCCACGACGCTGGAGGACTACGTGTTTCCGGTAGGACGGGTCTGGAGGAAGCTCATCGCTGATGGCATTCACAGTGGTCAATAGGAGACTCCGGGCCGGGGCTGGACTGGAATCTCTATGTTTTAAAACAAATTCAGAATTTAAGTTACATTATAACCTATCGAAGATTGCACATTAATGATATAGAGATTTGTTCAGTCTATGTCCTGACTGTGTTGAGGGTCATCTTCCTGGATCAAGGGAATTAACTGACGGTTTTCAGCATTGACAAATTTGCTTCGAAATCGATCGTAGTGTCATTTGGTCATTATTGACATGGGGTGGTGGGTTAATTTAGTGTTTAAAATTTTCGCAAGTCACTCCGAAGATCCGGTTTCGATTCCCTACAAGGGTAAATTATGTGATGCCCATTTCTAGTAACCTCTGGGATGATATCGCTGGAATGTTGCTATAAGCATAAAACCATATTCACTCACTCGTCTATTAACCGGCATAAAACAATACTCACTCACTCACTCACCACTTGACCAATCAAAATCCTTCTCTCGTATCACTTGCTTCAGTTGCAATATAATTAATTGTGGCGTCCAGTAAAGATGATCTGGGCGATAATCTAGATCGTTCCAAAACGGGTCTTACATTGCGAAGTGCATGAAATTATTTGAGCACGTTGAATAAAAACACGAAAAGATTTGGAAAATACATGTATCTATCTACGCTGACCGTACACATCCTGCAATTGAACAATAATTCCATGGCAGTCGCCATGTAGTTGAACCGTATGTCGATTTCGTTAAACGTTTTGATTGGGCTATGCGTGGAGTCGTAATTCCAGCCAAAATATTAGTCCATAATTCAAGCCCATTTCGGTAATGATTTTGTAGTCAGTTTCCCCCCTTGTCTCGGGAAGATACTGGAATGAGTAATATGGTAAATAACAGAGAAGCTGAAAATGGATCTGACTCGAGGTATTGGTTGTTGGTGCCCTACCTGGCTGAGCATCCACTATCGAGATATTATATCCTCTAAATTCAAGAACCCGTGAAGATCCGGGTTAGAATGAGCATTCAGCAACCCATGCTTGTCGTAAGAGGCGACTAACGGGATCGGGTGGTCAGGCTCGCTGGCTTGGTCGACACATGTCATCGGTTTCCAACTGCGCAGATCGATGCCCATGCTATTGATCACTGGATTGTCTGGTCCAGACTCGATTATTTACAGACCGCCGCCATATAGCTGGAATATTGCTGAGTGTGGCGCAAAACTTAACTCACTCACTGACTCTAAATTTATAAGAATGCTTTCTCTCTCAGTTTTAAGCAAGACTAACAGGTTCCAGTCAACAAATTAAAATGTTGATAATTCAAAGTGTTACTAGCCCAAATGTGACATGTTACATACGATTGTACTTTCTATTCAGTTATGACAATGCCACATTTCAATTACTCTTATGGACCACAGACAGAAAACCTTATGAGCACTCTATTTTATAAATATTCAGAATGTTTTGTCAGAAAAAATAATGCTCGTTCAAATAAATTATTCATTCAGAAGTTCTACTTTTATGTTTCGTCATTGTTTTACCTTATATACGGTTACCTCCCTTACCGAATTCATGAACTCAATAGGAAACCTTGGAATGAGCGCGGTAGACTATTCAGACCATTGATCTTCCTTCATTATTGAAAGTTTCAAACATTGCATAAATTAAAGTTTGGAAATAAAAATCTGAATAAAACATATTATGGAATATGTAAAACGCATGAAAAGAACATGGAATTGTCATAGAAAATTCTATAAAAAAAAACCGGCAATGCATGAAATCCAATAGTAAACCTATGAACCTCAGTGTTCAAACTTTTAGTATATAACTATTGCAAACAGGTCTAGGCCACCTGCTCTTATGTCAACCTTTGTCAAGATCCAGTACGTTACTTCTTTTCATGTCGTTTTATTTGCAGTCTTTGTAATAATATAGATTGCAACAAACAATTAAAAAAAACCCCAATCAAACCAAATATGCAAATTAGTTTACCCAATCATGGATACCCAATCGTGATTGGTGATCTTTGTTTTCTCCTTGACATCTGACTTTTGGTAGTTTGAATGTTGTGAACAATAAACGATGTTCTAACAATAAATTGACTTTATCAGTTCCAGTTATCAGTTGGTGAACATTTCGTGAGAATAGCAGTCTAAGTAAACTTAGGCTCAGTATTCTTCGTTACACTGCTATACTGAGTCTAACAAAACCTGGTAGAAGGTCCCGTCAGCTAACCTTTGAGCAACCCATGACCGTCCAATCAAACGCGAGACGGCCGAACGGATCTAACCAATCAGACGACGACTACTTGTTAGAGTTCGGCGGGACTTACAAAACGGTTTTTTGGATTTTCTCTTCCCTGGTCGCTGACGCTGATCTATCAACAAACGAAAATCCCCATAAAACATCAGATATTTGATCTGCGGTATATACGCTTATGGGTTTCTAATGACATGATTACTATTTGCTTATATTTTAGCAAGATGACATCCTTGAATATTGACAAAACGCTATTTTCAGCGACTGTTTACTCACTGCGTGTATCACTCGGAAGCGATCGTGCGGAAAATAGCATTCGGAATCGTTCGATGTTTTTAGGTAAAAGTTCAAACGGTATGTGCGAATGTAAACTTTCGCGATTTGTTAAGCTGTGTTCTGATTGGTCAGTCCAAAAGGTTAGCTGACGCGACCTTCTACCAGGTTTTGTTAGACTCAGTATAGCAGTGTAACGAATAATACTGAGCCTAAGTTTACTTAAAAACTGGTGAGAATAGGTGAACTGATAAGACAGAGCGCTCCAACTAGCAGCTCTAATTAATCTTATCGGCTATGTATATTTTGTCTCGCCTCACGAACAGTTGGCTTCCTCCGGTTGCTACTGCATTAATTTCCAATATCCATTGCTGTTAATCCTCTTCATGCATACCGCCATACTCTCTTGGTTAATCCATGTTAGCTGTATGAAGGCCTGTTATGTGCTGTAGTACTTTTGATGTGTGCGAAAGATGCATTATGTCGGAAAGCGAACGTTAAATCTCCAAATCATCATCATCATCATCATCATCATCATCATCATCATCATCTTCATCATCATCATCATCATCATCATCTGTAGTACTTTATTCTTGCTCATCAACGGTAACAGTATAAGAATCTATACTGAAATTATCATAATATAACAGACCCGTGAAGATCTGGGTTAGAATTGGTCTTCAGTAACCCATGCTTGTTCTTAGAGGCGACTAACGGGATCGGGTGGTCAGGCCCGCTGACTTGGTTCATACATGTCATCGTGTCCCAATTATGTAGAACGATGCTCATGCTGCCCATCACTGGATCTTTTGGCCCAGACTCGATTATTTACAGACCTCAACCATATAGCTGGAATATTGATGGGTGCAGCGTTAAACAACAAACCAACCAACCAGCCAATAATAATTATTTATATCAAAACGTTATCATCCATAAAGCGTTACACTTTTCTTATTACATGATGAATTATTAAACAACATTTTTATTACACTCCGTCATAACATCAGTAACATCATGTGATAAGGTCAAGCGTACTTATGAAAGTCTGTCGACGTTTTCAATAGTAAGCGTGCTATTCCACTTTCTAAGACTGGGGCTTGTGTGAGTTGTGTCGTGTCTGGGCTTAACGCTTTGAGTGAAACATGCTTATCAGTATTGTTTCTTAGTATTACAGTAATGTCAGAACAATGGTTCAAAGTCTAGGACCTCTAAATCGTTGGGAAAACAAAGTTACAGCATAGCCAACCAAGTGTAACTTTGCGATTGACTCGGCCATTGACAAGGTAAATATGGTATTTTTTTACACAAATCAGCTGGCTTATATCCATGTCAGGTTCCATTAGTCAAATTCTGAATTGCCCTTTCTAACACAATGCCTGCATGTTTTACTCATTCGACATCATTCATATATTCAGTGAGTTAATTAGTGAATGTGTTTTCGTTGATAAAGCTAGAATTAATGGTAATACAATTGGACAAAGTACATGTCCTTGCATTGCTCAGAGGTCACCATAGGATGTAAATAGTTTGATGAACTATGACAATGCCTGAATGCACACATTCATTAGATCTATTTCAACAGTGACGATAGGCCGTTGTTAAAGCGGCTGGAGATTGCTCGTGCCAACACTTCGCTTATTTTCTGCGCAGCCATTTCGTTGCTAGGCATAACCAACAACACAACGAACATATTTGTTACTCAGTCAAGGTTTTGTTTATTGGTTGTTGGTTTATTTTTCACAATTTTTAGCACGATGTTCTTTTTCATGCCAAGAGCAAAAGTTGTACGTTTCATGTAATCCGACACCTTATAAATCGGTTTGCTACGTTTGCTCCCTTTTTCAAAAAAAATCAACACATTTCTAATTAAACGTTTAGCATAATCTTAATAAGCTTTCATGATGACAGCTAGAAGTAGTCAATGTGAATGATCCAAACGGTCTATCACTGTGCAGTGCACAGGTAACTATCATGAACTGCACGTGCATTTACCTTTATGACCCAACACTGCCGCTGTTACAGGTCATTTGGCTCCCTCCCTCTGCAAGCAGTTTGCGTTCTGCTGTTTATTTTGTTGACAGTTACATAGACAGATTCTTTAATACAAATGCATAAAATCGGTGATTTACAATGTGATTAGGTTGTCTGACAAAACATCCACTTGCACAGTTTGAGATCGATTGGGTCATTGGATGAAGAGATATTTACAAAAAAACGGGTCCACATGCATTTCATGCCAAACTATAGTTGTGAATGTCTCATAAATGTAGCACATGCAGGGCTTTCCTCCGACGAGGCTGGCTTTATTCCCTCAATCCCTCCCTCACTCACTCACGATACAAGAGTTCGGATCCCAGTGTGCGTGTGTATGGCGATATTACGTTCGCTTCGTGGAACGGGACCCACCATGTCATTGCATCGTTAAGGTGATCGTAACTCCTAAACTTTGATGAAGACATACGACTGCTGTAGCGCTACGATCGCTCCTTGGAATGGAACCCATGTCATTGTATCGGTGAGATGATCGTAACTCCCATATTTTAACAAAGATTTAAGAATGATGTAGGGCTACGATCGCTTGTGGAACTGGGCGCATGTCATCGCATCGTTAAGGTGATCGTAAGTCCCATACTTTCACTAAGACTTACGACTTTTGTAGCGCTACGATCGCTTCGTGGAACGGAGTCCATGTCACTGCATCTTCAAATCATCCAGTGGTCACTTGCACAAAGCCATCTTAGCGCTAAAGTGATCGTAACCCCCATACTTTAACATAGGCTTACGATCATCGTAGCACGAAGATCGCTTAGTGCAAGTAAATCCAGGGCCAAGATTTTCGAAACGTCCGTAGCCCTGCGAACTTCTTAAACCCATTCTTAACACACTGACTACGATCAAATTTAAAAAATTCTTAGGGCTACGAACGTTACGAAAATCTAAGTCCCGAGTCCCGATCCACAAAACATTCGTAACGTCACGACCTGTCGTAACTCTACAGTTTACCGTAGGTTTGCGAATGTCGTAGCGCTACGAACGCTTTGTGGATGGGGACCCTGGCTAGCTATTCTCGAAACGTTCGTATCCCTACGAACTTCTTAGGCCCATTTTTAACACATTGGCTACGATCAAAGTTAAGAATTCTTAGGGCTACGAACGTTTCGAGAATAGCTAGCTGCAGGTCATTATCCCTCGTCATTTATTTGACCATGACACTTCCTCTACCAGTGACGACAAACAAGATTCCTCCACCTCGTTTAGGGATTTCAACGTTTTAACCCCACTCCCTCAGTTGGACTGTTACCAGGTCGCCATTTACATACAAATAGAGTAAATATGAATAATCATTAAAATTATATCATTAATGTGCAATAAGTATTGATTGAAAGGTATCTAATGGCGATCGTTTCATGTATAATTGCCGGTGGCGTTATTTTAGGCTGTAAAAGTCGGGGGTTAGCTGTACGAGGTACTGACGTGCATCAGATGGCTGATGGTATTCTGGCTTGGTACGATCGAAGCATCAGACGCAGGTAGGTAATGGTGCCATTTGAGAAAGCGGCCTGTTAGTTGAGAAAAACAGGGTTTTATGCTATAAGGGTTATGCTATTTTTTAGGGCATTATCATTTGCAGAAGCCCGAGGTCTTCATTAACTGCCCGACGAAGCATTGGCGGATCCAGAGGAGGGGTTCAGGGGGTTAGGGACACCACCCGCCCTCCACACCCCTTTTCAAAATTCCAGGGCCTTGATTTTCGAAGCTCTCTTAGTGCTAAGATAGTCGTAAGTTAATGTTAAAGTATGGCACTTACGACTCTCTTAGCGCTAAGAGAGCTTCGAAAATATAGGCCCTGGATCCGCCCATGCGAAGGAGGGCAGTTGAAAAAGACCCAGGGCTTCTGCAAATGATAATGCCCTAAAAAATAGCATTACCGTTATTATTGCTAAAATACATGGAATTTGTGTTGAAAAGAAAAAGGAAACAATGAAGGAATTTGACTGTAAGTTTACTCAAAAGCAACTTCTGACGGGGTTGACTGCCCGAAATGCAATTACGTCATCGAACAATTCAAGTGACGTCACAACAGAAAGTGACGATATTCGACCTTGGCTTTTGACAAGACCATAGCCTGCAACATGTAAAACTATGTCAGTGTTCGGTTTTGGTCCACCAACAACCTGGATAGTGCAATTGTTAAGGTTAGCACCAACAAGAAAGCCAATATTCCCGCTATTTAAAGCGGGAATTCGGGTTGCATTGACTTGTTTGACCCAGAATAACTGCCAGTCCAAAGCCAATGTCGATTGAACCGTAAGCCCACGCACCCACTATGACGTCACTTGACATGATACAGAACTGATAGTGGCCCGTCGTTAATGTTGAGCGGTCCACTATCATTTGCAGCGGCCCGCAATTTTCTGATAATGGGAGGGCCGTTTCATGATAATTCCATGTATTTTAGCTATAATAAGCAGAAACGTGCGTCCAGTTCGCGCAAATGTACAGAATAGACGCAGACAAATATTGTATTGTATCCTGAATGACGCACAATATATTAAATTGTAGTAGATTCTTCACAAAAGTTGTAAGGTTCCTGTGATTAAAATAGTTAGTACATCCTACGGTTCAGTACACTACACTATGTCATTACTCTACAGGACCCACATATGTATTGTAAAGACTTTTTCTGACGGCTATCGGGCGGTGGGGTAGCCTAGTAGTTAAAGCGTTGGCTCGTCACGCCGAAGACCCGGGTTCGAATCCCCACATGGGTACAATGTGTGAAGCCCATTTCTGGTGTCCCCCGCCGTGATGTTGCTAGAATATTACTTAAAGCGGCGTAAAACCAAACTCAGTCAGTCAGTCAGTCTGACGGCTATCAATAGTTTAGCGAGCAAAGGGCAAATACACCCGTGAAGATCCGGGTTAGAATTGGCTTCAGCAACCAATGTTTGTCGTAAGAGGCGGCTAGTGGGATCGGATGGTCAGGCTCGCTGACTTGGTTGACACATATCATCGTGTCCCAATTCCGTAGATCGATGCTCATGCTGTTGATCACTTGATTGTGTGGTCCATACTCGATTATTTACAGACCGCCACCAGATAGCTGGAATATTGTTGAGTGCGGCGTAAATTAACCCCAAACAGACAGATAGACAGATAATATTTCGCTACACAATTCTTTGATGTATGTACTTGAATTGAATGGGTATTGACATAAACGATTGAAACTCGAGATGTGTAGGAGAATACTACAGGGAAACCATGTTTGCAGCCATGAGTATCCCAAAGGAAAGAATTCATTAAAAAATTCCCTAGTGGAAATATTGCCTGTCGTACACGATGAAGGGTATGAATGTATTAACATTTATTAATTGTTAATGATTACGTATGTACATATTTTCTTCAAGCACCACTGCACTGTACAGCTCACTGGACATGAGTTGGTACAACATTTCTGTGTCAACCAGTTCACACAGGTTATCATACTAACATCTAGACTCTGAAATGAACATATTTTACAGAAATATGTTAAAAATCATAAAATATAATGAAAACAAGCCCAGAGGCTTTATTCATTTTCAGACATCTAGACTTGCCACATATTCTAGACTTGCATGGGCTTTCATGGGTATATTTGTTTCAGGGACCTGTTTGATAGAATAGCTGGTTATCATCACATGTCATGTTTGCTCAGTAGACTTACGTTTAGTCTCTGAATATATATAATTTTATAGAAACAGATAATTCCTTTCAAATTGAAAGGAGCCCCAATGAGATGGAAGATTCTAAACCTGGGAAATCAAATCAAATCAATTAGGGATTTAGCATAGCAGAAAGGACGGGGCGGAAGGGAAAATAATGTGGTTCAGGGACCGTGAGACAGACTAGTTGCTCATATCAGTTACAAATCCCCGTTCGCTTTATGTGCCGGTTAGGCTCTACATGGATTACCTCCCTTTGCTTTAGTTCTGCAACAACATTGAACATGGCTCCGACTCAAATCACAGCATGCGTTGTGAGGGATATTCGCTGTCCAACATCCCTGGAGAAAGATGGCTCAGACGCAATGGTAATGTGTTAAATTGGTTTGTTCTAAGATATCTACTGCTACTTTTAAGATTATCTTTTAATTCTGCCTCCAAATCAGCTGATTGAGCTGACTGTCAAGGCCGCACCAAGTAACCAATCGTTAAGGGGAAAACGGGAGGCGTGGCATCATATGCACGTGATGAATTTGGAGTGTGTTTACTTTTTTGGTTAGTTTTTTATTTTGCAATTTCAGTTAGGACATTTCCTTTATCAAACGTAGACAGAGACACTCGTCATAGACTCAACAAAATCGAGGGCAAAAGTTCAGGGAGATACGCTATCGCCAGTAGATCGGCCTAATTTACCTATTAGCTATTCAAGACAACGTTTACCATATATGACAATGCATACGTGTGGACTTCATGCTATAAGCCTAGGGCAAGCGACAGGTGCAAACGTAACAGGTGTCTACTCAACGTTCAACTGAACCGAAAATGCCTTGTTTCAAGTAATTCTACTGATAACAAAGTTTTCATAAAACAAATACTATAAATAATAATAATAACAACATATAGGTAATAAATGAAAATTTGAAAGAAAGTGGTAAAATTGTTCTGTTTATTTATTGTGCATTCATTCTGGTATCAAGGTGGGTGGCCTAGTGGTTAAAGCGTTCACTCGTCAATCAGAAGACCCAAGTTTCACCCATTTCTGGTGTCCCTAAACATGATATTGCTGGAATATTAATTGCTATAAGCAGTACTCAGAGCATACTCACTCAGTAAATTCTTGTCTCATACTTGACGTCATAGTGCCACATAAGTCATCATTAATTGAAGTATATAACATCGTCTAGTGTTTTAATTGCTCAATTGTTGTTAATATTTTCTAATTGGTTAGTCTTGCGTTCAGACACTAATGGCCAAAGTGATGATGTAAATCCTCTTGGAAATCATGGAGGAAGCAGAGGTTCCATAAGTCCCCTTGATCCCCAAGAAGGCTGTCTTGCTTTGGTCACTATAGTGGTCTATAGCCTAGTTTTAAATTATACTACATGTATTTATTGTCTGAGGAAGTAATATTTATTATAAAGAATTGGCTTGTTTTATACTTAAACTGTGATATCAAACGTATTACTATTTTACTGTCCTTTGTAGACAGACTCTTAAAATATCAAATTTGTTCTCATCGCAATATGGCTGCAATATTGCTGAGGCAATGTACAATTTTAACTCTCTTACCCAGTGACTCATTATTGACATAATTTTAATCATAATTGTCTACTGTTTACAGTAGAAGGGGGTTTAATATCTGAATAAGGTCACATGACCAAAATTTTGGAAAGGGGAAGTCATGGAACACATGATGGAAGCGAGACTATAGCCCGGCCCTGTTTTTGTGTCATCTATAAATATGTTACAATTTATAGTTAGTATAGTTTGTTCTGACTGATAACAGCAGGACCAAAGTGAAAAGTGTTGAAAGACATGGATGCTCTTTTTCCAGAACCTGGCCCCTGATTATTCGGCACCGTATGTGGTGTTGAGCACCGATTCTCAGTTGGAGGGTCATGGGTTTACCTTCACAGTTGGTAAAGGAAATGAAATTGGTGAGAATAACTTACTTGTCATTAAAACCACCTGAACCATTTGAAGTTAATTTGGCACCAATTATAATAATTTTGCATGCATATTAGCATAGGCTGATACATACTTGTAGCTGAAATTAGCAGAGTATTTGGAAAGCATACCCTATGCTAATTTTTGTGGCACTTTGGTAGAATAAGTTTTACATTTTTTGGATGGTTTTATTGCAAACTAAAGAAGCTAACATATTTAGCTTAATGTTACTTGGCAGGCATTTATTTTTTAAATTATTTTATTTTTATCTTCATTGTTAATTTTTTTAGCTAACCTGGCCTGTGGGGTAACAAGGGTCCAACGTGGACTGACTTTATCGTACTGGTATTGTATGTTCTTTCAGTGTGCCATGCAATCAAAGTCCTAAGCAAGTTCGTTGTTGGACTTAAGTTATCCGCCATCTTTGATGATTTTGCCAGTTTCTGGAGGTCGCTGACGAGTGAGGATCAGATGAGATGGGTGAGTGAGTGATCATGTTAATGCTGTGCTACTGTGCTTTTCCCAGATCAGCATTTTTAAGCAAAATTCCTCAATATATACATCTCAAAAGCTGTGTGCGAAATAGTTTCCATATTTTGCTTGCCAGTCGGGCTAGCTATGCTTGAAAGTTACAAGCCCACAAAATAATTCACTAGCCCAAAATTTGAATGTAGAAACTAAGCAAAAGATTACAAAAAGTAAAATACCATCATTTATCAGGCCATAATCTTGTATGATTTAAAGGTATTATAACTTAACTTAACACTCATGGAGAGCGTGATATACATGTATTTAAAAAATGAACCCATGAAAATTCACTAGCCAGTCAGCCCAGTGACTGTGGAGATTTACTGGCCCAACTGGATTTTACTAGCCACGGGCGAGTGGTTATTTCGCACACTGCTCAAAAGAAGTTAAGGAATGCCAGATATTTTCCAGTGACTGTAGAAGTTGACAGACCCAGTCAGCAGGGGTTCAATTTTTTTTTTAAAAAGCCACTTGCCACAGGGCAAGTGACTTTAAGAAAGTAACTTGTCCTGACTAATTTTCCACTTGCCCTGATTTTATGACATAATTATGATGATGTAATTATGAAAGAAGAAATCAACATGGTATTTGATGTTAATGTTTACTGGACTATTTATTGAAAAGTGATAAATAGCAAAGAAAGATAACTCTACTTTATTATCATTGTGAAATGTAACAGCTACATTTTGAGCAGATATGAAATTAAATCCAAGTTTGTTTGCGGTTTGAAACCAAAAGTGGAATTTATCTAGTAGCCCACGGACAAGTAAGATACCAGTAATTGATTGCCTGAAATGAAAACTGACTTGTCCCGGGCGTTGTGCGGCGATGGGATTTTTGAACCCCTGAGTCAGTGGGGTAAATTACTAACATAATACATCATACCATTTTATGCACATCACCATACCCAGCTGTGATGTCTTTAATAATTGTTCACAGAATATCAGCCACATTTTTGCCATGAACAGCTGCCAAATCAATGGCGTGGCATTAAACAATATTCAGTCACCCACATAAATACACTATGTATGAGGTATGCAGAATATTATATGAAGAGTGGTACACCGCACAGCACTGCATCATACCACAACCATACCACAACCATGCCATACAGCAGTGCATCCACACCACATATACCACAACCATGCCATACAGCACTGCATCCATACCACATATACCACAACCATGCCATACAGCACTGCATCCATACTACATATACCACAACCATGCCATACAGCAGTGCATCCATACCACACGTACCACAACCATGCCATACAGCACTGCATCCATACCACATATACCACAACCATGCCATACAGCACTGCATCCATACCACATATACCACAACCATGCCATACAGCAGTGCATCCATACCACAACCATACCACAACCATGCCATACAGCACTGCATCCATACCACAACCATGCCATACAGCAGTGCATCCATACCACATACACCACAACCATGCCATACAGCACTGCATCCATACCACATATACTACAACCATGCCATACAGCAGTGCATCCATACCACATATACCACAACCATGCCATACAGCCACACTACACCGCACAGAAACACACCAACAGAATTAGCTTCATTAAAGAACAAATAAGCTTTGGGTTTTTTTACTCTTTCAACTATTGCATATGAAAGATTTGTGGTCAGTCTTATGCGGAACACCAAATTCATTCTTTAAAAACTTGTGGTTAATTAGTACCGAGCGATTAAAAGTTGCCAAAAAGTCGCCTGCTTCACTCTCGCCCGCCAACGAATCCACAGACAGGTTACGTAACTCTGTCGCCAGAGCACTGCAGTGACGTCATATGAGGAGCGATTTTCAGTTAGTTGTATAGAAAGTGTGTATGTAGCAAGCTCGTCATTTTGATGATTTCTCGACATCAACGAAGACATGCCAAATCGTTGCGTTGTCGTCAATTGCTCCTAGAGGTCGGGCTATGGTGTCGCCATGCACAGATTTCCACAGGACCCCACAGTTCGTGCAAAATTGGTTATGTTTGTGAGTGCGAAGCGAGCATTGTGGAAGCCTGAAACTATATCTTACTTGTGTTCAGATCGCTTCACGGAAGTTAAAGAATCAAAACTACTTACTAGTCGTAGTAAAATATGTCTATGATTGATGACCATAAAGATTTTCCATGACACAACTTGTAAGATAACGATTTCTGCCTAAGAAGCGAGGTTGTGGTCGAAGTAACAATAATACTGTAAGTAGTATTATATTGACACCCACCTCGCTTCCACGAGAGAAATTGTTATGTTATACGCTATGTCATGCAAAATCCTATTGGCAATCAATCAAATACATATTTTACTACCAGTAGAAAGTAGTTTTGATTTTGTAACTCGGTGAAAACAAACCTAAATAGCATTTATACTCAGACTGGCGGATGTTCGCGACAGGGCGCCGACATTTTTGAAAATCGTGAAGTCACAGGCTAAAGTCTGTTAGAATTAATGAGATTATAGTTTGTTTTCATCAAGTTAGAAAATCAAAACTACTTTCTACTCGTAGTTAAATATGTATTTGAATCATAACCAAAAGCATTTTGCATGACACAACTTATAACATAACGATTTCTTCCACGGAAGCGAGGTGGGGGGTCGAAGTAACAATACTGTGCGATGAATTTCTTGCTACATTCACGCAGGGATACTCTTCTCTTATATAGTCTCCCTGATTCACGTGGTTAACGTGCACTCACCAGTATGTAGATACTAGTCAATGTACATCTTTATATTTGGTCTTATAATCCTAATTAGTTTATTATCATATTTGTAAGCATTTTGAAACTAAATAAGAAGCAGACGATCTGCTGATACTTATAGTGCATTTATAACAGGACTGTAATATCTATACTTTTTCTAGTTTGCCAATGTGAATCATAATTCGCACACACGCCCTATTGTATGTCTCATTACACTTCACGGCGAAAACAATGATTCTGTTGAATGCTACGACAAATGAATAAAAACAACATGCAAATATTAAAATTAAAACAGATTAAATTTATAGGAACAATGTCAGGCTATTACCTTGTTCGAGGAATGTATCCATCAATATCCACAAAAACGAGTGATATGCCATTCATCTGCAGCTGTTCCAAGTAATGTGTCTTTTAACAGTCTAGTATACGAAAGCGTGATATATCGTTTCAGGTATGTCACATTGGTGTATAGTCTCATTGGTCACCCAAAATAGCACACCTGGCAACTGATTGCATAATGTCCGCCATTCTTTAAAAACGGTAATTTAGTTAGCCAATAATGAGCAATCAATCACTGTATTGGCGGTTAATCCTTTGAAGGAAGAACGTTGTTTTTACGCAGACACAGACACGACAGAGTGTATTCAGTATAGATTAGTAAATTGACATACATAAACACTACCTTTTGACAAATCCGCTGTGTAAGATAAAAGTAATTAATCAATCAGCGTGTTATCGGTTAATCCTTTGATCGATGTTTATAATGTTGAATATTTACTCCAGACACGTGAAATGCCAAATGGGAACCTTTGTCGGGTAATCTAAGTGGTGTTAACACTAATTATACCTGTTATAAATTCATTAACTGACCATCAAGTGAATGCTGACAAATAACTTGTGTAGGTTTATACCACCTAATACGGGTTACAAGGAGGGAGTATTAAATGCTGTATTGCATGTGAAAACTTATGGGCCGACACTGTTTTGAGAATACAAACAGAACTTCATTGTTGCATAAGAAATACATATAAGCATTTGCTGTGTGCTAAAACTGTATGTACCAATTTACCTAAGTAAAATTTCAGATTCTTCTAGCAATGGCAAAATAGGGTTGTTTAGTTTACCGATTCAAATAAATCAAATGTCAATTTTAATATCATACGTAATATATGTCATAGTTTTACATGACATGATTAAATATCGAGGTAAAACAACACAGAAATGGGATCAATTTGGATCAGTCATTATACAAATAAGGCCTAGCGACACCAAGTGATTTTGACAGAATTGTCTTTGAAAACAAGTTGTTACTCGGAAACTAGGCAAACAGGAGACAAAATTATATGACAGTAGATTGTGAGAACATATAGTTTTCATTTTCCACAACAGTTGTCACGATTTCAGGTTTATACAAACAATATTGAAGCTGTGCGGCAGGGATGTGGAGATTTGCTTTATGGGTGCGGCATATTGAGGCTGTGCGGCAGGGATGCGGAGATTTGCTGTATGGTTGCGGCATATTGAGGCTGTGCGGCAGGGATGCGGAGATTTGCTGTATGGGTGCGGCATATTGAGGCTGAGCGGCAGGGATGCGGAGATTTGCTGTATGGTTGCGACATATTGAGGCTGTGCGGCAGGGATGCGGAGATTTGCTGTATGGTTGCGGAATATTGAGGCTGTGCGGCAGGGATGCGGAGATTTGCTGTATGGGTGCGACATATTGAGGCTGTGCGGCAGGGATGCGGAGATTTGCTGTATGGGTGCGGCATATTGAGGCTGAGCGGCAGGGATGCGGAGATTTGCTGTATGGGTGCGGCATATTGAAGCTGTCAAAGCGGCAGGGATCGCGGAGATTTGCTGTATGGTTGCGGAATATTGAGGCTGAGCGGCAGGGATGCGGAGATTTGCTGTATGGGTGCGGAATATTGAGGCTGTGCGGCAGGGATGCGGAGATTTGCTGTATGGGTGCGGCATATTGAGGCTGTGCGGCAGGGATGCGGAGATTTGCTGTATGGGTGCGGCATATTGAGGCTGAGCGGCAGGGATGTGGAGATTTGCTGTATGTGTGCGGCATATTGAGGCTGAGCGGCAGGGATGCGGAGATTTGCTGTATGGGTGCGGCATATTGAGGCTGTCAGCGGCAGGGATGCGGAGATTTGCTGTATGGTTCGCGGAATATTGAGGCTGTCTGCGGCAGGGATGCGGAGATTTGCTGTATGGGTCGCGGCATATTGAGGCTGTGCGGCAGGGATCGCGGAGATTTGCTGTATGGGTTATGAATATTGAGGCTGTCGCGGCAGGGATGCGGAGATTTGCTGTATGGTTGCGGAATATTGAGGCTGTGCGGCAGGGATGCGGAGATTTGCTGTATGGTTGCGGAATATTGAGGCTGTGCGGCAGGGATGCGGAGATTTGCTGTATTGGTGCGGCATATTGAGGCTGTGTGGCAGGGATGCGGAGATTTGCTGTATGGGTGCGGCATATTGAGGCTGTGCGGCAGGGATGCGGAGATTTGCTGTATGGGTCGCGGCATATTGAGCTGTCTGCGGCAGGGATGACGAGGAGATTTGCTGTATGGTTCGCGGAATATTGAGGCTGTGCGGCAGGGATGCGGAGATTTGCTGTATGGGTGCGGCATATTGAGGCTGTGCGACAGGAATGCGGAGATTTGCTGTATGGGTGCGGCATATTGAGGCTGAGTGGCAGGGATGCGGAGATTTGCTGTATGGGTGCGGCATATTGAAGCTGAGCGGCAGGGATGCGGAGATTTGCTGTATGATTCGCGGCAGGAATATTGAGGCGGGCGGCAGGGATCGGAGATTTGCTGTATGGGTGCTGCATATTGAGGCTGTCGCGGCAGGGATCGCGGAGATTTGCTGTATGGGTGCGGCATATTGAGGCTGTCTCGCGGCAGGATCGCGGAGATTTGCTGTATGGTTCGCGGAATATTGAGGCTGAGCGGCAGGGATGCGGAGATTTGCTGTATGGGTGCGGCATATTGAAGCTGAGCGGCAGGGATGCGGAGATTTGCTGTATGGGTGCGGCATATTGAAGCTGTGCGGCAGGGATGCGGAGATTTGCTGTATGGTTGCGGCATATTGAGGCTGTGCGGCAGGGATCTGCGGAGAGATTTGCTGTATGGGTGCGGCATATTGAGGCTGAAGCGGCAGGGATCGCGGAGATTTGCTGTATGGGTGCGGCATATTGAAGCTGTGCGGCAGGGATGCGGAGATTTGCTGTATGGGTGCGGCATATTGAAGCTGTGCGGCAGGGATGCGGAGATTTGCTGTATGGGTGCGGCATATTGAGGCTGAGCGGCAGGGATGCGGAGATTTGCTGTATGGGTGCGGCATATTGAGGCTGAGCGGCAGGGATCGCGGAAATTTGCTGTATGGGTCGCGAATATTGAGGCTGTCGCGGCAGGGATCGCGAGGAGATTTGCTGTATGGGAGGTATATTGAGGCTGTCGCGGCAGGGATCGCGCGGAGATTTGCTGTATGGATTGCGGCATATTGAGGCTGAGGGGCAGGGATCACGGATTTGCTGTATGGGTGCGGCATATTGAAGCTGTCGCGGCAGGATCGCGGAGATTTGCTGTATGGGTCGCGGCATATTGAGGCTGTGTGGCAGGGATGCGGAGATTTGCTGTATGGGTGCGGCATATTGAAGCTGAGCGGCAGGGATGCGGAGATTTGCTGTATGGGTGCGGCATATTGAAGCTGAGCGGCAAGGGATCAGCGGAGATTTGCTGTATGGTTCTGCGGAATATTGAGGCTGTCGCGGCAGGGATCACGGAGATTTGCTGTATGGGTCGCGGAATATTGAGACTGGCGGCAGGGACGCGGAGATTTGCTGTATGGGTGCGGCATATTAGGCTGTCGCGGCAGGGATGCCGGAGATTTGCTGTATGGGTGCGACATATTGAGGCTCAATGCGGCAGGGATCGCGGAGATTTGCTTTATGGGTGCGGAATATTGAGGCTGGCAGCGGCAGGGATGCGGAGATTTGCTGTATGGGTGCGGCATATTGAGGCTGTGCGGCAGGGATCGAGATTTGCTGTATGGAGTGCGGCATATTGAGGCTGAGTGGCAGGGATCACGGAGATTTGCTGTATGGGTCGCGGCATATTGAAGCTGTCAGCGGCAGGGATCGCGGAGATTTGCTGTATGGGTGCGGCATATTGAGGCTGTGCGGCAGGGATGCGGAGATTTGCTGTATGGGTGCGGCATATTGAAGCTGAGCGGCAGGGATGCGGAGATTTGCTGTATGGGTGCGGCATATTGAAGCTGAGCGGCAGGGATGCGGAGATTTGCTGTATGGGTGCGGAATATTGAGACTGAGCGTCAGGGATGCGGAGATTTGCTGTATGGGTGCGGCATATTGAAGCTGTGCGGCAGGGATGCGGAGATTTGCTGTATGGGTGCGACATATTGAGGCTGTCGCGGCAGGGATGCGGAGATTTGCTGTATGGGTCGCGCATATTGAGGCTGTCAGGGATCGCGGAGATTTGCTGTATGGAGTGCGGAATATTGAGGCAGCGGCAGGGATGCGGAGATTTGCTGTATGGGTGCGGCATATTGAAGCTGGCGGCAGGGATCACGGAGATTTGCTGTATGGGTGCGGCATATTGAGGCTGTCGCGGCAGGGATCGCGGAGATTTGCTGTATGGTTGCGGCATATTGAGGCTGTGCGGCAGGGATGCGGAGATTTGCTGTATGGATGCGGCATATTGAGGCTGTGCGGCAGGGATGCGGAGATTTGCTGTATGGGTTGCGGAATATTGAGGCTGTGCGGCAGGGATGCGGAGATTTGCTGTATGGTTGCGGCATATTGAGGCTGTCAGCGGCAGGGATCGCGGAGATTTGCTGTATGGTCGCGGCATATTGAGGCTGTCTGGCAGGGATCGCGGAGATTTGCTGTATGGGTGCGGCATATTGAGGCTGTCGCGGCAGGGATCGCGGAGATTTGCTGTATGGTTCGCGGCATATTGAGGCTGAGCGGCAGGGATGCTGAGATTTGCTGTATGGTTATGCGAATATTGAGGCTAAAAGCGGCAGGGATCGGAGATTTGCTGTATGGGTCGCGGCATATTGAAGCCAGCATGGCGGCAGGATCGCGGAGATTTGCTGTATTGGTGTGGCATATTGAGGCTGAGCGGCAGGGATGCGGAGATTTGCTGTATGGTTGCGGAATATTGAGGCTGAGCGGCAGGGATGCGGAGATTTGCTGTATGGGTGCGGCATATTGAAGCTGTGCGGCAGGGATGCGGAGATTTGCTGTATGGTTGCGGCATATTGAGGCTGTGCGGCAGGGATGCGGAGATTTGCTGTATGGGTGCGGCATATTGAGGCTGTGCGGCAGGGATGCGGAGATTTGCTGTATGGTTGCGGCATATTGAGGCTGTGCGGCAGGGATGCGGACATTTGCTGTATGGTTGAAGCGTAGTGTGGCTGTGCAATAGTATGGTATGAATGTGGTGTTTGGCTGTAGGGTTTTCCCTTTGAAGAAATAACTCATGTTGCATGAATATCTTTCACCAACTATTTCCAGCTTGGTCCGGAGAAGGGAGTGATGCATCTTGCTGTGGCGGCCATTTGCAATGCAGTATGGGATCTCTGGTCTAAGATGGAGGGCAAGGTCAGAGGTTGATGCCATATATTCACCATTCCACCTGATTCAGGAACACCTGAACAACCTAAATGAATAACAATTCTAACAATGAAGATTGTCTCTGATTTTAAGTGTTTGAGCAATGTTTCTGCCTGATAAACAGTATGACTTTTCATCCCAAACTGGCTTTAAAAGTGGATATCGTTTGAGGGAGTTCAAGTGATATGTCTGCAAGCAGTATCTCCTTTGCTATTCTTCAAATAAAATTGCATCACTGTGCGTAGCTAAAGCTTGGGATGTCCTTGGTTACGATGACTTCACAAACAAATGACATCACTATTCCATCTGCCACTAAATCTGGTTAGCTGTACTAACACCCCAGACATTATTACTGATCCAGAACTGGAAAAGATGGTAAACAGAAGCTCATCTGAGTGTCCTTTAACAGGGCGAGGGGGTAGCCCAGTGGTTAAAGCGTTCACTCGTCACGTCAAAGACCCGGGTTCGATTCCCCATATGGATACAATGGGTACAAAAGCCCATTTCTGGTGTCCCCCGCCACGATATTTCTGGAATATTGCTAAAAGCTGCGTAAAACTATACTCACTCACTCTTTTAACAACCTTCAGAGTTTATTGGTATATACTCTCCATATATAGCCTCAGCTTGCATTAGAACCAATGTCATAGGAGGATCCAGAAATCTTCAAGGGTGTGTGTGTGTGTGTCAGGGAGTTCGACCCCCCTGAACCCGACCTTGGCTCCGCCATTGCAAAACATTAACTTCAATGTGGTCATCTTCAAAAGGGGTGGGGGTAGGGTTGAACCCCCTGAACCCCCCTTCTGAATCCGGCCGCCACTGAAAGTTTGGGATGAATGTTGTAAAGCCCAAAGTGCTGGAGTGTCATTGGAAACAAACATCCAAAATATTAAATTAGACAGCATTTAATCCACATTTGATATTTATAAATGTCGATTTGAAATTGAAAATTGATTTGACTCAATTTTACAGATGTTCTATGTTAAAGTATGGGAGTTACGATCACCTAAGCACTACGATCACTTTATGAATGAGGCCCTGGATGCTTCAGATGTTGGTTTGAATCCATGCCAAATTCACCCTGATTATGTCATTACCACACAAGTAGCCTAATGGTTAAAGCTGAGAAACTGAAGACCCGGTTCAAATCCCAATATGGGAAAGCCTAAGCCCATTTCTGGTGTCCCCATGATCTTGAATATTGAATGTTAAAACCAAACTCAGTCAGTCAGTCATCACATGAATTTCACCTTATGTATTACAAGTAATTACGAAACTGAAGCAACGGAAAGCCTAACTCTCATGTCTTGACTTGAATGTTTCAGCCCATGTGGAAGTTTCTGGTGGATATGGTAAGTGCTTTAACTCATACTGTGGTCAGATCAAACTTGTAGCCTTAAAAATAACATTCACGATCTAGTTATAATATTGATATTGTCCCAAGACAGACTGAATTCCAAATGTATTAACTTTTCATTCATATGAATACACAATGCCTTTTTAAAATTAATATACTAACTCTTTATCAAGCAATTGTTTACTCGTTTTATTTTAGTGAAATGTTGTAGAATGGTTATGTAACCGTGTTATATACTAAATGTATCACATGCTTGACGACTGATGTCTTCTGTGTTTCAGGAACCTGAGAAACTGGTGTCAACCATAGACTTCCGTTATATGTGAGTTGATCTGTAGTTAGTTGATTGGTGCTGAGATGAGTTGTAGTGAGTATATGCATGGTGAGTTGACTTGTAGTGAGTATATGCATGGTGAGTTGAGTTGTAGTGAGTATATGCGTGGTAAGTTGAGTTGTAGTGAGTATATGCATGGTGAGTTGAGTTGTAGTGAGTATATGCATGGTGAATTGAGTTGTAGTGAGTATATGCATGGTGAGTTGAGTTGTAGTGAGTATATGCATGGTGAGTTGAGTTGTAGTATATGCATGGTGAGTTGAGTTGTAGTGAGTATATGCATGGTGAGTTGAGTTGTAGTGAGTATATGCATGGTGAGTTGAGTTGTAGTGAGTATATGCATGGTGAGTTGAGTTGTAGTGAGTATATGCATGGTGAGTTGACTTGTAGTGAGTATATGCATGGTGAGTTGAGTTGTAGTGAGTATATGGATGGGGAGTTGACTTGTAGTGAGTATATGCATGGTGAGTTGAGTTGTAGTATATGCATGGTGAGTTGAGTTGTAGTATATGCATGTTGAGTTGAGTTGTAGTGAGTATATGCATGTTGAGTTGAGTTGTAGTGAGTATATGCATGGTGAGTTGAGTTGTAGTGAGTATATGCTTGGTGAGTTGAGTTGTAGTATATACATGGTGAGTTGTAGTGTGTATATGCATGGTGAGTTGAGTTCTAGTGAGTATATTCATGGTGAGTTGACTTGCATATATGCATGGTGAGTTGTAGTGAGTATATGCATGGTGAGTTGTAGGGAGTATATGCATGGTGAGTTGAGTTGTAGTATATGCATGGTGAGTTGTAGTGAGTATATGCATGGTGAGTTGTAGTGTAGTATATGCATGGTGAGTTGTAGTGAGTATATGCATGGTGAGTTGTAGTGAGTATATGCATGGTGAGTTGAGTTGTAGTATATGCATGGTGAGTTGTAGTGAGTATATGCATGGTGAGTTGAGTTGTAGTGAGTATATGCATGGTGAGTTGAGTTGTAGTGAGTATATGGATGGTGAGTTGAGTTGTAGTGAGTATATGCATTGTGAGTTGACTTGTAGTGAGTATATGCATGGTGAGTTGAGTTGTAGTGTATCCATGGTAAGTTGAGTTGTAGTGAATATAAGCATGGTGAGTTGAGTTGTAGTGAGTATTTGCATGGTGAGTTGTAGTGAGTATATGGATGGTGAGTTGAGTTGTAGTATATGCATGGTGAGTTGACTTGTAGTGAGTATATGCATGGTGAGTTGACTTGTAGGGAGTTGAGTATAGTGGCTTGTAGGGAGTTGATGCTTAGTAAGTTGATGGAACTTGAGTTGATCTGTAGGGAGTTGACCTGTGAGTAGTGAACCACATTGTTTTTGCAAATTTCAATAAGGCCAGGCCAATTTTATTTCTTGTTTTACGGATTTTTGTCTTCAGAAAACCTAAAGGCAGGAGGAAAAAAAATAAAAATAAAACCACCAGTCAAAGTAATATTCCTTCTAAATACTCAAAGTATGTTACTCTTGGCAATTTACGAAGTGTATATGGTTAAAAAAAACAATCTAAAAACAAAATTTCTTGTATGTTTACAATTTTGGCCAATAAATACACTAGGATTTTATTTTTGGAGCGGGGAAAATTAATTTTATTGTTTTTCTTGTTCTCGAAAAAATACGACAGGCAGATCTGTAAAAAAAATAAGATTGGTCTAGCCTAAAAAGGAAAAAACCTGGGAAGACAAATATTCCTTTGTCATTTCTCCCTTTTCTATGTTGATGCGTTGATACTTCTTTTGATTCTGCCCATTTGTTTCCCTGTGAGTGGATTAAATTTCAAGATTATGACATTTGAATATTCTGCTGCTGTTTCCTGGCAACTTGTTGAATGTGTGATCAAATACAGGCCTTGAGATAGTTTTGAGATAGTGTTGACTGTCTTTTATGTTGTATATTGTTGTATTTGATGATTTTATGAACAATTTCATCAGTCACTTCTGATTATCCTAAACATGACTGATCCTGTTGCAGGACTGATGGGATGACGAGGGAGGAGGCTATAGGTGAGCAGGACAGATGACACCATTTGTAAATTTTGTCCGTCTGGTTCAGTTTGGCCTCTTGCTAGGACACTAATGAATATTATAGAGTCCTGATGCTCCTAGGTTTACATACAATCAGCTGATTGTCTGTCATTGTTGCCTATACTATCAATCAAGCCCAGGCCCTGATTTCTCAAAACAAACTCAGAAGTTGAGAGTGATCTCAGTCCATTTTTTTGTATATGGCGTAAGCGGACTTGGTTAACTCTGACTGACTGACTGTCTGACTGAGTTTAGTTTTACGCCGCTTTTAGCAATATTCCATCAATATCACGGCGGGGGACACCACAAATGGGCTTAACACATTGTGCCCATGTGGGGAATCGAACCCGGGTCTTCGGCGTGACGAGCCAACGCTTTAACCACTAGGCTACCCCACCGCCCCATAACTCTAACTGTGACTATAGAAAAAATTGATATACTTGACCAAGTGTGAAGCTGTACACAAGTGGTTAAAGTACCTGCTTGCAAATGTTCTGACATGGAGAAACTGAGTATGAATCCTAGTGTCGCTGCAGCAGTGAATTTCGGCCATTTTTTAAATGGCTGGACTACTGCAGGGGCAGAGAACTCTCTTCACTCACTCACTCAGCTTGATGGTGTGTTATATACTTGATGATTGTTAAACCAAAAGGTCGATATCACTTCAGTCTGACCTTACACTCACCCTGTGACATTTCATTCAGAAATATTTAAGTGTAATGTACCTTTCAGCTGTCCTCAAGGAGATGCAAGCTGGAAAAAAGGAAAGAGGTAGGTAACTAGCCATGTACAGTTACAGATATGTCAGTGAACTGTGTCTCCTGGGGCTTTTAGTCAGCACACAGTAACACTCATGGCCTTTGGTCAGGTGACAATACAATTCAGACAACAGGCAGTGTCCTTTTTGGACACCCATCGGTTGGGTCATGTCAAACTTTGGTCATGTCAGGAGGCCAATAGCTGGTAGGCGAGATAACTCTCATTTCACTTCTCCAATAGGCTTGTTGCAGAGATACAAATCAGTGTCAGACCATATTTTGAGATGATGAAAAATAGATAACCAGGACCTAGATTTTCGAAGCTCACTAAGATAGTCATGAAGTTAATGTTAATGTATGGCACATTTTAGCTTTCAAAATCTAGGCCCTGACCATTGTGCGACATTTTAGCTTTGAAATCAAGTCCTACAATCAGGATGGTCTTAAAAGTAAGCATAAGTTTCTTTAAATATTCAGTGGATGTTATTGTTGATTAAACTTAAGAATTCCTTTTGGACAGAGGCAGATGTCATCGCGAAGGGTTTCCCAGCATACACCACTTCCTGTGGCTGGCTTGGCTATGATGACGTCAAACTCAGGAGGGTAATGTAGTCAGTGAATTGTCTCCCCTTTACAGCAGTAGGGGTCACTTATATATGGTGATAAAAACTTAAATATATACTACCCATCAAAAGTTTAGACTCCCTTAAAGCACTCACTATATGTTATGTATATATATATATATATATATACCGTTACATCGAAGATGAATTTCTGTACTAACTTAATGGAACCATCTGCAAACCTTATGCAGATGAATTGCATGAGGATCATGCATCAATTTTCTGAAAAGCATGTGCAAATATCGTGCATGTGAACATCAGCGTTTTGGTGTAAAGTTTTGTTAAGAATTCACCAATTTTCAATGAGGTTTATGATTTACTGAACTCATGAAAATAATTTTTTCAACGTTATGAATTTGCTTTACAATACAGCAGTTCATGTGTAAACAGTACCTTTAAACAGTATGGCATGTTTTGCAAAATCTAGTTTAGAACAGTTGACTGAAGTAAGTGGCTACATTTACACTAGTGAGTCTAAACTTTTGGTGGGGAGTATAGTTCTAGATCAGACCTGTTGATGTAATAGAGCAATTGATGTAATGAGTTTGTCACAGAAATACTTCAACTCAGAAAGGAGCATGCATAAAAATCAATCCTGCTTTTGAAAAGAAAAGAAATCAATAACTGATTTGTTTTTTGCATTGTAATTACTGCTATGATGGTATTTTCTTAGCTATATCCACATCAGTCTTTTGTGGGTTCCTTTTCGAGGACTTCTAATGAAGATCCAGTTGGAACTGGTATTCATGTTTGTCGTAAGAGGCCCAGGCAACTAACAGGACATCCTGACATTGTTAAAGCATGTCAATGAATCGCAGATGCGTAGATTAATGGTCTTTATACTCCAGATTCTGCTATTAACAGGCTGCCATGATATATCTGTATTTTTGCTGAGCTTGACATTAAACAGCAAGCAAACAAACGACATGTTTAAGATTTAAGACTCTGATGAAACAGTTTGGTCGATGTTAATAAGATCATTTCTTTCCAATTTCGTTTTCTCCATGTTTCAGCTGTGTAAGGAAGCGCTGGCCCAAGGGTTCACCCAGTAAGACATACAGAATCTTACCAGACTATCTTATTATCAGCTATATGAACAAAAGCTGATATATCACTGTATCAACTCATGTTGATGTATTAGATACCAAAAGACACTTGTCTGAATATTCAATAACACCTGCAAATCTCAAAACACATAATGTTTATTTCTCTTAGTGGGTCTTTACAAGAAATTGAAACTGAAGCAGACAAAAATGAATACAAAAATCTGAAAAGTATTGATTGTTGTGAGTTTTTCATCCATTACATCCTGTGACCTTCAGATTCAAGGCCAAAGTGGGCACTGATCTTGAGGATGACATCAGACGTCTCCGCATCATCCGAGAGGAAATTGGTCCAGACCATCTTCTGGTGAGGCACAGGCATTAATTATAAAGTCATCCAGGTCATTTTGTGTTTCAATTTTTACCTTATCTCCCAAAACATAACAAGCTTTGAAAATACTGGAAACACTCTGACATGTCGACCTGTGAAGATCTGAGTTAGAATTGGTCTTCAGTAACCCACGCTGGTTGTAAGAGGCGACTAACAGGATCAGGTGGTCAGGCTCGCTGACTGGATTGACACATGTCATCGGTTCCCAATTGTGCAGATCAATGTTCATGCTGTTGATCTCTGGATTGTCTGGTCCAGACTCGATTATTTACAGACCGCCCCCTTTTAGCTGGAATATTGCTGAGTGCGGCGTAAAACTAAACTCACTCACTCACGTTGACATGTCAAGTTACAATAGCTTACAGGCCTGATACAGCTGGTGTAGGTGTTGCCTAGTTACCAGGTATTGTACCTGACTGTTGCCATGTTTACCTGTCTGATGCAGCTGCTGTAAGTGTTGCCTAGTTACAGTTTGTCCATGTATTATGCCTGGTGTTGCCTAGTTACAGTTTGTCCATGTATTATGCCTGGTGTTGCCTAGTTACAGTTTGTCCATGTATTATGCCTGGTGTTGCCTAGTTACAGTTTGTCCATGTATTATGCCTGGTGTTGCCTAGTTACAGTTTGACCAGGTGTTGCCTGGTATTGCCTAGTTACAGTTTGTTCATGTATTATGCCTGGTGTTGCCTAGTTACCATTTGCTGTACCTGTCTGATACAGATGGTGGATGCCAACCAGAAATGGGAGGTGCAGGAGGCCATTGACTGGATGAAGAAGCTGGCTCAGTTCAAGCTCACCTGGATTGAGGAACCCACCAGCCCTGACGATATCCTGGGCCATGCCGAGATAGCCAGGGTTAGTTTCACACACAGCACTCATGATTCTTCACCACCTCTGTGCCAGTCATGATATCTCAGGAGGGACTTGGCATTATGATCTGGTGTCCTTTATCAGACTAGACATAATCTTGCCATGTCTTATTATCATTTGAATTCTTGTAAATATGCGATATACTATTCAACTTTTGAAAGGAATATTTTGATACTTCCCACCACTGATTATTTTACAACTCTTGTGTGGATGTTAGTTTGAAGTATCTTTGTATCCTTATCGGAAGTTGAGTAGTATAGTTGTGCACTGAAAGCTGTATTACAAGAGTAGGCTTGTGAATGTCTGGAATCAGTTTCAGTATGCTGATGGCAAGACTTGTTCGCAGATACTAGGTGCTGTTTTCGACAGTTACACATTTCACCTGTAAAGATTGTGAACTAGTCTTGTTGGGGATCATCTTTTATATGGGCATTTTTAAGCTGGGTTAAAAGAGGTGAAAGGTATGTACCAAACTGTTTTTGGAATGATAATTTTGCCACATGTCAGCCATCTTACCAAATGTCGGCCATGTTGAAAAATGTCAGCAGTGACTGTTATTGGCAAATCTACAATACGAAATATGAAATGTCCTCTGGAATCTTTTATGTAGTTGTTGGTAAACAAACTCTTTTTCTATGCCTCCTTCAGGACTCAGGCTTCAGACTATTTCAAGTATTATGTTGATTGAAGATGATTGATCCCCCATTATTTTCCTGCATCCAGGCGCTGAACCCTCTCGGTATCGGCGTGGCAACTGGGGAGCAGTGCCAGAACAGGGTCATGTTCAAACAGTTCCTCAAAGCCAAGGGTCTCCAGTTTTGTCAGATCGATGCATGTCGTCTTGGAGGAGTTAGTGAGTGTGTGGCTGTCATCCTCATGGCCAAGAAACTAGGAAGTAAGTTGTAGCATACTTTAGATGACAAAGGGATCATGGGTCCTCTTGCTCTGATACGAAGCAAGAGAAATGGCCATGATGACTGCTGGCAGGGTCCAGAGGTACATTTGATAGAGTGTCTGGTTGAAGGTTGGTGGTTTGAACCCCTGCCAAATTGGCAGTTTGGTGCAAGAAGGTTTTATATTCATATTTTGATATCTCATCCTACTGGGTACCCATTCACTGCTTGATGGACAGTGGTCATTTGCCCAAGGTGACATCACAGACCTGTGATTTGGCATATGGCAGGACCATGGCCTTGAAACTCTAGGGAGACTTTCCCCCTTGATTAGGTGGCAGGGTTGCTTAATTTCACCCGAATTGTGATCGTTACAGTGTGATTTGTTATTCCTCTAAATGGTATAGTTTGTATGAGTAGAGAAACTGGAAACTGGATGTTATATAAGTGTGTTCCTGTCCCCAGACATCCCGATCTGTCCCCACGGTGGAGGAGTGGGTCTGTGTGAGTTTGTGCAGCATCTCTCAATTTTTTGACTACATTGCTGTGTCTGGCACATATGACAACAGGTGAGTCTGGGTCCAGACTTCAGGAATCCTGTGATAGATCAAGGTTAAATTAATTATAATAATAATTATAGTCCATTTATGCGAATCGGATTTTTATTACCCCAGATAACCCAAACTGCCTGCTCTAGAGGGTTATAGTCACATGACCTTATCCCACCAGGTACCCATTTACTGCTGGGTGAACAGAGGCAATTTTGAACAAACTCACTTGCCTAAGGTAAGACCACATGTATCACATGTGTTTTGTTGTGGGGCAGGACTGAAGTCCTAGAAACTCGCAGCAGTCAAACACGGTCACTCATCCAAGGACTCCCCCGTGCCCAACTTCACCTGATTTGTGACCCGAGCTCTGTGCACAGGACCACGTACCACCAACTGCTGATATGCATAACCAGCTTCTTCTGATGGTTTATGTTTTATGGATATATACTGACATGAGTGGAAATGTGGAGACATCCAACAGCTCTTTTATAAGTTTGGTCTCTTGAGGGTAAGTCAAGCAGGCTACAGCTACACTGGTTTCAATAAAAACAGCTTCGCCAATTGCTGGTTGACTGTCTCATGATGGTAAGCCATGCTGACTGCTGCAAGTGAAAACCTGCAGTTAGATTCATATATTGTCTGTCAAGAACAGTATACTTTATGTGTGTTACAGAGTGACTGAGTACGTTGACCATCTACATGAGAACTTCAAGAACCCCTGCGTTGTGAAGGATGGGAGATACGTTGTTCCTAAGGTAAAGAGTTCTTGGTCAGCTCAATCCATTCATCAACAAAGTTGAATTATACACCTAATCAGTGAACAACCTGGCGGTTACTGTGTATCATCAAGTTGTCTGTCAACCGTGTTGTTTCCCCAAAGATGTGTATACAAAGACGGCTGTATTTCCTGTAATTTTACTGAATCTATTGTGTTTCCCCAAGTGTTGTGTATACTGAAATGGTTGTTTTTCTCCACTTTGACAACTTGCCTGTCTGGCTTTCAACAATAAAAAACACAAAAAACACAGCTTAGTCAGGTTACTGTTTGTAGGCATCGCAATGAACTACATAGTACTAACAGGCAATGCACCGAGTTTACGTAAACTGAAAGTACACGTGTTGTCATTGGTTATCGTTACATGAACTGTCCAATCGTAAGTAGTTTAACATAATCATCATAATACCGTAAACACCTCAACCTGACAAGAGAACCTGTCTGATATTATGAAATATTTACTGTTAGGGGTAGAAATATCTACCAGACCACCGGACAGGCTACTTTTGAAATTTGACCGTCCGAGATGAAAATAGACCGTTCCGGACGGTCGGGCAGGTGTTTTAAACGCTGGTGTATACCGGGATGGTTGTGTTTCAGGCCCCGGGCTACAGTGCAGACATGCTGGAGTCCTCCCTGGACAAGTTTGAGTATCCCACAGGTTCCGAGTGGAGGAGGCTGATAGCAGAGGGGGTGTACAGTGCAGAGTAGGGGTAGGGGTAGTTCAATGCATGGTAAGGTTCAGGGAGGTGTTTCAGTGTAGAGTAGAGCTGGGGTTTGTGTAGGAATGGGGTTTGTGTTTGGGTGGGGTTGTTCAGTGTAGAGCAAGGGTGAGGTTCAGTGTAGAGTAGGGATGAGGTTGTGTAGAGTACTGGTGAGGTTGTTCAGTGTTGAGTAAGGGTGAGGTTCAGTGTAGAGTAAGGGTGAGGTTCAGTGTAGAGTAAGGGTGAGGTTCAGTGTAGAGTAAGGGTGAGGTTTAGTGTAGAGTAAGGGTGAGGTTGTTTAGTGTAGAGTAAGGGTAAGGTTGATTAGAGTAAGGGTGAGGTTGTTTAGTGTAGAGTAAGGGTGAGGTTGATTAGAGTAAGGGTGAGGTTTAGTGTAGACTGACTGAGTTTGGTTTTACGCCGCTTTTAGCAATATTCCAGCAACATCACGGTGGGGAACACCAGAAATGGGCTTCACACATTGTACCCTTGTGGGGATTTGAACCCGGATCTTCGGAGTGATGAGCCAACGCTTTAGCAGGGATGAGGTTGGCTTGTGCAGAGTAAAACTGAGATTATTCAGAGGAGAGTAAGTGAGTCTGTTTAGTGTAGAGCAGGAATGAGGCTGTTCATTAGAAGTTAAGGGCTATGGTCTGTGTAGGGTCGGGTTGTGGAAAAGTGATAGGGTGTGTAGGGTTGGAATGTAGGTATTAGTAGGAATTTGACTGTCATGTTGAGGGAAAGGCTGGGGTTATCAAGTGTAGAATAGGGTTAGTTTGCCCATGGGGGTTAGGGTCTGTGTAGTTGGGAGAGCTGTGGAGTATATCCTGCAAAGGGATTGTCAGGATCAGTGTAGGGATTGTCAGGATCAGGGTAGAGATTGTCAGTATCAGTGTAGGGATTGTCAGGATCAGGGTAGGGATTGTTAGGATCAGGGTAGGGATCAGTGTAGGGATTGTCAGGATCAGGGCAGGGATTGTCAGGATCAGGGTAGGGATTGTCAGGATCAGGGTAGGGATTGTCAGGATTAGGGTTGGGATTGTCAGGATCAGTGTTAGGATTGTCAGGATCAGGGTAGGGATTGTCAGGATTAGGGTTGGGATTGTCAGGATCAGGGTAGGGATGGTCAGGATCAGGGTAGGGCTTGTCAGGATTAGGGTTGGGATTGTCAGGATTAGGGTAGGGATTGTCAGGATCAGGGTAGGGATTGTCAGGATCAGGGTAGGGATTGTCAGGATTAGGGTAGGGATTGTCAGGATCAGGGTTGGGATTGTTAGGATCAGGGTAGGGATTGTCAGGATCAGGGTTGGGATTGCCAGGATCAGGGTAGGGATTGTCAGGATCAGGGTAGGGATTGTCAGGATCAGGGTAGGGGGATGTAGTGTTCACCACATAGTGGGGGTTTGAGGGGTTGGTGGACATTACTCACCACATGGCAAAATGTTACAACTGTGGTAACAAATCCTGAAGGCAGCTGATATTATTATGCTGCTACGTCTTCCAAAGATGCCTTCAACATAATGTTTCTTACACACTCCAGATCTCAGTATTATCTCTCTGGTTTGTAGACTGATATTAACAGTAGCATATTTTAGATGGACATAGGTGTTCCATGTGTATCATTGAAATGAACCATGATACTGGCACCCTGTGATATTACTTCATTCATACCTACAATGAATCACATTGGTTGTCATATATTCAAGTTCATCACCCAGGTGTTGCGCGCTATTGTGTATAATCAGAAAGCTTGTCATGTATGTTTACTGGTATGTCTTGATTGGAGTCTCTAATCAGAATAAAATCATACCAGGGATCATCTTGGGTCAGTTTTTATTCAAAATAAATATTCATGTATATTTAATGTTTGTACACATGATTTTATCAATATGCTTGGAACACATTTCCGTTTAAGATAACATACACATGTTTTTGTTACGCATAATACAAGTAGAGTTTGATCAAATACTAAGATATACACAAATAGTTGTGGTGTTTCCACTGGAAGGGTTTGTGTACAGGAGTGAGTGAGTTTAGTCTTACGCCCACTTTTAGCAATATTAAAGCAATATAACGGCGGGGGACACCCATTAATTGGCGTCACACAATGTGCCCATGTGGGGAATCGAACCTGGGTCTTCGGCGTGACGACTGAATGCTTTAACCACTAGGCTACCCCACAGGATACGGTGAGACGCCTTAGTATCCCTAACCTGATACATATTGGTGTTATTCATGAAGTAACAATCTTCAGACAAGCAGAAACAAAAACTGAACATAGAACTGGATTACTTCGTCACATGATTAAGGGCAGGATGAAGCCCGGATAAAGTACACATAAACAATTCCAGAGTTGTCATCCATATTGTTTCATCACAACACATGGTTATAGAAATTAAGCATGTAATAATTTGATGATCTGCAATCAGTGATGAATCATTTACATTTGCAGCTGTTGTAACAATGCACAACAAGTTTTTGTTTTGGGTTCCTGACATTTTTCAGGTTTGCACAAGTAACTGAACCCTGTAAGATACGGCTTGACAAAAAGAACCTTTGATCTTAATGCTTAATTTGAAAAAAAATTAATATTGATTCTATAATCCTTTTATGAGTAGCATTACAGCATACATAAAAAGAAATTCTAGAAACATCACAAAATTACTACCAAAATTAAATGATACCTACATCTGTCAGTTCAATGTGCGAAAACGTTTCGTTGTATCGTGACTCAACCACTGAGAAATGTTGTGTGCCCCTGCTATTCATATGCATGTCGTATCCTAGTCCTACCACTGAGATAAGTATTATATCCCTACAACTGAGATAAGTGTTGTATCAAGGTTGAGTGTCGAGGCCTGCCGACATCACCATCAGTTCGGTTGATGAGGAATCCTTAGAATAACTCATAAATGAAACAGTTTACCTGGTATTCTCAGACATTCATTCCGATGGAATGTACAAATATAACAAGTACTTATGTACAAAGAATAACAATTATCTAATGTACAATTATAACAGTATAAAGTATAACAATCATTCACATTTTGTTCCATGTTCCACAATTTCCCATGTGTACCTAAAGCTGTCATCCTGCGAATACAAGCATATTGCACATAGATTGTCCGTGTGTTGTCTGTCGTTATGAAGCCGCATATTGGGACCGGAACTCATCAAATATGTAACTGGGGATGAAGGACTCCACCGACTGAAACAAAGTGATGCAAACTTTAAAGTCATTTCCTATTAACAACATGCAAGAAGTATATTGAGAAAATCTCATCTGAGCATCTTTCTAATGCAAATTCATGCACAATACTAGAAGTTTAAAGCTCTGAGGCTCTGAATGCATTGTTAATAACTTCTCGCAACCTTGCTAGCGAATTTTTCTGTCACTGCCACACATTCCATCTACATGATGACAGTCTTAAAATATTCTCGTCTGGACCAGACAATTCAGTGATTGACAACATGAGCATAGATCTATGCAATTCGGATATGATGACATGCATCAACCAAGTCAGTGACAAGCATGTGTGGCTGATGATCCATTTAACCCCGATCTTCACAGGCTCTAGGTAATTTGCTAAAGCCTGGTCACGGTTTAACCCCTACCCACCTTCCTGGGCATTCCGCTGTAGAAGATGAAGTCTTCAAGGAAGATTAGGACGTTGATGATATCCTGGGAGGCTTCAGGTGTCCGTGAACTGTGGCAGATTAGTTAATCAGTGATGAGAGGTAAGATTAATCATGACATTATCTCAGTGTTAGGGGGATGTGTATGGACAAACAACATGATAATTTACTTTGAAAAAAATCTGATCAATCTTAGTAAAATCATTGTTAAGTTGTAAGGTCGCTTTGATGAGACCTGTAATGGGATGTCCCTTGATCTTTGTTTAGCGGTAGTGAGAACTAAAATCTGATTTTAATGAGATTGTGATTTAACTGAAGCATCAAAATACCTGCATGTTGTTTTATAGCAAGAAAGGTTTCATGACACACAAAAGTCTTAGCATGAGAAACAATTATTTTATGGTTATGAGTGTATGCTTGCTAGGTGTCCAGTATAAACGGTATACCACAACTTAAAATACTAATGAATACATACTGAAACATATTTGGAAAATATTGGTTCACTGATTTTGTTCAAAATCATGCATATTTGCATCTGCTTGGCAAAGTTTACAAAAAGGGACAAATTGAAATTCTTGAATGAGAAACTGATTCCCTTGATGTAGTTTATATAAGCATCTATTAAGCATGTGACCAATGCAACTTCCAACAAAATGGTGGACGAATGCATGCAGTATACTGTGGTACATATAAACACTAGATCCAATAAGCTGCTGCCATGCACCTACCTGCCGAGGGCCTCCACTACAGAGCGGACATACTGCCCAAGGAAGGCCAGGAAGAAGTTGATGTTGTCAGAGTGGAACTGTTTCAACAGTGTGTAGCAACCCACAATAAAGGTAGGGGAGTCCAGCGGGTCGGTCGTCTTCTTGGACACCAAACCACCTGTCAACACAGATTTATACATAGACAGGGTTTTACTTGGATGGTTGTCTTATTGAGCAATGGTCAACATAAATTTATACAGAGATAGGTTTAGCTGGGTCAGAGGCTTTATTGGACACTATACTGACGGTCACCACAGATTCATAGGGGCGGTGGGGTAGCCTAGTGGTTAAAGTGTTCGCTCGTCACGCTGAAGGCCCGGGTTCAATTCCCCACATGGGTACAACTTGTGAAGCCCATTTCTGGTGTCCCCCGCCGTGATATTGCTGGAATATTGCTAAAAACGGCGTAAAACCATACTCAGCCAGCACAGATTCATACATAGACACGTTGGATGTGGTAGGTGGCCATATTGGAAACGATCTAACGGATATGATGACATTCATTAACCAAACCAGCGACCTCCTCCTCTCATGTATTTGATCCCTCATAGCAAGACATTGATTGTGCAACTATTGACAAACTGAGAAGGGCAGACAACTCACTGAGGCTTTTGCTGTAAACAAGTTTGGGCAACTGGGAGATGGTGAACAGGAAGTTGAAGAGAGGGAAGTATGGCAGCCGGGCAGTTGTGATGTAGATCTGGAACAGAGAAACAACAATAAAACACCAAGAGTCTACTTCTGTTACCCATAGATGTCATTAGTAGTGGATCGCAGGAGACACCAACATGCTCTGTATAAAGGGAGCAAATGCATACAAATTATACAGACTTCAAAATATGCTAGTCTGCTAGCCTATGACTACTAACTTACGCCGAGGACAAACAAAATAATTCTCAATGCTTTGGTTCTGCTACAAAACCGGAAATGTCTAAAACAGACAACAGAAACATAGCATACATTTAGTTACAGCAGGACTGGCTACAAACTCTGACGACTTGTGAAATAAGGTTCACGCAAATTGTCTACACTATTCATTAAATAACATGAATTAAGGCTGTACAAAATTCCAATCAAACTGGTGTCAGCATCACCTTGAGGAGTGGGTTGTGGAAGCCAGCAGACTCCAGGTACGAGGTGAGTTCGTACATCAGGGGGTTCTCCTCCTTGGGGTAGGGCAGACTCGGGTCTTGGTAGTGTCTCTCAATGTCTGCCAGCAGGGCGCTGGAGAGATAAGCGGAAATTTGGACTATAAACGGTATATTTATATACTTATCCTATCTCTCTCTTACTTCGACCATGGCGTCTAGGAGAGAGAGAGATGAGATTGTACAGTGCAGAGTTCCAGATTAACCATGAAAGTTAAGATATATTTTTAAACAGATGTGCTCTTGAATCCAAGGCTATAGCTCTGTGATTATTCTAAATGCTATGGAGGGGTCTTCCATAGATATCATATTGGTGAGAAGGATCTGATCTTCATGAGATTGTTCAAATGCGAGCAGATTATATGTTGTTAAAACCTCCCACATAATAATAATTCAAGTACACTCATCTAAGGGCTTATTATTTCCCCCTTACTTGTTCGTGGTCTGCAATGCATTTGCAAGGAACTTGGAGTCGAACTTGCACGATGTGTTGAGTTCATAGGCAATCTGTCGTCTCAGCAACTGCATCTGCCCCACCTACAGCAACATCCACCATCACAACATTGTGATCATTCCACCAGGAGAAACATATAGAAGCTCATACGAGTGTCTCTACAGATCAAATATGGGTTGACAAAAGTTACAAATATTCGAGGCTTATGTTATGTTGTGTCCTGTTGTTGCCCACCTAAGTTTTGTGGTGAGGTTTATGGTTACAATTGATTATTGATTGATTACTGAGCTCCAATTATCGATCTGCATATAGTGAGCACGAAAATGGAATACTTCTCAGTATGCTCTACTGCATTCTCTTTCCACAGAGGTTACTTGTCATATCTTCCTACGAACCTCTGTTCTAATACGGCCATATTTCCCGGTTCTCGTATAATCCCCTAGAGGCAAAAAATCGCAACGCGAATTATCTCCCTTCTTTCTATCCAATCAGAACACGTGTTACATCGACTTAGATCCAACTTGACTAACATAAGCAAATATGGGGCCACAAATATCCCTCCTCTGCCGGGGACTTGTGTTGATGTGACACACAAGACATTGATCCGCCATAACATGACCGAGTTCTGTCTAGAAGAAACGTTTGCGCATCGCACTGGGAAAGAGGTTCTAGTTTTCCCGAAGCATACGGAAATTACCGAGGCCTTGCGAATGATCACCTTTGAAACAACGGATTGCAACCAATCACGAATCCTGAACACTCGCACCATGAAAGGGCCGTGTTAGAACAGAGGTTCGTAGGAAGGTATGACAAGTAACCTCTGTGGGAAAAGAATGGCTTTACTGTGATGTTAGAATGACTTGACTGGGGCAGCAACTTGTCTGAGTCTAGAAACCTATATAGTATGGACAATCACTGTTCAAACCTACTTCCAACACAATGAAAGAATGTACTGTGTATACAACTCACCCTGAGTATGATGTCTAGGAATGGTGCCCACAGCTTGTTGGCCTTGGATATGGCCTGTGAATACACCTTCTGGGGCTGAGCTGTGGACAAAGACATGGTCGTTAATAGGGATACACCCCTGGTTTGTGAGGAACTTTGAGATAGAGATAGATCTCAGGGCACTGTGGCACACTTGAAGAAGATTGGATATACCTTGGGGCATATGGTGGTACTATTTCCAGTGAAATCCAGATTCACATGATTCCAGACTGATGTTTCACTGGTAAGTGAGTTGAATGTGGTTTAATTTCATGTGCAAGTATTTTTCTCAAATTTAATGACGTGCATTCATGTTCATGTGTGTGGGTGCTTGTACTGGTCTGGACTAATGCTGATTGTATAGCACCAGCCCACTGACGAACCATACCACTGCTCAACATGGACACTGCAATATAGCTTCAGTGTGGAACTTATGAGAAATATTTTGTGAACACCAGGTGTTATATATATAGTAATCATAATAATCACAGTAACATTGGATTCATTAAATCGCATATTGATGCAAACAGTGATAATCTACAGACATCTCAGCCCTTTGTCCTTTTGTTACAAACTGGAGGGACTTAGTCGTACGTTACTCCGTGAAACCAAAACATTATCACTATCGAAATGACGAAAGTCTTCTATTAAAGAAGACCGATAAAACTTGCGTTGTACATACAGCAGAAAAACAACCAATATTCTAAAAGACCAAACATTAATTTTAACGTCTCTCTTAAAGTTGTACTGACTTTTTGTAGTTAAACTACATAATATTTTTGTTACACACTCCTCGCTTCTGTGAAACTTACAGATAGTTCCCTGCAAAGGGTTGAGAGTCCTGGTGACGGATCCGAAGAACTCCATCCAGTTCTTGTCACGGAAGACGCCCCTCATGATCTGCATCTGGTAGCTCTGCAGCTCCTTGACAATCATGAAACACAGGAGACGGTCCAGGCCAGACAGTCCGAAACTCCCGACAGCTCTCTGGGGACAGAATGTTCAGTTTTATACACACAGGTGAATATGAAGCAGGATATATCACTACTGCTCAAGTATATTTTCAGTTAATGTTTTTTTTAAACTAATTGACTTTGATTTTCAACAGTTTGCAGATGCTAGTGAGCACCACTATTGACTATGGAGCACAGTGGTGTAGTGGTTAGCATGCTGGCCTCTCACGCCAAAGGCCCGGGTTCGAATCCCGGTGGAGACACCAAAATTTGTGACCTGGGTCTCATACTGTGTTGTGTCCCTGGGTAAGGCACTTCGTCCACATTGCACTCAGTCAACCCAGCTGTTTAAAATGGGTACCTGAAAAGCGGATGTACGGACCTATACGGTCGGGCTTAGCGCTTAGTAGCAGCTTTGAAAGTACAATTCCGTCAGGGTAATAATGTAACGCCAGAGAACAGCATCGCGTTGGATTCTAGGAGCAAAAATTAGCATTATTATTATTATTATGGCCACTTACATGCAGTTTCTGGAAAAGCGTTCTGTTGCAGACTTCTGCTCGGGTCTTTAGGTCGTACCAAGCCTTCATCTGGTCAATGTAGGCAGTTTGTCTGAAAACAATGTACATTGATAGCTTAAGCATGGCATTACTGATGCCGACAGCCCACAGAATGAATGAGAGTTTTTCAACCCAGTTTAGCCACTGTTCTCTGTATGATCAAGTCTGGGCCATGCACACAAGCTGTAGACAGCTTCAGAAATTGTCCACCATGACGTGTTGTAACCGTATCCTCATTAACTTGGTTCATGCAGTTAACTGAAGCTAACCTAAGACTGACATTCTTTACCTGGGATCTGTGATGCGGAGGATCTCCCGAGCCAGTCGGCCGATGAAGTTGACGCTCTCGTCGACGGGAGGGAAACGTGGGATGGGTATGGCGGTGGACTGGTAGATGCTCTCCCAGTCCTGGACCTTGGTACGGAGAAAGCTGTTGCACTCCTGCTCCACGTTGTAGTTGATGATGCGAGACACCTCCTCCTGCCAGATCTTCAGGCCGTAGATGTTCACGTAGTCCTGGATGTACTCGAAGGAACGACGAAAGCCCTCCATCTTCTCCCCCAGCATCGTCAAGGCGCGGCAGCAGCTCGTTCACCTGCATGGAGATGAGCTAGTTCAAGAACTGCTTGCAGAAGGCAACAACTCACTTCTGATAAAACATGGAACAGGTTGTTTGTAACTGATGTGTTTTGATAACTTGAGTCTATTAAAGTGATGACATAAGATATTTTACAGTAATTGAAATTATTAAGGTACATCACATTGTGAGAAAATATTGAACCTGCAATATTTGCTTGTATCTGTGTTAAGTCACAGTATGATATACTGAAAAACTTTGAAAATGCACAATCAGCTCTAATTTGAAAAATCTGAAAAGATGTGTTTTTGTGCCCTTGTCCATCTCCAAACAACTAAACAACTAAATGAAATTCGCACCTGTACAAAGTCATTGTTGTGTTTGATTATCTCATGAATAAACACTCAGAATAACTTATTTTGATATTTAAAACCATTTTGCCTAATATTTCAAGAAACCAAACATGTGTTTCAGTTTAGTCTTAAGAAATCACTTCCATAACACTATATGTACATATGTTCATAATTGCATAATATATAATTAAACCAAAGATCTTTCTCACAAACTGCTAAACAAATCAGATTTGAAAATTGACAGTGTAAGGTAACAGATTTAAAACATTTAAGATTTAAAGATTTAAAGCACTGAACCCCATCTGGCTGAGCAGGTTAGGCGGCTGACTTTGTGTGCTAGCCATTAGGTGCCTGACTCTGAGGGTGTGGGTTTCGAATCCTGGGTGGGACTCAACCCAACAAAAGTAATAATAATAAAAATGTATTTATAAAGCGCCTTATATCCACCATAGAGATGCTCAGTGGCGCTGTGACAATATTAGGGAGGGAATAGTTCATATAACTTTACAGAAAGGCAGCAGTGAATAGATGGGTCTTTAGCAGAGATTTAAAAGTTTCTTTCGATGAAATATTCCTGATTTCCTTTGGAAGATAGTTCCACAGTTTAGGGCTGGCAAAGGAGAAGGCTCGGTCAGACAGTTGGTTTGGAGATCTGTGTTGGGTGAGGAGAGAGTCAGAGGAGGATCGCTGAGGTACATACACGCAGTCAAGATGTTTGAGATAGTCGGGAAAGTTATCGTTGTAGAGGCAGTCATGAGTTAGAATGAATGAAGTACTAAAATCTGTATTTTTCTAAGAAAGTGTAATCCCAAATATAACATATGTTACATTTGACTACTAGTACTTTCTAAATGGCATTGTGTATTCACCGAACCCCATCTTTACCACAGAGTTTGCTACAGCTATTATGATGCATAGTTTGATTGTAGTGAATGGAAAGATTAAACAGTAGTCAAAATCAGAATAACTGACGTTAGATTTGAACATTCTAATCTCAAGTTTAGACCATTATCCAGAGGCACATGAGACACCAATATGTCCTGAAACCAGTGTCCATGGTGTGTCTTAAACCTTCACCCAGGGTGGTATCATACAGAAAACATTCACACCACACTGACACTTGCCTTGGCTTTGGGGTTGAACATGAGTCCCTGATGCAGGGCCTGTGCCACCTGCTGTACCAGCTCCTTGCGGATTCCATCCTCCAACAGCTGCTTGGGGTCAATCTGATGTATGGAAAGAATTCATGTGAAAAATGTGTCAAATCCACATCTATATTTGTCATATTTTCAATTTATCAATTATTGGTGACTTGTTACATAAATTGCTATAACTCACTGTACGGAGTTGTGTCCCTTAGTTACACCAGGACTCCATGATCGTTGGTTTGATTTGCCTGTTTATGATCATTAGTGTGTCAATACTGTATCTGTGTTTGTGGGTTTCACCATACATGACTGAACTACTTTTCATAGCAGTCTTACATCCACTCACTCTCTCACTAACATGAACAACAAACCTATTGGCCATTGTTCAGGAATTTGAACCCAGTCAGTTATATATCTGTTTGTTGTTCAATACCATGTGCTCTGGCTATGTACGACCATCCTGGCTGCCTACGATGCACTAGATCTGCCTCATCCTACAGCCAATAACCCGCACAAGATTAGGGCCGTGGCGTCCACCATGGCTCTCCATAGGAACTGCACCGTTCCAGCCATCATGGAGGGATGTTTCTGGAAGTCCTCTACTGTCTTCGCTAGCCACTACCTGAACTTCCGTTCCTGTACACTCGTCGATACTTGAGGCAGCCATTCTAGAGAATGGCGAATCAACGACTGTCTGATCTCTTTTAAGCGGGGCTTGAGGTAATATGCATAAGACCTATGGTAAGGTAAGTTAAAAATTTATTATCATGACCATCAGCACAGCCATGTACAGGTCAGCTGCCAGTGTGTAATTTACCCTAATTAACCTTAATGAACTGAGTGTGGCCGGTTGGCCACGGAAGTTGAACATTGTGGATGAGGCGCTGATACAGCAGGCTGACCATACATGTATCGTAATACGATACGGGTCAGCCTGACAGTCAGTAGTATATAGACAATGAATTCTTAATGTAACGGGACTGGACCCTCGGACAGCGGCTAGGCAGGTGGGCTGACGATCGCCTCTGTGATGCTGCCTGGCCGTTGCAGCACTATCATGTAATTGCATATTTCGATGTCGAATAAAGTGTTGTGGACCCACTGATAGACTTGGGTGTTTGAAGAGACAATATCCCACAAAACGACCCCCCCGGGATACTAGGCATGATAGCTGGGGTGAGTTCGTCTATACAGTGATATCTGCAATCACATGCACATTGTTTTCAAAGCGACAATGACTTTTTTTACTTCCTCAAAGTTCTGGTGTAGATAGTACTGGTATTAGTACCTTGATCAGGTGTAGATAAATGATGTTATTAGTACCTTGATCAGGTGTAGATAAATGATGTTATTAGTACCTTGATCAGGTGTAGACAAATGATGTTATTAGTACCTTGATCAGGTGTAGACAAATGATGTTATTAGTACCTTGATCAGGTGTAGACAAATGATGTTATTAGTACCTTGATCAGGTGTAGACAAATGATGTTATTAGTACCTTGATCAGGTGTAGACAAATGATGTTATTAGTACCTTGATCAGGTGTAGACAAATGATGTTATTAGTACCTTGATCAGGTGTAGACAAATGATGTTATTAGTACCTTGATCAGGTGTAGATAAATGATGTTATTAGTACCTTGATCAGGTGTAGACAAATGATGTTATTAGTACCTTGATCAGGTGTAGATAAATGATGTTATTAGTACCTTGATCAGGTGTAGACAAATGATGTTATTAGTACCTTGATCAGGTGTAGACAAATGATGTTATTAGTACCTTGATCAGGTGTAGATAAAAGATGTTATTAGTACCTTGATCAGGTGTAGACAAATGATGTTATTAGTACCTTGATCAGGTGTAGATAAATGATGTTATTAGTACCTTGATCAGGTGTAGATAAATGATGTTATTAGTACCTTGATCAGGTGTAGATAAATGTTATTAGTACCTTGATCAGGTGTAGATAAATGATGTTATTAGTACCTTGATCAGGTGTAGACAAATGATGTTATTAGTACCTTGATCAGGTGTAGACAAATGATGTTATTAGTACCTTGATCAGGTGTAGACAAATGATGTTATTAGTACCTTGATCAGGTGTAGACAAATGATGTTATTAGTACCTTGATCAGGTGTAGACAAATGATGTTATTAGTACCTTGATCAGGTGTAGACAAATGATGTTATTAGTACCTTGATCAGGTGTAGACAAATGATGTTATTAGTACCTTGATCAGGTGTAGATAAATGATGTTATTAGTACCTTGATCAGGTGTAGACAAATGATGTTATTAGTACCTTGATCAGGTGTAGATAAATGATGTTATTAGTACCTTGATCAGGTGTAGACAAATGATGTTATTAGTACCTTGATCAGGTGTAGATAAATGATGTTATTAGTACCTTGATCAGGTGTAGATAAATGATGTTATTAGTACCTTGATCAGGTGTAGACAAATGATGTTATTAGTACCTTGATTATACCGACAAGGGTTGTCTTCATCATCAGAATCCCCTCCGTGAACACCGAGATTGCATGAGTCAGCCTCGCTACCTGTCAGAGGATTCACCAAAGGGAAAATTAAGGAAAAGGAATAAAAAGAAAACCTTTTTTGATGAAAATTCTCTCTACTACTTGTCCCTTTCATCACTGACTGCAGCTGCATTATGCTGACAGCTTAAAGTTCTCCCTGAAGTCTGCCTGATGTACATATTGACATATTCATGTTTACAGTATTACTCTGGTGTAAATCCACGACATACTGTCGACTCAAAATAGTTGTAGGCATAGGTACTTGTCATCTGCTCCTAGTCAGAAAGAACAGGTCTAATTGTATACAAGGTAACCTGGGGATAATACATGAAAATGTCTGCCATGTTTTGTATTTCACCTGAAAACGTTCGTCGAGCTGAGCGTACTCCTTCATCTTGTCTTTCTCCAGGCGGGTTGGTAGCTCATGAATTTGATTGGTCAGCAGGCGTATGATACTTGCCAGAAGACTAAACATAGTCTGAGGAATGATCTGGAAACAGGAGATGGGTGAGGCAGTGTGAGATTACATCATTTCAGATCAGTCTCATTTTATCACATTGGATCACATTACCAGAATAACCATGATCACATCACATACCCATGATGTCATGCCGATCCCATGATCACATCACATCCCTATGATCACATCGCATCACCACAATAAAATCACATCGCCATGATCACATTATCATGATCATTGCCAATGATCATATCCCATCACCACAATCACATCATATCCAAATGGTCATATCCCTGTGATCACATCACATCACCATGACCACATCACACGAACATCATCACAATCACATCAACATCATAAAAATCACTGCACCCTTACCACAATCACAATCATCACCACAACCATACATCCCCATAATCACATTGGATCACAATGAACAGATCACATCGGATCACAATGACCACACAGCGATGACTGTCAGTACAGACCTGCAGGACTTTCCTGACGTATCCCACCAACTCGCCGGAGTAGAACTGTGACACACTCATCAGATCGGGACTCATGGCCTGGTTGATTCTCAGCAGAGGCAGTTCCAATGCTGATGACATCTGCAATAACATGTTCAGTTTTACACCCACAAGACTATTTACATCATCAGTAGATGTCCACCCTGTAATATGAGCTCCATATAGAAGAAAATATAGTGAATGGATGCTCAGAGCCAACAAGAATCCATTCCACTGTGGGTCTGCCCAAACCAAGAAATCTGAAGCAACCAGATTCACTCACAAAGCAATGGCCCCGCCTTCTTTGGGGACAGCAAAGCCAATACACACTGTGATTATTATCATGGGGAGCAACTATGAATAGAGTATACCATGATATCTCATTGAAGTTACTGCTTGAGTCTATCAAAGAGACACATCACAACTCCGTGTTGACAGACAAGGATGTGACCTTCTACACAACAGGGATATTTAACCTGGACAAGAGATGGAACAAGTATACTGAATTCCAACGGCCAATATTAAAACGTAACTAAAGCTCACAACAGTATTGCATATGCTGGACTCCAAATGTTTCGGGAACTGAAGAAACCTGAATATGGTCTATTATGAGGAAGACGACATCATTTCACCTGATGACAGAGTAAGTGAGTGAGTGAGTTTAGTTTTACACCGCACTCAGCAATATTCCAGCTATATGGTGGCGGTCTGTAAATAATCGAGTCTGGACCAGACAATCCAGTGATCAACAGCATGATCATCGATCTGCGCAATTGGGAACCGATGACAACCAAGTCAGCGAGCCTGACCACCCGATCACGTTAGTCGCCTCTTACGACAAGCATAGTCGCCTTTTGTGGCAATTATGGGTTGCTGAAGACCTATTCTACCCCGGATCTTCACGGGTCGATGACGGAGTAAGAATATGTAATTTCCTCATAATAAAGAAGTTGACATCCATTCATTTCCCCCACTTTATGTGTATTATTTCTAAATGCTGCTCAACGACTGAATATGTTTTGTCTGTAACCATCCTGTGTTCCTAGTTTGATCTGGGTGAGTTACCTTGAGGAATGTGGCTCTGAGTTTGATGACAAGGGAGGGGTCCTTCTTGATTCCCTCCTGCATGTAGCCAGTGTAGCTGCAACAGTGAGGGGTGGTTAGCTGTGTTGGCTGCACACATGTAGACGCTCACCCATAGTGGACATTATCTTATTTGGATTTTTTGTTAAAACAATTTGTTCCTGAAATGATATGTTTTATGTTGTGTTATATTCGAACTGGTCAACCAGGAGTATCAATGAATGAATATCCTTTCAAGATGATTGGAATCGATTGGACTGCCCTATTTCGGTGATACCTGTCGATGATGTTCCAAGCGTAGGAGAGGTCCGCAACAATGCCGATGTTGATGAGGACTTCCTCCTTGATGTTTATGGTGCGGATCATGTGGTGGAGGTACTTGCGGGTGTCGGCAAGGAACTGCCTCACCTGAAGGTTGCTCTCAAGCTGGTGGAACTCTTGAACCTGAAAGATCAATCACATCATTTCTGTCTGTGTCATAAACTTCCGGTCTGTTAGCCTTGCTGAAAGGCAGTTGATTTTAGACTCATTGTCTGGACTACAGTCTATGAATGGCAAAATAGTCAAAATTGGGAATAGTCTGTTTAAGAGAGTAGCATGTTGTTATGTGTACAAGTTGATATTACAATGATAGAAGGAACAGCATAAACATGCTGTGCAATACAGTGGTACAGAATGCCAGCATAAAAGGGGTTGTCTCATGATACGTTAGTTGCACTTGGACTTTCTCATGTCGCAGTCTTTATCACTGGAATTCCATTCTTCTGACTAGTTCAGAAGAGCTTTCACTAGATGCTGGCCTTGGACTGCTGCCACATAATGCCAGCTAGATTTGATGCAGAGTCATGGAAGTGTTTTGGGTGTGGCTGAATGTTGATTTTTGACAGTCAATAATATTCCAGGCTGACTTTTATCTGAGTAATTATGACGACAAGCCTACAGTACCACAATATTTCCTCTAAGTGAATCAAAGTGATTAGATGGTAAGTCAGCAATATTCCAGCCACATCATGATGGCCTGTAATCATGTTACAGCCAGGCAAACCAGGGGATGATATTATGAGCAGTGTCCCATGTTGCCATGACGACCCAAAACTCGACATGCATAGCTCCTTCTCCTTGCTACTATGATGTAAACTGAGAAACAATACCTCCTCCATGGCCTGAATAAGCTGGACGATCTTCCGTCCAGCAGACGTAGAGTCCTCATAGTTCAGTGACATTATCTGTTTCGACATTTCCGTAAACCAGGCCTGGAGGTTATCTGGAAAAACAAGGAAAAACATGCAAGTGAAAACAGTAATATCTTTGTCCATATGGGTAGAATGATCATCATTCATGTTGTCAGAAATTAGTTACATCACATGATCTGAACAATGGGGTACACAAAGGATCATGCAATCATGCAATAATGACTGGGTATCTCACCATTTCTCTCCACCCTAGTGAGGGGTTTGGTGCCAGAGAAGACCTCGCTCAACTCCTGCATGCGTTCGTGGCCTTCCTTCTTGTAAGCCTCCCACTTGGTCTGTTTGTCCAGCAGCATCTGCTTGAACATCTGCAAGGCACATATTCTGTGTTGAACAAGCCCTGTCCCCTCACTCATTCATGAGTGAGGTTGGCTTAATGCTATTACAAACAGTATTTCAGTTAAATCAAATTGTTAAATTTCACAAATAGAGTTGATGCTGACAAGCTGATGACCATATCACATGTGAATTTTGGATTTGAAACCATGATCATAGATTGTTGCACAAATATGTGAGGCAGCTGTATGGAACAACGTGCAGCAGTTCAGACCCTCGGGCACGGGTGTCCGCAAGTCAAGGCATCACATACTAGGATTGCCCATTATTTATCCATCAAGAAATCTATCTATGGGTATGGTCATCAAGTCAGTAGGCTCGTTTGCTCAGATTTCAGGGCACCTGTAAATATGTAATTTTTAGAGTAAAATTGATATTTTATACTTATCCTGACTCATGCTCTTTTGCTTGTCTTCTTCTTCTTGCGAACATAGTGGAACACTTGTATCTCCTTATTTGAAGCTCCCTTCAAAATAAAATCACTAATTGGTACTCACCACGAGTTGCTCCCCTTTGTTTCCCCTGGCGGGAAAGGTGTCGCCACCCTCTGGCCATGTGCTCCACTCTCTCCTGATTTAGCGAGCCCAACACTTGAACTTACAGGGAAATCCAAAGTGTTATGTGGGGAGGATGGGAAGGCTAACCTCATGAGTCAGGATAAGTATAAAATATCAATTTTACTCTAAAAATTACATATTTTTCCTTATCCTGACTCATGCTCTTTTGCTTGTAGCATCCTACGGAACGGAGGTGGGTAACAGAATACTTTGGATTTATAATTAGTGATTTTGTATAGATATACTGTAATATCTCCCCACGGGAACTTCATGAAGGCTTAGATTTAGGATGTTTCCTGAATAAAGAAAACCATAGGTTATATAAAGCCATTAAAGGGGAATTACATTATGAATATATTGAACAATACATATAAATTATATATATATATATAGGTGACTCTGATAGAGGCACTGAAATTGACTATACCAAAGTATATGCTTAAGGTTGAATACTTAAGCTGAACATATATACATAGCCCTAAAACTCCGTGAGAGTTATAAGCTAGATGAGTATGTATAAAATACATATTAATCTTGTGAGGATAATATTTTAACGCCTCACGAGGGACTGTCAGTTGCTGAGCGAGGACCAGTGGTCCGAAATGGTGAATGCCAGAGACATCTTCTGTAGTGATGTCTCTCAGGTAGTGATTAGCAAATACCATGTTAGATTTCCAATAGCATCCTTCCATAATCGTGTTCAAGGAACAGTTACCGTAGGAGAGGGTAGAGGCCAGTGCCCTGATCTCATGTGGATTTGATGCTGTTGGTGGGTCCAAGCCTGCTGCCTTGTAGGCACGGAGAATGACAGTCCTTATCCAAATAGATATTGTGGTCCGTGACACTTCTGTTTGATTCGTAGGCTTATAAGGGGATGAATAAACGTTTGAGAAATCTTCTCCTTGTTTTGGATCGTCAGAATAAACTTTGAGCTCTTACCGACACAGTGATAGGTCTTGTGTATCTTGTGATCCGAGAATAGAGGATAGCCGGGATGTGGAATAATCTGTCTGGTTGACCTGGCAGTTGATTTTTTTGCATGAAATCCCATCTTAATCCGAGGAGGTGCTGTGTTATGATTGTCATCAAACTGTATCCTCTCGTAATCCAGAGCTGAATTTCAGACATTCTTGCTGCTGTGGCTAGCGATAGCAGAAACAGTGTTTTCTGTGAGAGAAATTCAAAGTTTGTCGATTCCAAAGGTTCATAGACCTCACTCGTGAGGTGTTGTAACACTACATTCAGATCCCAAGCTTGGCGTGGAACTTCCGCTTTGGTCCTCCAATCGAAAGCTCGTGAGTAAGGCCAGTAACTCTGGAGATCTTGTCAATTTGACACCCGCTCTCATGGTGATTACAGAACTAAAGCGCTGCAAGATATGTTGATATCGTTGAACCTTTTAAATGTTTGTTTTGGCGTGAGGTAACACAAATAGTCTGCCACTTGAGGTTGTGAAGCCTCTCTTGCTGTAAACCCTTTCTTTGTTGCATAATTTTCAAACTGTGCCACTTGTCGCCGCACAAGTTACGAAGTTGAGTAACGAAGGCAAGCGTTGACTGCTTTTGCCGCCTGGCAGAATATCCTCTCTTGTTTAAACACATTTGTATACAGTCCATATGCGTAGTTGGAACATTGCTGGGTTTCCGCACTTGTTTGGTGTGAGGATGAATTAACAGGTTTGCGCGCTTTGGGTAGCTCCAGTGTTGGTTGACCGATTTCTTGAATTAGTATGGGAAACCACGCTCTGGCCGGCCAGTAGGGCCACCAAAGTGAGTTGTAGGCTCTGTGTTTGTCTGATTTTCTGTAATACTTGAGGTATTATTGCTGGCGGCGGAAACGCTGCACGCATTGAGGCCTTCCCATGATAGACTTAGAGCCGCCCGCTGCCCAAGCTTGGGGTCTGGGACTGGTGACACTAATGTCGGTAGCTGATTGTTGAATCGCTGCGGCTTAATAGGTCTATTAGCGGGCCCTAATTGCTTGATTATCTGTGCAAAATTTCCCTGTTGATCATCCACTCTGTCGGTGATGGTAGATGAGGCCGAGAGAGAGCGCCTGCTAGTATATTTCTGGCTCCAGGAATGTGCACTGCTCTGACATGTAGATTTAGATCTTGTATTAAATCGAACAGTTGAAAGCTTAGGTTCAAAAGGTTCATCGATCTCGTTGAGCCTTGCTTGTTTATGTAGAACGCCACTGTCGAATTGTCTGTATGGATCATTAGGCCGCATTTTGTAGAAATGTGCTCCAATGTAGAATGGCGCTGATTACAGCTTTCATTTCTAGACTGTTTATATGGAGTTTGCATTCTTGCTGATTCCATAATCCTGATATCGTGTGGTTGGTGAGATGAGCTCCCCAACCTTGGAGTGACGCGATCTACATACAGATGGGTTTTGTATTCCTGCTCTGCTAAACAAATCCCTTCGCAGACATTCGATTTCTTGGTCCACCATAGTAGATGCGGTCTGAGATGTTTCGGTAGACTGAATGGTTGTACATCGCTGAGATGTGCGTTGATGAGGACCTGTAGGGGATGTAACTGTAATCTGCCTGTGACAGTCATGTCTTGGGCTGATGTGAGAAGACCTAGTAGGCTCTGCCATTGTCGCGAGTGGTAACGGAGAGAGTAGAGCTGGTGGAATGGACTGCTGTATCTTGAGCCAACGGTCTTCTGGTACCATAATACGGTTGCGATTTGTGATGAATCGAATACCTAGGAACTGCAGGTCTTGGCGATGGTACTAGGTCCGACTTATGTAAGTTTACTAACCAACCTAGTTGTGTTAGTAGCTTTATGATGTAATTTAACTGTAGTTTGAGACGCAGTGGATCTTGATCTACTTGTATCCCGTCGTCGAGGTAAAACGCACTGCGTAGCTCCCTTGACGATGTAGAAATTTGATAATCGGTTTCGCTATCCTTGTGAATAGCCAGGGGCTGATGATATTCAATGGGAGTACTTTCCACTGGTAATGTAGCCCTTCTAGAGTAAATCGTAGGTATTTCCTGGAATCGGGATGAATGGGGGATGCAGGTAGGCATCCTGTAGATCTATGCTGCCCATGTAGTCCATAGGACTAATCATCTGGCGTAACTGAGGTAAATGTATCATGCTAAACTTCGGTGGTTTTTATGAGATAGTTCTTGCTGAAAAAGCTCATGTTGTAGATGAGTCTGTATTTCTCCGTGGAGCTTTTCTTGGGAACTAGGAAAACTGGGGAGTAGAAACCTAGTTCGACGCTTGCTTGATCTATTACTTCTAAGGCCTGTTTGGATAGGAGTGATGAAACAGCCCTCTTATCTTTGGTAGTTGTTGCGCTTGTAAATCGAACTTGGGGGTTTGATTGTCAGCGGAGGCTTGGCCTGTAGAGGGATAACCGAAAACCGTGTTGAAGAATGTTGGAGACGAAGGGTCTTGCAATATTCCCCAGTTTTCCCAGTGTAGTTGGAGGCGTCCACCCACTTGAGCTGGCTGTACTGGAACGGCTGGGGTGGAAGACTCCAGTCGCTTCAACCTGTGTTTCAGCGTCTATAATTGCGGGAACCTCTGGGTGTCCTGCCTCTTCCTGATCCTCCTCTATAGTTGCCATATGGGCTTACTTAAAAGTATCTTTACCTCTAGAGCTGGCTATCTTCCTGTCTCTTGCTCTTTGTAGGCCCGTGAACTTAGATCTGCCTGAGTATCTTTGTGAAGTCTGACTAATGAGGCTGGCTAGTGTGTCCATCGATCTAATCATAAGGACTTCCTGGAATCCTTAGAGACTTCCTTGGCGACTTTGTCGATTTCTCCGTCAAAGATGGATGTTGTCGACCACGGGCTGTATAAAGTGGGGCTGTAAAGTTCTCCCCAATTACAGGAGGCGAGGAGGCCTTGACGACGAGCTAAGGTCAGTGCTGCTGAAACAGATGTAAGATGATCCGTTAAAAACTGCTGATCTTTCTTTGCATAAGTAAGGCAGAATAAATCATTCTATCATCTTCCGTCGTGGAATCCCGAATCTAGTAATAAGAGTCTCATTGATCGCCCTAGATCTATTTAACCCAAAGAACATACGCCTCGTCATGGTTTCTATATGAGCCAACTTGCGATCATCCATCTTGTAAATCTTGTTCTTTACATCGCTGATGATCTTATAGTTCTCATCGATGTCCTGGGCCTTGTAGAAGGAGTCCATGTTATGCGTGGAGAACTTTTGGCTTGAAAGTTGGGCAGATGTGGTGTCTGAACTTTCGTAGCTTTCTGGAAAGCTGCATCTAGATTCTGTGGCACTGCCGCAATCGGGTCGATCGGGGTAGAGTGATTGCATCTGGATCATCTTCCTTCATCAAATACGCTCTGCGCTTGTATTGCCACTTTTAGATGGTGATGTGAGATCTAGGTTATTGACCATCCAATACCGTGATCTCTGCATCAGAAAATATGATTCCTCCATCATCCTCAAAACCATCATCATTAACAAATTGTAGATGCTCTTCGACTGCGTGTAGCTGTCTGTATATCTGATGAGGTTTGTGGCGATCTAGTTGACTTGTGCGCCGCTCTATATGTGGAGATCTGACGGTGATCGACCTGGTGATGAACGGCGGAGATCGCCTATGGGATGATCTTCTCGAGACTTGTGAGGTGAATGTTGATAGCTTCGAAGCTCTTCGGCAGTCCCTCGATGTTCTTCTAGATGATGAGGATCTGAATCATATGTCCTTCGCTAATGCCTTCGCCGAAGCTTCATTTGCGTCCGTCCGGGGATCGATGATATGACCTTCGCGAAGGCCTCCGTGATGTCTGATGGTCTGAGTCCATATCTAGAGATGAAATCGAAGATGGTGATGATCTCCTCCGCTTCGCGAAGGCGCTAAGGCTGTACATCTAGGTCCTTCGTCAAGGTGGTGCGGGACTTCCTTCGCTGAAGGTGACATCGCCTTGGCTGCTACGCTGACGGGGTGCCTCTGGGGTGCTGTTCACGTTGGAGCCTTCGCGAAGGCTCGGACTGCTTGCGCAGTTTGTAGTGGTCCTCCATGATGTTCATAATCTGCCGCATCATGTCTTCTGGGATGATCTGTAGACGAAGTCGCCGGGCGCCTTTCTGCGCATGGGGTTCACATCAATGACGCCTGACGCCGGTGTAGAGGCATCAGGCTGCATGGTGATCTCTGCAGAAGTCACAGTCGCTGACACCGGTCGCTTCTTCTGCCGTAAGTCGGGATGATTATCGGCTGATCATCGAGAGGCCCAATTCTGCTGCTGGAACGATCTCGCTGAGAAAGTTCTTGCTGTCTTCGTGAGATTTCCCTTTGGAAGTCTGCGCTGCCCTGGGTGTCCTCAATCTGCGCGCTGAGACGACGATGAGGCCCTCTTAGACTTGGTCTGCAATGACGGGATGTCTGGGGAGGCCGGTCGCTTTCGAGGTAACGGACTGCGCCCCACGCCTCTACCGAAGGGGTCTCTAGCAGAACACCAGACGGGAGAGGGTCGATCGCTAGCAGCTGACTGGATGGAATATCTGGACTCTCTGCCATGTTTTGCCCTTGTTTGCGTGATCTATCTGCAGCACGCCTTAAGACTAAAGATGATATTTATTAAATGCAGAATGAGATAAATTAATGCAGTAACTGCAACGTGAATTAAAACGACACGGCGAGAACAACTAGGGCATATTACATGTGGATCGGAGGCAGAAAAACGTAATCTACAAATCGCACAGATTTTCATCAACGAAAGTTAGCTGAACAATCACTAATACACGGAATAAACAGTAGAAATAACGATAATTAATCAATACAAATAGTAAAGGATACTAGCTATACCTCTATAGTAACCTATGAGAGGTAAAAACTAAGAGATTATCAAAGGATATGGTGTGTAAGGAGACACGAGGCGCTCTCACATCCTGCTCACTGGGCGAAGAAGGAGAGAGTGAAGCACATGGCCAGAGGGTGGCGACACCTTTCCCGCCAGGGGAAACAAAGGGGAGCAACTCGTGGTGAGTACCAATTAGTGATTTTATTTTGAAGGGAGCTTCAAATAAGGAGATACAAGTGTTCCACTATGTTCGCAAGAAGAAGAAGACAAGCAAAAGAGCATGAGTCAGGATAAGGAAAAATAATAAAATCCGACAAACCAGGGCCCTATTCCACAAAACAATCGTAGCGGTGAGACGATCCAATACTTTAACACAGACTTACGACTGTTGTAGCGCTTTGAGGAACGGGGCCCTAAACTTCATAATATGAGTAACAATCCTTAATCTCTGGATATTATTTGATTAACCAATCTACCAAGCCTTACTCACTGGTCTGTTAAGTTGCTCTTACAGCAAGCACATTCTGGTCAATTCTAACTTGACATGTTGGCTATTACATAATCTACACAGAAGATATTACCTCTTTCAGCTTGAACTCAAACTGTCCTGTACTGAGCAAAAGCTGAAACACACCGAGCGGGTTGTACCGGGAATCGCTGAGCACCTGCTCCCGTATCTGCTTGCATCGCTTGTTGGCCTCCGCAGCTGCATCAGGAACAACACAACTCAGGCCCACCTCATCAGTACTGTACCATCTTAGTTATCAGGATGTTGCTTTGTATCTCATGTAAGTCAAATTACGTTGAAGAGGAATTTCACTTTCTTTAAAATGTCCAGTGTTGCAGTTTAACAAAGTTGTGAATGGGTTGCAACAATAGTTAACAGCAATTAATTATGAGAAAATTGCGTAAATTTATTACATCTTTGATATAATTAGAGTAAGCTTCCAGATAGGAGTTAATTCTGTTTTGCAAAGAACATACTAAATAGTTAGTACAGTTGTACAAAGATACATTTCTAAAATATTTTTTATGAAGAAAAAAGTACATTTATGTAAGTGGCCTAAGGCTTTCCACTGAATAATATTATTGATTGCTTGATGAAGTCGAGAGTCAGTGAATATGGTTTATGCATCGATTAACAATACTTAAGCTGGACAATGGAGTTGGATAAATAAAATGGGCTTCTAAGTTGTACACATGCAGGGAACATGTTTTATGATGTGTTTGTGTATTCGCTTGTGGTTTAACTCTGCGCTAGGAATATTCAGGCCATATGACTGCAGTTTGTAAAGCAGTGAGTAAAGTCAGTGAGCCTGACACCTGATGCTGTTACGACATGTATGGGTTGCTGAAGACCAATTCTAACCTGGATTCCCCATGGGGTTTAACATGCATTATGACAGATTGAAATCGGGAACTGAACATCAGATGAAACAGGTAAAGTACACAAATCTGAATCCGTTGGTCCTGCACTTCCTCCAGGCAACTGTTAATGGACTTACATGGTGGCAGTGCAGCTGTATGTAGCATCAGCCAGCGGAGTGTGACGTTACACTCGCGGATGGCGTTCATCAGTTTGGGGATGCTGTCCAGCACGAACTCCTCCACCAGCACCCCCTCCTTCAGGTACTTCTCCAGCACCGGGTGCAGGCGCTCCAGCTTCAGGGAGTACTTTGCAGCCTGTAACCATGGTAACATTGAGGATACTCAAACAAAACATCTACTTTGTTGTAGCAGGGACATGGTGAACATGTAGAGAGTGAGTGAGTGAGTGAGTGAGTGAGTGAGTGAGTGAGTGAGTGAGTGAGTGAGTGAGTGAGTGAGTGAGTGAGTGAGTGAGTGAGTGAGTGAGTGAGTGAGTGAGTTTCACATCACTCTTGACAGTATTCCAGTGACATCACTGTTGGCATAATTTAGGAAAAAAGCCTGAAAGGAAGCAGGTCTCAGACATAAGCCACTTTGGTGAACCCCTATGGTGCTAGATATCTTATATAGGAGAAGAGTCTTTAGTTCAGTGCTGACAAATGGGCAAATGGACAAAGACCAATGCCACAAGCTAACACTGAAATGGTCAATGGCAAGGGTATCCCTGGTAAATTCATCCCTCACTGTCAGCCGATCAAATTGATGCAGTTCAATTAAAAAACTGCATGATAGAAATAAGCTTTGTTGTTCATTTTTTTATATTACAGCACTGAAAATGTTCTCTAAAGTGGTACAAATTTAAAAACGACATTGACCTTTTATCTCTTGATAAATAGTGAACCTCACACTTTTGTCTATTATTATCAAATATATCAATAAAAGTTTAAACTCTCAGACTTGCCGAGGATTTTTCAAGTTTTATTGCCAAGCATTGGTAGATCTGATATCAAAAGGCTTGAAATGAGATTCTACTTATAATCCACAATCATTGGTAAAACATTTTCAGTCCATAAAGATCCATCATTTTCACAGATTTTCTCTCTCTGTTTAGCTGGCCTACCTGTTCCTTGATGTTCCCTGTATCCAGAGTGTTGTTGAGAGCTGTGCTTGCTGCCTTGTACGGAGCCCATGCATCCATCAAGTTGAAGGTCATCCCCATGTACACGCTTATCACCTGCAACAGACACAGAGTGACACTGTTGAGAGCTGTGTCAGCTGCCACTGGGATTTTAATGAATAAAATATTTTATTCCAGTTCGTGCCTGTGTTCATTCTTTTTCGGTGTTTACCAGTGATTTTCAGCTATATCTCTAAATTAACAGGTCCTTGTGACTGAACCTTTCAATAGTAAACCTTATTTTCAGAACCTAACTTCATGAAAAATCTATTTTCGTGTAGCATGTGACTGAGGAGACTGTAGTCTGTCTCACAGTCCCTGAACCATATTATTTTCCCCAATGCTTAGCCCTCCCTGCAATGCTAAAGCTCTAAATAAAGCAAGTCTAGATTTCCTCAGAATCTCTGGTCTCAATGGGGCTCCTTTTCAATGTAAATGGGTTTATTGGCTACTGTCAAATTTATATGTATTCTGGGACTAAACGTTAGTCTAAGGAGACTGCAGCACGCTGTTATGGCTATTCTAGTTTTCAGTTTTCAATGTTGATGTTTGATTTTCTACTGATATTCAATTTTGTGGTTTGATCACATTAATGATCGCTGTTGTGATGTGACAGTACCTACCCAGTTATCAGGGAAGTGTTTATCGACAATCTCCCTCATTTTGGCCTGCTGGTTGTGGAGTGTGTCGGCCTCAAAGTACAGGATCACGTACAGCATGCTGGCTTGAGTGGCCAGGGCTGTTGAACGGTGCTCCGGCAGGGGGTAGGCCGATATCTGGTTGTACACGTCATCGGACCTCAGCCGACCAATCACCATGTTGATGAAGTTGGAGTTGACAAGGACGCGACTGCAGATGAAACAAGTATCAATAGAATGGTTGCTCTGTTTAGACCTGCTAAAACATTAATGTTTTTGTTGTTACAGAATTCGAAGGAGTAGTGTTGTACTGAAGCACTGTGTAGTGTTGAACTGAAGCACTGTGTAGCATTGTATTGGAGCACTGTGTAGTGTTGTATTGAAGCACTGTGCTGTGTTGTACTGGAGCACTGTGTAGTGTTGTACTGAAGCACTGTGTAGTGTTGTATTGTAGCACTGCACTGTGCTGTGTTGTACTGAAGCACTGTGTAGTGTTGTATTGTAGCACTGTGTAGTGTTGTACTGAAGCACTGTGTAGTGTTGAACTGAAGCACTGTGTAGTGTTGTACAGTAGCATCATTGTAACTCACTTGAAGTAGGACTCTGGGTAGTTGATGGGTCGCTTGGCACCTGGAAGGTTTGAGTAGCCAGTACTCCGAAGCAGCTTACACACATCGTCGATGTTGGAGTCTGCTGCAGCAGCCTTCTGGGCGCTGCAACACAGAAGGAGCTAAAAGTTTACATGTCCATTTAATGTACACTTTCAAGTGTGATATTTGTTTTACCGCTGGTGAATGCCATGCACACATACACTTATAGTTGAAACCTACAATTAGGGTCAACCATACAGCCGTGGCACTTTGTTTTAGGTCTTTAGGAATTTCAGAACATTACGTATCGCCGCAATGCTTTTCATCGCCAATTGCCATGATTATCAAGAATTGAAAGTTTCAATTCACTCTTGTTACCCGTGAAGGTCCGGGTTAGAATATTGGCCTTCAGTAACCCATGCTTGTCGTAAGAGGCGACTAACAGGATCGGGTGGTCAGGCTCGCTGACTTGGTTGACACATGCCATCAGTTCCCAATTGCGCAGATCGATGATCATGCTGTTGATCACTGGACTGTCTGGTTCAGACTTGATTATTTACATACCGCCGCCATAAAGCTGGAATATTGCTGAGTGCGGCGTAAAACTAAACTCACTTAATTCACATATGTAATAAGCAGGTCTTTCACTTAGATTTGATATCTCTGAGTAAAAGATCTGACAAAACTTACATGGGAGATGATGAGATGAGCCCTGAAGAAATTATGATAGCCCCCAAGTAATGAAGGAAGTGTGGGTTCTTAAGCTACACAGAAATCAGCTGTCTAGTATTGTTAAATTACATTTCTTTACCAACTTGGTTTGGAAATGTTGTCTTTGAAAAGGAACAGAAGAGAAAACCACAAATATTACCTCAATAGCATACTTCTTTAAGTCGTAGTTGTGATGGCTCTCATAGGTGTTATGGGTTTAATAGTATGATATATTAAGCATATTATTATTAAGTATATAAAGGTTCCACTTTTTTGAGTCAAGGATATAAAAAAAATCAAGGAGAAATATTTTAGAAAGGTTACATCTAACTGGTTCAAGAACGAATGAATTGACTAACTGTGTGAAATGACTCACCTGTATCTATAGTAGGAGACGAGGATCCTCTCTCTCACCAACCCCTCTACACGGATGTCAATCACCAGCAGCATCACCCCGTACAAGTACAGAGCCTCACACTGAAGAAAAAACATGCATGTTAGCATCACCCTGAACAGAGAATCACATTGGAAAATACACGTGGAGCACAGTGGTATAGTGGTTAGCATGCTGGCCTCTCACGCCAAAGGCCCAAGTTCGAATCCTGGTGGAGACACCAAAATTTGTGACCTGGGTCTCATACTGTGTTGTGTCCTTGGGTAAGGCACTTCGTCCACATTGCACTCAGTCCACCCAGCTGTTTAAAATGGGTACCTGAAAAGCGGAAGTACGGACCTATACGGTCGCACTTAGCGCGCTTAGTAGCAGCTTTGAAAGTACAATTCCGTCAGGGTAATAATGTTATGCCAGAGAACAGCATCGCGTTGGATTCTAGGCGCAAAAATTAGCATTATTATTATTATTATTATTATTATACACAATATAATGTGTATAGTAGCAGTAGTAGCACCATCAAATTCAGAGCCTCACACTGTCAAATAGACATAATGCATAATGGTACCAACTGAAGAATAAACTATATGTATCATAATAAACCCCAGTATAGAACCTCACAAAGGAGACTTCAAAATGTTGAGCATCCTCACATGTACAGAGTCTCACAATGGAAGTGCAAACAATGCAGTAGCATAATCCTTTACAAGTACAGTACATGTGAACACCTCTACCCTCCTTCCTGCTCATTGCATGTATCATTTCACATGGCTAGTCATATTATCATCATCGTGTTCAAATGTTTTCAGCAACTTACCATGAGCTGCTTCCCATCTTCATTAAGCAGGACTGACTCCACGGTCTGTTGGATGTACACCCCTTCCTCCAGATCCTCCAGGTACCTGAAGATAGTATACATACATCAAAGTAACTGAATATATTATACATACTACATCCAGGTACCTGCAGATATTATACACAAGACATCCATTATCTCTAAATATTATTGATTGTACAAGCAGAACAGGTTATGTGCAAATATCTTACATAGGTCTAGGATTTAGTTGGTTTATTGCTTGATTCCACACTAGCAATATTCCAGCAATATTTTTTTTATATGGCAGTGGTCTGTAAATAATTGAGTCTGGGGTAGACAATCCGGTGATCAACAGCATGAGCATCAATCTATGCAAGTGGGATACCATGTCAACCAAGTCAGTGAGCCTGACCACCTGATCCCGTTAGTCGCCTCTTACAACAAGCATGGGTTACTGAAGATCAATTCTTACCCGGATCTTCATGAATCTAGGAACCTGCAGATAATGTTAAAGAATGTTAATGCCACTTTAGAATTATCTGTACTAAATATATTGTTATTAATACTACCTATTATTGTATTGCTTTCACTAACCTGTTTAGATCTGTGACATATTTATGCACACTTGCAAATGCTTGGTAAAACCTGGTAAGAATTTCAATGTGGTTTTCTCTGAACTCTTCATCCAGATCTTGTAATTCCTGAAATGAAGAAAATAGGAAGCTTAAATACAGACTTGTATTTAATTTTCACTTTCCATTTTATATTTAACAGGCAGACAACTTCTAAAGAATATTTCCTCATTAAGTTTAACATGCCTTTTGATGCCAAAACTTCATAGAAATTTAAATGTCAGGTGAAAGGAAGCTAGACAAAATGTTCAATTTACTATTTCCAGTCGTTGTCTAGACATTGTAATTGTGGGTGTATGACAAGTGGCACCAGACAATTGTTTTCATTATTAGTAATATTACTGCCTTTTCTTTTCTACATGAAATTAGGTATAAACATTTGCAGATAAGTCCGGAGCTGTTTCAGTAATTTAGTGCTGTTAATCAAATATGATTCAGGGATGCATTTTCACGGACAAACCAAGTGGGTGACAATATGAGCAACATCCCATGGTGACCAGTTTGATTGACAAGCATTGTCGGAGACTTGACAACCAGAACCTCAAAGTCTAAAGGCTCCTCAGTGTAATAAGACCAGGACCAAAATCAATGAGGGCCAACAATCTCTGTTATTTCTGACGAGTAACAATGAGAAACATACATCCATACTTGAAGCTTATAAGTTGAATACTTACCATTTTAGACTCTATCTTACTATCAAAATATTCGGCATTTCGAAAGTAACTGAAATCTGACAAGATTTCACTGTATTTCGCCTGGTCAAAGCGGTTATCAAGTCTAAAAACAGACGGAATAAAGTCAGCGAGACGCAGGATTTCCGCAATGATGGCGTTTCCTCTAGACGCCAGACGGAGCAGGTTCTGGCCACACTGGTTGTTTTCAGCTAAGAAGTCCGCCATAATTAAGAACTATAATTGTCGAATCCAGACAAGAAATGTTTTGCTTTTTTCACAAATTATGGCACTGTCGAACGAAGAAATTGTCACCGGTAGGTCTCCAGTCCAGTTAATGGTCTGGCCTCAAATTACAACCGCGGTCGTAGCAGACGATCTTGTGAAGGTAGGAAGTGGTCGGGGAATCTCCCCAACCGACACGAGGTGAATTCAGAATTCACTTGATTATGCTAAACAGTTACATTTAATCCTCGAGATATTCAAAGGCACGAACGAAGCACCAAATGTCATCACAACATCAATTTTGCATCAAAGTTTGTTTACATCACCGCCTCCTAAATTCAGAATCACATGAATCGCTGCAGCGCCAGCTACTTCCGTGAAGGATGCGGATTTAGAGTTACCCCCCTTGTATTACGCTTTACAGAAAATTTAAAAAAACGTCATATTTTTTGTTTCTCATACCGATAATTGAAACTGGCTTCACTTGTTGTGACACTGATAACTTTTATAACAATCAAAACGTTTAATTTCTAAATATCGCACCCAACATTACAACCAGTTCTCATTCAGTATATTGTCTCTGTTCAGTATAAATAAATTTTTGAAAACTTCATAACACCGTCACTTTTAGATTTTTCACAAGAAATACAAAGTATCGGAGAGAATATCGAAAGTGAAGTTGTCATAATGAATGGTTTTGTCTAAATGTCAACTTTATATACATCACAGGCACACATTTTACCTGAAGCAATCAAGCGACACCCAAGGTCTCCAAGTCCGAAAGTAATCGACTTAACTACGTCACCATTCTGTGCATATCACCAGTGTTAACTGTATTGTTCCAGTGTGTCCCATATTCAATCCGACGTGAAATAATAAGTTCACGCTTAAATTCTATCGAACATCATGTGGTAAGAGGAAGTACTCCTACCTTTGCACATGTGAAAAGAAATCCTAAAAACTATACCCCCTTCATCCCCAAAACAAAACACCCACAAACCATACCAAACCAAAATACAAACAAAACACCCCCAAACACCCCCAAATAAAATAAAATAAAAATAAATATAAATAAAATAAAAATAAATAAATAAATAAAAAATAATAAAAAATAAATAAATAAAAACATAAAATAAATAAAGAAGTATAAAGACACCCCAAAACCAACAACAAAACAAATCAAACCAAAGCTAAAAAATATCCCCATCAAAATAAAACAAAAACCCAACCACCCCAAAACAAAAAATGTCAGCTTGACCCGTATATATTATTACAAAAAGTTGTAAAAAAGATGTCTCTAAAGCACGAGGCTCGATCGGCATAATAACTTGGTGATCTGAACTTTATAATTGCATAAAATATGTTACACATTTAGAGAAACAACTTTTAAAATTCCTTTACAATTATGTATTTTTTCGCCCGCCCGCCCGCAGTCTTGCTGTTTGAGGTTGCAGATGATAAACAGGCAAAGAATACGAATGGCCAAATATCAGTTAAGACCTATGTGTAGGAAATCCCGTGACACAATAATGTGGGTGAGTGAGTATGATTTTACGCCGCTTTTATGAATATCCCAGCAATATTACGGCATGGCCACCATATATGAGCTTCACACACTTTTCCCATGTGGGGAATCGAACCCGGATCTTTAACCGCTAGGGAACCCAACCGCCCACAAAATTATGTAACCAACTGTCTTGAATTAAGCAGTGCTTGAAAAGAACCTTAGATGACTTTACTTGTCCCGACGAAAGTTACGTAGGCAATATTGGCAAATTCGCTAAGTATACGGGTTCTGAGGTCTTTATTTACAAAATATCACCCATAGAATTTCGTAAAACTAACAAGCCATCATGTTGGCATCGGGTTATGAGCGCCATGAGCATACACTAGTGTGTGGAAACGGCGCTATACAAGTGGACATTATTATTATTATTATTATTATTATTATTATGAGCTCTGTGTATATGGTGGTGTCAACATTTGTACGAGTAGTCACACACACACACACACACACACACGCACGCACGCGCGCGCACGCACGCACGCACACGCACATGCACAGAGACATACAAAAGGTGTAGATTTCTCTTCACGCATATTTGGCGGGTTGTTACAAATCTTGACACGACCCCTAAAGCTTCACTTATTTATAACTCTTCCCACTTAGTACACATGTTCTAAGAATGCAACGGGATTCACCGCCAGAATTAATGCCAAACAGTTATGTCTTTTCTCCGATAAACGTTTCTTGTTTTCCAATGTCGTTAAGCAGTGAAGAGATGTAACAGAGAGTACAAAACAATAAAAAGAATACAGGTTTAGGGAGATATTTGCGAACAACTAACGATGATACCGGTTTGGGGCGATGCTTCCTAGTCGATGTTACACAGGTATCTGTCAATTATCCCGTCAAAATACCTGTACCTAAGTTATCGAATCTGTTATTGATAACAACAAATTGGCTCGATCCTGTTGACGAAATTCGTGTTTATCGTATCTTGTAAACGAAACCTAAGGACCGTTCATATTTTATGCCAATACATGTGCGGGGCGGTGGGGTAGCCCAGTAGTAAAAGCGTTCGCTCGTCACGCCGAAGGCCCGGGTTCGATTCCCCACATGGGTACAACTTGTGAAGACCATTTCTGGTGTCCCCCGCCGTGATATTGCTGGAATATTGCTAAAAACGGCGCAAAACCATACTCAGCCAGTCAGCTTATCTTATGCAACAAGGGGCGGTGGGGTAGCCTAATGGTTAAAGCGTTGGCTCGTCACGCCGAAGACCCGGGTTCGAATCCCCACATGGGCACAATGTGTGAAGCCGATTTCTGGTGTCCCCCCGCCGTGATGTTGCTGGAATATTGCTAAAAGCGGCGTAAAACCAAACTCAGTCAGTCAGTCTTATGCAACAAAGAATATTGTACTGAATATTATCACTTACTGTTAGCAATACTGTATAAATCATGTACTCAACATCATTGTCTAATCTGACGGAAGCATACACTTAAAACGTATACTGAATATTACCAACGAGCCTTACGCGCTTACAACGAACAGACTGATATGTCGAACTCACTGATATGTCGAACTATGGTGTTAGTCCAGGCCACATGCTGTGCTTAAATTAGTCTCATGGAGTATAACAAATTACGGTTAAAGCGAACTGAAATCAGTGGCCAATTGAGTTCATCATAACGGTAGATACTGCATATTAAAAGCGCCATCGTATAATCAGTACGAATCTGACAGCCGAACCCACTATCAGCAAATCCTATTATCATTAGGGGAGGCAACTCACCTGGTTAATCATAGGAGTAGGTGTATCATAATTATTAGCCGTAGACCTCGAAATAAGGGACATCAGTAATGTCAGAGCGTGTACAGAGACCATTAACTGAAATCTAGCGAAGTGATGGCAGCAATAATTTGCTATTATCATTGTGACAAGAAAGTAGCTCCTAGAAAATCAATGTCCAGCGGTCATTATTTTAGGATCCGAAGCTGCGGACTAGTGGACAGAGGAATCAATAGTCTCTATATATCACGAATCAGCGTTCTTGTCGCGGTATATCAAAAATGAATGTCCTTGACTCGTATATTGCTATCGGGGCCAGTAATCAATGTCACAGTCACGACACATCAGGGCCCCGTTTCACAAGGCTCTCGTAAGCCTAAGATCTCTTAACTTTTCTCGTAGCATTCGTACTTCCTACACTGTAACATTTACTTAGCCGTAGCTCTACGAGAGCTTTGTGAAACGGGGCCCAGGTTGGTTGGTTGTTTGTTTGTTTGTTTGTTTATTGCCGCACTCAGCAATATTCCAGCTATATGACAGCGGTCTGTAAGTAATCGAGTCTGGACCAGACAATCCACTGATCAACAGCATGAGCTTCTATCTACGCAAATGGGATACGATGACATGTGTCAACCAAGCCAGCGAGCCTGACCACCCTATCCCGTTAGTCGCCTCTAACGACAAGCATGGGTTTCTCACCAATTGTAACCGGGATCTCCACGAGTCGATGCATCAGGAATCACTTTTTTTTGAAAATTGGTAAAACAATGTCTATGTGTCTTTAAGTGTAATTGTAAATTGAACGAATTCTTGTGAAATGTTTTACGGCCATTTAAATTTATTGATCACTTATTTGTGCAAGAGGATAATGTAATCCGTGACTGGGTGATTTTGTGATCACGAGGGCAAACATGAATTTGCATCCACATGAACCCTATCATGTTCCAAAGTAAAAGAAAAATCAAATTTATTGATTATGAAAGATGGGTGATACCCATTAGCAGCTATAAATCTGGCGAAGTTTTTCTTCTTCACATTTTACATTTTTGCATATTAAAAAAGACCAACACAATAAGGCGTTTAGAAATAGTCTTAAGTAAATTACGGCATGTCAGCCTTATGTTACAGGGAGTATTGCTGGCCACAGACATGCATAGTGCTGACAAACCTACAAACATTATCGGGATTCGAACTCATGATCATAGGCTTCTGGCGAAGCCAAGGGACGTAACTGTGCACCGCGAATTACGGCGTCTAACACTACTGGGTCCGTAAGTAGAAGATATGGCATAGTCATAACATCATTATGGATGTATCATACATCATGTCGTTTCTGATGCGCTGTTTTCGGAAAATGTGGGAGGAATATTGGTGTAGTGACGTGTTTCAATGGTACAGAGCGATGGGATAGCCTAGTGGTTAAAGCGTCCGCCCGTCACGCCGAAGATCCGGGTTCGATTCCCCACATCGGTACAATATGTTAAGCCCATTTCTGGTGTCCCCCGTCGTGGTATTGCTGGAATATTGCTAAAAGCGGTGTAAAACCGTATCCACTCCCTTCAATGGTACATATAGGGATTTACGAACCGATGTGATTTAAAAATTTACAAGATGCAGCCACTGTTTTTTTGCTTCCCATCATTTCGATTGGGTGACTTTCCGACACGCCCCTATTCTGCGCGGGTGTCGTGTCGGCTGTTTGTTCCCAGATGGGTTTAAAGGGCAAAGTCGGCCGATATTGGATATTATTCAATAAAAATAAAGAATAAAAGAGACAAATCAGATGACAAGCTGCTGGGCATTATTTGCGATTGTACTTTACAAACAGCTGAGGTGATGTGGGGAGTGTCAGGTCTTTTATAAAGATGTGCAGATTAGTACATTTCTGACATTCGCGATATTAACGGATCTCGAAATTTTAAATAACCACCACAAGGTCATAAACACATGCACAGGCAAATCAACACTTCACCTGAAAAAAAACAACACGGAAACATGGCACACATCATAACAAGGAATTGCAATGGACATATTTCTACCATGCGTAAAACTTGGACATTAACT